GGTTTAGCGAATCAAGCGTGAAGGATATTGTACAATTAACCTTTAATAATCCCTGGAAAAGAAACTGAAAATTTTTAAAATTTAATTTTTATTTTCACAAAAATTTTGTTTATTGTTTTTTCAAAAGAAAAAAACATAAAGATACAAACTCGAATTGATGTTCAATTATTATTTTACATTTGAGCTTCTTTTCGGGCTGGTCGACCAAAAGATTTACCAAAAAAGGTGATGTTCAAACCTCAAAAAGAAGGAATAAATACTAAATGAGGGGTAGGCGGATGCGTTTCGCTTCTCTGAAAGAAAAATGAAAAAGGAATAAATATATTACGCCGGAAGGAACGACAAATCATCGTGAAATGTGCAAAAAACATTTATTGGAGGGACTGAGAAAAGAAAAAAAAATAGATCAATTTAAACATCCATGAGTCACTTATTTTTTCATATCTTTTGTATTTTTAGGAATAAGTTTTTTGAAAAAGAAAAAGCCCTTTCAGTCTTTTTTTTATTCTCATGGTGTTATTTGATGCTCTTGGAGTTTCAAAAGTCTGGGAATTCCTCTAGAAATTAACTAAATATCCCCAAGTAATTCGATGATTTTTGTTATGATTAAATGATTTCAAAATAAAAAAAGCCCCTGAATCTCCGCTTTCCTGCAAAGTTTGTATGACAGAAAAGCCAAGCAACAGCTGCAAATAAGAAAAAAAAATTCTTTTCAATTCCAGGTAAACTTCTCTTCGAGATTTGCACATTTTGCAGCATCAACAAGACTTTTTTCCCATGATTTTTCATCCCCACATCATTTTTGGCACAAAAACAATGTCAAAAATATCTTTTCCAATGACCAATATGACTATAAATCGCATGTTACGCAAAAAGTACGGATCGAAGTTGGATTTCATTTGAAATTTTTGGCAGATTTTGGTCGTTATATTAAAAAGATAATTGCTTCATAAAAGCCTAAATCAAAAATATTCGATAAAAGTTAAATTTCAAATCGCTACATTAATCAAAAAACAGAAAATTATTGAGGAAAGAAACTTGAAAAATAAATTCTTTTTTCATATTTTCCGAAAAGGTTCAAAGCTCTTCAGGAACCGATACAATCAATAGAAAAGGTATCGAATTTCACAAAAACAGATTTTTCTTCTTTTTCAGACATTCAAAATCAACCTTGAGGTTCAAAAAAATAACTAAATTTGACGCAAAAACCATTTTTTAAAAACATCCAAGACCTTTTTATAAAAAAATATCCAAGCTTCGAAAAGACATACTTAAAACCAAGAATCGTGAAAAAATCAAAGTGCTGGTGCGCTTTTGAAGGTTCTATCAGAGCCTTATCACATGACCAAGATTATTTTGAAAAGCTTTCAAAAAATAAAAAGAAAAAGCTCGGAGACTGTGCGTAGGTTGGCTACTTTGCAGCAGCAGAGTTGGCAGCGGGCCTATTTTCTTTTTTCTTTTTTTTTCCTGCAAGGCGGAGCCCCTCTTCTCTCTTTCCAACTAAACTAGAATGTACGTGGGGAATGAGAAAGAGAGGAAAAGCTTCGCGAAAAGTGCAACACAACAAAGAAAAAACCGCTTTTTCGCGCATCCAAAGGGAGATTTTTCAATTGAGAAATGAAATGAGATTGGAAAACTTTGTCATGTTTATTCATATTCGTCTGGTTCTAAATATAGTATGTTTATTGCTAGGATGAACCGATATTCATGGGATGATTTAATATTTTTGGAAAATGGTCTTGCCACGAAATAGTATGCGGCACAGTGAGGAATTTTTGAATTAACTTGAAAAGCTTTGAAAAACGTTAAGGGATCACTCTAGGGGCTCTAACGCTTTTGAGATTATTTGAAAAAAAACCGCTTTATCACTAGACAGATGTTGAGTGGTCACTCTAGTGATTATTATGGTTTTTTCAAGCTTTACCTTGATAAAGGTGTCTCAAAAAGATCAGTGACTTTGAGTAGTCCCTTTAGTGGTTTATAGATCTCATCGGGATTTCAGTCATTTTCAAAATTTCAAAATTCAAAAGCTCCTGTGTTATAAGGTTACTTTCATCTCTCAAAATTGGAAAATCACCTTTTCTAGAAAATTATTCTGCGCCTCTATAAAACACATCGCAAAAGCCATTCCTAACGAAGAAATATTGAACTTTCGTTTTTTTTTTTTCTGAATTCGTCTTTGATGTCTGATGCCCGAATCAACACGGCCCAGTGAATAGGATTTGATTAATCCCAGTCAAGCAAAAGAAAAGAAAATGTTCGCTTTTTCTTGAATAGAACGAATGGAAAAGACAGAGATCTGACGTTTCCATTTTTATAGACGGCAGAACAAAAGGCCTTAGTATGATATCATAATGATGAATCCAGTCTGGAAAATGTAAGAATAAATCCATTCACTGGTGCTTTATGTTTAGGCTTTAGGAAATATTCATTTTTCGATCTTATCGGCAAAAATTCAAGTTAGAAGAAAAATTACGAGCTTTCCAGAAAGGTGTTTCGAAATGGTTTTTTGGGCATAATTTCCATAAAAATTATTCAATTATCTTGAAACTTTCCACAGAATTCAATTAGCAATTTTATAACTCATTCCCAGAAGGACGATCATTTTGCTCAACTTAGAATATAATTATGTCCAAAAACATCCTTTTTCTGACTCCACATAATGTCAACTCTCAAACATTTTCGCATGTCTCAAAAATTTCAACTTTTTTTTTTTCCAACAGAGCTCGAATTTCAACCTTTAGAACAATTTTTCGCGAATTTTGTTCTAAATTAGATCAAAAAGTGAATCAAGAGAAACAGAGATATGGAAAAAAAACCGCGTTGAATGCATAAATTTGATCGAAAAAACTGCGAAAAGAGAAGGAGAGAACGGGAAAAAAAGAAGTGGCTGCAGCAGCCATGGAGCAGAAAACATTCTTTTTTTCCAATTTCTCGTTCTCGTTTTTCATTTTCCGGCAGCTGAATCAAGTGAAATCACACTCACACAGAATGCAGCTTGTTAAAATCGTCGTTTAGGGTTTCGTTTCTCTCGATTTTTGACTATGAATTTGGAAAAATTCAATTTAAAAAAAAATGGAAAATTTAGGGAATAACCTTTTTTTCTCGTCTAGAGGAGACAAAAATAGATAAAAGGTGCAAATTTTTAATATTTGTGAGCATTGAAAAACTTTTTCATCTTTAATTTTAACATTCTATTTTTCTCAACGTTTATTATTCATGAATCATCTATAATATGATGAAAAAAATCCTTTTTCTCAGATTTTCTCTGTTTTTCTCATAATGTTGCATTATAAATGAAAGCTGAAATTCGGAAGTTTCTCATGAAATTAGACGAGAACAGACTTTCCCACGGCAATAGTCTATTCAAGAGCATTTTTAATGAGCATTTATAATGGGGGTCCGAATTATGATAAAAATAGGCTCATCAGCCCTCCATTAGTTAAGACTATGTGCCTTTGAAAGAATTATAAAACTATTCAGAGAAATTGAAAAATTCGAAATGTCATCACACTTTAGAACTTGAAAAAAAGTTTGCATTAAAATGTATACTTTTTATGAGTTTCCGAACAGCTCTTCGATCAACATTTTTGAGCCATTTCTGACCACTCTTTTTTCCAGAAAAAAGGAAAATTTTTGCAGAAGAAACCAACACCGAGGCCATACAACAAACACACATACGCTGCAACTGCAGAATTTTCCTGCAGGGAATTTTCGCACAAAAAAAGGGGAAAATCTCTCGTTTTCCCTGCCAAACAACTGGCGAGTCTGACGCACTGATTAATCGTTGCACTTTTCGGATGAAAAAAATTGGTTCAAAAACATTTCTGCAAGTGACGAAACAGCTACAATATATAAGTGTAGTTTCGCGTTATCGGTGAAAATTTTTTGGCTATATCCCGACATAAATATCACTTTTGCAATCCAGAAAATTGTTTTTAATATTGTACTGTAAGGGATTTTTCGCATTCCGCAAAGAAAAGTTTATTTCGCGTTCCGTATTTTAAAAATTCTGTTTCACTTATCTCTCAGAGTTTCTAGATTTTTTTATATTTTTAATTGTATTTTTTTATAAAAAAACGGAAAGAAAAAGATGAAATTGTTGGTCAAACAGTATTTCTTGAGAAAAAAAAATTGAATTTCAAAATAGGTAGAATATTCCAAATTACATATAAGTCAACTGCAAAAAATTATAGTCTGCGTACCACGACTTCGAATTTCACCGAACGACATTCCGCTGTGCCGCTGCGCGCCTTTGCCTTGGTCGCGTTTTAAATTTTTTTTTTCTATTATCAAACACTTTCATTTGCTCCCACAGCATTAACAATCAATTGAAAGCGTGAACTAGATTCGAAAGACTCTTCGCGAACGCACGCAGCGGAACAGCGGAATGTCGTTCGGTGAAATTCCAAGTCATGGCACACAGACTATAAAAAAAATTTCCCCCAAAAAAGGACCGAACCTTCATCATAGGTTTCACAGCGCAAGGCCGCTAGCCACTACACCAAGGCACCTGCTGGCACTGGAAGTTCGCCGCCGCGACATATTCCCTCCTTCCATTCAATGCATTTTTCGCGTGCAAACTTCGAGAAAAACCAAAAAGGCGCACTATTTTTCAACTTTATTTGAATCAGGGTATCCTAAAGTACCTATATACCAAGTTGCATCAAATTCTCAACCCACCACCTTTTGCACTCCCCGTGTAAAGAGAGACGCAGAAACGCGTCAGACGGACTACACTGAGCTTCAACTCTTTCGATGAGGACTATTTTCAATCTGATTGGAAAAACCAATGAAGGTTCCTGGGCAAAGTTCTGAAGGCCTTTTCAACGATTCGAAAAAGAAGAACCAAAAATACTCTCAATGTTTTCAAGCTTTTCTTCCAGTCTGAAGTTCTAAAGAGGATAGTGTTTTTCAAAAAAAAACCGTTTCAATTTTGACTTTTTATTCCAAAGAGCAGTCAGTTGGCGTAGCTCGGTTGTAGCTGCAGGGAGTGATGATCAGTCATTGTTGGCGGCCGTCTCCTCCTGAGTAGGACAAATGTCCTCCAGCAACTCCTTGAAAAAAGTTCTCAGTTTGGTCCAGGCAAAGGCGTAACTGACAGCGCGGCTAACGGGTTTTCGTCGGCGCATTTTTTTCGACATTCCCTTTTTGACGGCGTCCACCTCTTGGTTTCCCTGTAGTGATAGAGTTTTTTGCTCGAGAAAAAAAAAAAGTTTTATCAGAGAGCTGAACTTGGGGTTTTTTTTCTAGAGCGCTTGTCCGCTGATCATTATTTTATTTTAACCGATTCAAATCATGATTCAGTGGTTCTTACTGAAATTCATCAGAAAGCTTCGAAAAAAGTTTTTGAAATTTTGGTTTTTCAAACTCACGAGGCTGACTTCTTCCGAAACTTGCGTATTCGTCTTCGGCCCTCCTTCCATCTGAAAATTGCGTTGAATTAGAAACTAATGTAGATAAATGAACTGACCTTTTTATATTCCTTGTAGAGGCTTTTGAGAAGGCGTACAGTCTGAAAATTTTCCTGAAAATCAGCCAACTAAACTCGAGAACTTCCTCCATGCCAGCTCTCTCCTTCATTCGATACGTCCACAGTTTTTCTTCGACGAAAGAACGGAGCGCCGGAGGAGCTCGAGTTGTTTCCAGATCATTGAACTCGCTGTTTAAGATCTCAACACAGAATTTTGTCTATTTTTCGTAAAGTTTAAAGTTTTTTGCACTACTGGAAGTCTAGATGAAGACTCCGGATAGTCTTTTCACAAGAGAGCTTTGAAACTTGAGAAGTATGAGTTTTAGTCTTGATTTTCGAAAACAAATATTGCATCACGAAAGCTTCAAGTTCCATTAAAAGAAACTCCATGTTTAACAACAAAATTACTACCCTTGTGAATGAAGTCGAAGCATTTGCTTCTTTTCTCTGCAATTTAAAAAAAAAACTTAAAAGGCTCAGCCCTCGTACAAAGCAATTATCAAACTAATACGACTTCAAAAAAATATCTTTTGTGAAATTGGTCATGCCATTGAATGTGTTATAAAAAAAACGAATGGAACAGACTTTTAGTCTGGCATCGGCAGAACTGAACTCCTCGAAGGGCATCATGCCACCGCTAAAAATCTCGAAAATCAGGTTCTAAAATAATCCATTTTTCGGTAATCCTTAGCAAGTCGAAAACTCACCCCGAAAGCAAAACAATCGGTAGCTTGAAAAAAGACAAACATCGATAGCGTCTCCGGCGATAGATAGCGGGTTGGCAGCTTTTCCGCGGTCTTCATATAGTGAAAACGGCCGTTTACGGCGAGGCCGAAATCGCCGATTTTCAGCTAGAGAGGGATTCATTCTAGTTGTGAATTCGGATCAAACCCTGAGATCGGAATCCAGGAGGCAATTTCGCGCAGCCACATCACGATGGAGCACTAGCATCTGATGTAGGTAAGATACTCCTTTGGCAGCTTCGAAAGCGAACTTCAGAAGAAGGGATATGTTTGACCCTTCGAAGTTTTGGATCAAAAAGCTATCGAGCGAGCCACCTGGCAAGTACCGCTTCATTAGGATTTTGCCTATTTCATACAAAAAATCCATTTTATTATATTCCAATACTACGAAACGATCACATAGCTTATAGCTGTTTGCCCTTATGGTCTGAACTTTAAATTCGGCGTATACGTGATCTACCAGATCGCGTGAGCCGATCTCACGAGCTTTGCGTAGTGAGACAATCCCAGCTGTTCAAAGCTCTTCGGTCGACGCGACTGATCATCAGATCGGTCGGGGTCCTGTCGGAGTCAGACAGGATCCTGCTGAGAACCAGGAGATCTCGTTCACCTGGTTCGAAGCGAAAATCGGATCCAACATGGAACCGAGGTCTGAGGCCCTGTGCTACACAACCCACGTTTCTACGTATTAGGATATAATAAATATTTTACTTCAACAACTAGCAAAATATAACATTATATTTCAGCTCCTCTCAACGGATGGAATATATAGGATTTCAAGAAGTAGAGAGCTGATTTTCTTTTTTCAAATAGGATTCGCTCACCTTGCATGTATTCTATCAAGACCATAAACGGCTGCTTGTCGATAGCCCATCCGCAAATTTCGACGACATTTTCATGTCTAAGTGAGAGCATTATCCGTGCCTCTTCGAGCATTTTTTCTTTAAGGTTGCTCAGATTTGCACTATCCATTAGCAGCTGCAAAAAAAAGGACATTTTTCAAAAGACAGTTTTTCCTCACCGATTTGACGGCGACTTCCTCTCCGTAGATCCCAAAAGAATTCACTTCGGCGAGGAAGACCTCGCCAAAGGCTCCCGAACCGAGCGGAAAGAATTAACTTTAGCCTTTCCCATAGGTTATTTTTTGAAAATCAGAATGGTAGAGCAAAAAAAAGATCTTTTTGTTTGAAGGAATTCAGATTTTCTCTCTTTCAGTCAATTTAGTGCTCCATTTGAAATTCTTGATGAATAAATGTGTTCAGCTTACATCCATATTATTCTGTATCAAGACGATTAGCCTGCTATTCCGTGGAACTATTTTTTTTTTGACAAATTCTTGGAAAAGAGTCAAAATCGTGAAATTTGAGAGAAAGGAAATCAGTGTTGCTAAATATTCTACTGTTCATGGAAAATTCCTTTTTGTTCATTATAGTTTGGACTTCAACTGGATAACTCACTGTTTTTTTTCTCGTTATTTGATCCGCGCTGAATTGAAATACGCGCTTTGGGCATGCGCGCTTCAAATGAACGTTTAGAGACGCCTGAAACATATATTTTATTGTTTTATACTTTTTGAATGGCAAAAACGATCAGACCTTTTCATTTCCGATACAAGCTCTTTTAACTATTGCTTTTTATTCCTCGAAACTTAGAAGAACGCTTTTTATTGGCCTTGGGCTATCCAAAAAAAAAAATATTGCATTTTTCAATTCTCGTCTTCAAATGATCCGAACTTCGCTTAGGATTTATCCTTGTGATAAAGAAAAAAAATATCTGAACATTTGGACACACAGAAGCGAAAAATAAACAAATTTCTCAGTCGATGATATCAAATCCTGATTTACTGGATGATTTGAAACTGTCGAAGCGCTTTTTAGGCGGTCTCATTTTCTCGCGAGAAAAGTTTTTTAAAACTGTCAATCAGCATAACAATGATATTCAGCCCAAAAATTTCTTTCAAGAAAATCTCTGTCAAGTGAGGGTACTGAAAACTGCAAGAACTTTCTGGTCAAATCGCTATAGTCTGTTCAGATTTTGAATGTCAAGTCATCGCTCAAGCTCCGCCCCTATTGGTGCGATAAACCAATCAGAGAGCGAGCCATTCACAGAGTGTTTTTGAATGACGTCATTGCACTTGACATTGAAAATCTGAACAGACTATATTTTCGGCACCCTTTTTCTTCCGGAATCTCACTTATCTTCTTTATCAATATCGTTCACCTTGTTTGGATGGAGCATATAGAAGACAAAAAGATCCTCCAAACACTCGAAAACCATATGCTGTTCAATAAACACCCCGACTTCGTGGCGACGAACAATGTAGTCTTTAACCCTCACTGCTTCGTTTTGGCCGTAATTCTCATCCAGGTCTGGAATTTGAAAAATAAGGGGGTACTGGGATGAAAACTTTGATGGAAATTTAAACAGAAAATTTAGTTTGAGATTTGCTCTTGTTGCATCGGGACCATCGAATTTAACTCTAAACTTTGACTTTTTAGCTACTATTTTGTAGAGTTCCTATCTCGGAATCTCTAGAGAGTTTCCCGAAATTTTTCGAGAAGTACGAATTTTATTTCGAGACAAGATTGAATCTCGCACAACCTTATTTGAGAACTAATCTTTTTAATCGCTAAAAATTTCATTTGGAAAACTTTCCGACTATGAAAATCATCAAACAAGCTACTAAAAAGAATCACTTTCAGATCCATCTTCCACGCAGTCCAATAGGATGCCGACTGAAATCATCAGAAACTCTTTCCCCTCGTCTGAATAATCATATCAATAGTTTGAATTTTCATTTTGCTTCACCCTCGCACTTTCTCAGCAAAAAGTCGCCACTTCGTTTGATGAAGATCATAGTCTCCATCTGCGGCAAGAAGCTGAAAATAATCGATTTCGATGTGGCATTCAATCGAAAACTTTTACCCGTGATAGAAGGAGATATTCTCCAGGAAACTTTCATCATCCTTTCTCACAATTTTTTCTTCTCTTTCTGGGACTATAATCTCGTGTAAATCACCTTCTGTAAATAGAATGGAAAATGAAACTGAAAGTCTAATCCGTTATTGTTTGTTTACAGTCGAAAATGTGGTCTTGAAAACTTTTACGGTATAGATATAGCTGATTCACGGCCCGCTTGGGACGGTAAGGGGCGTGGCCTGTCTGCGCTCTCCACGAGCCAGGCACTATCTCATGCATTATCGTGTCAGGACCATTTTTTCGATGGCTCAAGCCAGCCGTGAATCAGCTATATAATTAATGAAAAGTCCTTTCATAGAACTATAGAAAAAAATTTTTTTTTCTCTAGATTTTTTTCAAAGTTCAAACGGTATCACACTGCTTGTTTAATTTCTGCAAATTCACATGGTTTTTTCAAAATAATATTCCCATCAATTTCATGTTAGCACTTTCCAAAAACCTTCGGTTAAACTTCGAAGATGGGGAATGGGCAGAGCCAATTCTTAAAAGAAGTCGAAAAATAGCGGAAAATGTATCGCCTTTTACAAAAGAAAAAAAAAAGTTTTGAAAAAATTTATCTTCATAATAATTGATAAGAGCTCAGTTCGAACCAAAATGTAATGAAGAATAATTTCCATTTTTCCGTATTTTTTTTTCTTTTACTATGTGAGGTCTTGTGGCCCTTGAGAAACGTTTTTACCCTTCGGAAAAAATTGATGAATCTTCCGATTCGAGCTTTTTTTTATGAAAATATTCCTTCTTCCGGGCACCGGTCAACTCGTTGGGGTTGATTTATTGCCGAGAGTTGTTATTCCTATGTTGATCACTTATATTTTTTATATTTCCTAATGTCTGTTTATGGCAGTGAATAAACTGTTATTATTATTATTAATATTGATGATGGGGGAAGAAAAAAAGAAGAAAAAAAGACGCTTACGGTTCCTCTTTTCAAATATTTTCTTCCTTTGCTCTGCCGAAAGCGCACTCCCTTTCGCTCCGGCGGAATCATGCACCGTTATTGTTTTATCCCCTCCTTCTTTATTTTCTTCCTTCAAGACCGTTCCACTGTGCGTCGCTTCGCTCCCTTCGAACTCGTAACCCGGAATTCCTATACGCCAGAGAACTGATTAAAAAGAAGCTGGACTAAACAACTTATAACATTGAAATATAAAAGTTTTGACAATTGTCAGGGTTTCTGCTGACACCTCCGATATATAGAAGGTCCTGGCTTCAAAAAAAGAAGTTACAGTTTTTGCTCGAATGAATAACGTTGTAGTTTTAGTATTGGGCAAAATAATGTTTTGACGCCTCCAAAATTGGTCGGCGGCAAAAGACGTGAGCAGTTCATTTTCCGTTTTGAAATCAAGATGATTCTAATCTCACTGAAGTCTATGTCTCTTTATTTGTGGCTCATATAAATATTCAAGTTCTCTATTTTTGAAATGCCCTTCTGTCGTCACACTTGAACTGACTGGTGGGAATCTCTATTATCGATTTCGAATGGTTATGCTTTTTAAATCAAAAATTCAAATGAGAGCTATTTATTTATTCAAAAAAGTTCCTCCTTTTTTTCCTTTTTTTCACCATTTACTTTTTTTCGGAATCTTTTTTTCATTTCTCCCGTTCTTCTAACCTTTTTTTTACAGTATCCAGGAAAATACACAGACTTTTCTCATTGAGTAAAAATAATCTACCGTTCTCCTTCGGTTTCTGTAAACTGGTGATGGGTTGGTTGGGGCTCGTTGGCTCACACGGAGCAGTTGGAATGACTTCAGATCCGCTTTTCAGTCGAAAAACCCATTCGAAAATCGAAACGAATGACTTCTCTTAAAAATTTCTATTAAAAAAACTACGATGAAGTTTAGAATTAAAGGACGGAAAAGTTTTTTTATAAACTTTTCTGTTATGAAAACTATAGTATGTGCGCCACGACTTGAAATTTCACCGAACGACATTCCGCTGTTCCGCTGCGTGCGTTCGCGAAGCGTCTATTAAATCTAGGTCACGCCTTCAATTGATTGTTTTTGCTGTGGGAGCCCATGAAAGTAGAGTACCTCAATAAAAGAACAAAAAATTAAAAGCGCGACCAAGGTTCGCAAAGGCGCGCAGCGGCACAGCGGAATGTCGTTCGGTGAAATTCGAAGTCGTGACACACAGACTATAAAACATTGAATTTCCTAATATTGATTCCTTGTCTCAGAACATCGTTCTCTCGGTTTTTCCTAGAAAATAGTTTGAAACTAATACCTCCAGTGTACTTCTCCATCGCTTTCTGGTCCTCCATTCCGATCGCTTCTGCTGGTTTTTCTCTCTCGAGACTTCAGAAATAGGCTTCTTTTGGACTTGACTCGTCGCGTTGATTTTTATTCTCTTATCTCAAAAGTTCATCTCGATTTCCTCATTCACGCTGATATTAATTGAGTTATTTTTTTTTCGCTTCTTCAATTTTCTTTGCCTTTCTCAAAGTCTGAATGAACATTTTAGAACAGCCACGCTTTCCATTGTCATCGGTTCACTGTAAAGCCACGCCCCTTTTTTCGATGGTGAAATGCGCTGGTTTTTTAGATTTTGTGTTCGTTGTTTTCGTACAAACGCAATACTGAACCGGAAACGGAGAAAGTTGGGAGAAACATAGAGAAAACCTTCCTCTTCAATCTCATATACTTTTCACCCCATTTTCGAAGCGTTTTAGCGGAGTGTCGTACGAAAAACCAAAACTACTTTTTTTCTTCGGGTTTTTAACCTAATTCCATGTCGTTGGGGCCGTTTTTTTATTTTCGAATTTGATTTTTAAGTGAAAAACAAATCTTTTAGGGCAAAATAATTAGAATTTCTACGATGCCTAATCTTCGTGAGGCCGCGCAAAGTTGAAAATTTCGTAGTCGGTTTCGAGAGCGTGTAAGTAAAAAATGTTTATTTCAACTTGTGGATTAAATTGTAACTAAAACTTTATTAGTATAGAACTTATTCCGAAAACTTGGTTTTCTGAGAAAAAAAGACAGTGAAAATTTCGAAATTCATTTTAACATGGTCAGACGTCGTTGGCGCCTTTTTTTTATTTTTTGAATATTAACGTATCTCAATTTTCAATCAATTAAAACTATCATAACTTTTTTTTAAACAAGAGAGTCGGTAAATGCTGTACTTTGAGGTGAAGTGGTGTTTAGCATCTCGGAGGGATGGACGTGGAGCAGCGCAAGTGCGCTTGCATACAGTTTTGATATCGCGTATCCAACGATATATCGTTTTAGGACTCACTTTTTCCGCGCCTTCCCCGAATACCAATTCTGCCTATTTCCCAAAATCATTTTAAACGAATAGCACGTCTATTTTGAAATTGCCGAAATTAAACACGGCATCACTAAATTTTGGAGGGTCAGAGATCATTTTGCATTTCGCGAAATTAAATTGAACACGGCATTATAAAAATATAGTATATCAAATGCGTAAAATCAAAAATTAACGTGGCATTCACAATCGCATAGATGGCATTCTGTGTCTCGAATCTTCCGCGACTGGCAGCAATGGGTAACTTTTTGGGCTTTCGTTTTTCTCATCACCGATGACTTCGACAGTGCTCCGGGCACTCAGATACGGACATTCTGGGCATGTTATAAGTGCAATGTTAATAGGTTTCTCAATTCGCGTCTGATGTGTTATTAGAGAAATAAAGGATGGGGAAAGCCCATACTTTTGAAGTTGCATCTCTCCACCGAAATACGCTATTCTAGCTTGAAACCTGAAACTTTTTCTTGCTCCTAGTAGCGTTCAGAGCTATTTCGACGTCTGCGATCAATCAGATTCGCAATAATTCTTATTTACCGCTTCTCCTAAAATTTCTTAACGTGGCTTTCAATGCGGAATCGAATTAGGATCATTGATTTTTGAGGCGCTTTCCGAAGACTAATTGTTCGACTCATTTTGATTTATTACCGCTTTCGGATTATGTAACTGGTTCAGAAAGTTTCATAAACGAATTATGAGATAAGTGATGAGATGGTATAGCATGTGTACCGCGACTCGGAATTTCACCAAACGACATTTCCGCTGTTACGCTGCGTGCCCTTTCCAACCTTCATCAATCATCAATATTTATTGGTTGTTTTAGTCAGATGGAATCGACTAGGCGGTGAAAAAATTGCTTTTATGAGCGGCACTAACACCGCCTTTGGCGAAAAAGAAGTCAAAACGTGTAGTCGATTGATTTGAAAGCATGGTCTTACGGTCCTTCTCGCTCTTCCACAAGTAGATCCCTAAGTTTCGCGGGTACGGGCACGGCGGAGATGGTGGGGCTCGGGCACGGACACCGTGTACACTCTAGGGTAGCCTCGGCCGATTGAGAGAGCTACCACTTCGAGTGAAGAAATTACACGGAATGGTCGCGTTTTTAATTTTTTTTTTTTCTTTCAATAAGTTACTCCACTTTCCTGTGCTCCCACAGCAATAACAATCAATTGAAATCGTGACCTAGATTCGAAAGACGCTTCGCGAACGCACGCTGCGGAACAGCGGAATGTCGTTCCGGGAAATTTCAAGTCGTGGCACACAGACTATAGCTAATCCTTTTTTCTCGGTTTTGGGCCTTATGTGACATGAAGCTCATTTTCTGTAAATAATTTCTATTTCAAACTAAGTTCAAAATATCCTTGTAAGTTCGGATCTTTTTTTCAAGGTTCTTCGAAAGCTCGACTGAAAAGGCAGCTAGTCTACGTCTTCGGGATCCTATTTTGCGCGATATCAAGGGCTAAGGTCGAAGGTAATTTGTCTTTTTGTTTTCTACTTTCAGAATATTCAACAAGCAAACTCCAAAAGAATTTTAAAAAAGTTACAACTCACTGGAATTTTGATATGTTGTGCACTAGTGTTTCTAAAATTTGACCGTTCGACCGATTCGATAGTTCAACTGATTTGACCGGTTATAACATGTCATTCTTGTGACCGTTCGTTTGACCGACCAGTTTCTCAAACGGTCAATTTTCGAAACTATCATATGCACCACAAATTTTTGAATAGATTAAAAGGACATTATGTGATGCTCAAAACGAATTAAAAGTTTTAGCTCCCAAAAACCGAAAATGGCCAAATTCTGGTTTTTCAACTTTTTTCAAACATATTCAAGGTGCAATAGCACAATTTTGATGAATAAGAGGTCACAGAATACTAGGAAATGCAGTTGTGCATGCAGTCTTGAGGGCTGCGTCATAGCTATAGACGCACCCCCATTATTTCAGTTTTCAAAAGATATATTGAACTTCCTGCAATCAAACCTATTTTATAATGAACATAGCTGAAATTACTGACATCACAAAGAGAACTACAGAAGACTCAGTACACAAAATTTTCGAAATCCGTCAAAAATGGTTTTTTGATAATTATAGACGCACTTTGGCCCAGGGCTCATTTTTAACTTTTGTTGGAACTTTCGCCTTCTTGATTTTAAACAAACACTAAAAATAGTATGAAGAAAGAATTTTAAGTAATTTTTAATCAAGCAATTTTATTTTCAAATCATGCGAAAAGCGAAAAAAAAAATCGAAAAAAATGGTAAAAAAAGTTCGTCATACTAGAGACATCTTCGAATTTTGTTTTCTGACGTGTATGAAAACAAGATTTTCAGTTTGATGTTTCCAGGGGCATGTTGCAAAAGGGCTATAACTGCATATAAATCTGGAGAAGCCTTCCCGCCAGAGTGCGAAGATGGCTCAGTCAAATGCACAGAGGAACCGATTTTTCTGGAAAATCCTTCTTCTGCTTCATTAATTATGAATTTTTTGTGGAGAGCTACGAGAACTGGCTCCATTACCATCTTGGATAACAAAAATGTAGAAATCCTGATCTCGAATTTGGAAGAAATTGTTCATAATGGCCAAGGTAAGGCTTTTTTGAAATTCGAAAAACACAAAATAATTCAGTAATCCATAAAAATTATTTATTCAATTATTTCAAAAACCATCCATTTTTTCATAAGTTCATCGGGAATGTCCTTTTTAAAAAGAGTTGGAAAAATCTAAAAACCGTTGCTCCGTGACGTCATGCTATCTCTTTCTGACCGACTCTGGAACACACCAGTGATCTGGCGTTGGCGCCAAGAGCCGCGTACGCATACGCTACGCGTCCCTCTTCCTCTCTACAAGAAACGTGCACGGTGCGAGCACTGATTTTGCACTTTTTGCTGCACGGTGCATGTTGTAGTTTTGCACCTCGCAGTTTTGGGTCTTTTTTAGTGCGGGTGTGGTGCAACACCGCACGGTGCTGACACTCTGAACCACAAAACTAAACATGCTTTGCTACTCAACTTAGGCCTTTTCTTTCTCCATCATCCGATTTTTTTAACGAAAAAAAAAATCATTACAAAAACGAAAAAAAAAAAAAATTACATGTAGAACTGAGAGAAATGGGCTGAATTGAGGAGATTTCGGATACCCAATTTTCTGATTCGGAGTGTCAGCACCTTGCGGTGTTGCACCACATGCGCACTGAGAAAGACCCGAAAGTCCGAGGTGCAAAAGGACAACATTCACCGTGCAGCAAAAAAGTGCAAAATCAGTGCTCGCACCGTTCACGCTCCTTGTAGAGCTGCCCCGCCTCCCTTGCCTTTCAAGTCGGGGAAAATTGACTATAAAACCGATCTTGTGCTAAAAATAACTGTTTTTCAAAAAAAAAAACTGGAAAGATGCAATTTTTCGTTTTTTAAAAGTATTCATTCCAGTTGAAATGGAAACTCCGCATTTTCAAAGTCATTTTGCAGGTCCAGCTGTTTATTTGAGGAATCCCAAGTTTTTTGGCGAAACTTTCGGCAAATTGATTAAAATAACAGTGCCAAATCCGCATATGTTCTGCAAAAATCATGATCTCCTGCGCCTGGAAAACGTAACGGCAGAAGTCAGGAACCGGCTGGAAAAAGTTGCCAACGAGGTGAATTTAAAAACCGAAATAAAACTAGATATCAAGAAAAAAAAACGTATTAATGCCTCATAATGCATAGAAAGAGTGATCAGAAACAAGAAAAATTATCTGCCAAACCCCATAGCCTCAAATTTTAATTTTTCGGGTGATTTTGATTTCTGTCGAGCCATTTTTTCATTGTTTCTTATAGACAAACAAACATTGAAATTAGGAATAATTGATCAATCTGATTTTATTTTTTCAAAACTGAACAGAAGAAAAACGTTAATTTAATTGCTTTCAAATGGATTTCTTAGAAGAGTTTTTTTTTTTAGAATTCAATGGATTTTAGCAGATAATCTCACTTGTTTCCTAATGCTCTTACCCCGGTCTATCACACACAGAAGATTAAATTCGATACCCGTCTCCAAGTCTGAGTTGTTGCTCAGTGATAAAAACAAATGTACTGAGAAATGAAATTTCAAACTTGCTTCAGTTTTTTTTCCTGGTGTAATGGTATTTTTTTTTCCAAACCTTCTCATGTATCCATTATGATAAGAATCTGTATTCAATCAATTTTCTCCTTAATAAATCAATTATACTCATGCCAGCTTCCAGTTAACTCATGATTCGTCATCTTCATTATCTCATTATTTGTTTGTATATTTATTAATTATCTTATTTATTCAACAGTTGACCAGTTGAAATTTCAACCAAACTTTTTTGTTTGACGATTGTGCGGATCAACGTTTGAGCAGGCGCCTGCAGGTCTACAAAGTACTTGATTTGAGCCTTGAAAATTGCCATCATAAACGAAAAAAAAAATCGAAAAACATTTCTAATTTCAAAAGTATTCAGACGTTGGCCGTGTGTAACACTATGACAACACCAACGACGACATCAAACGACACCGCCGTGATCCCGCCGCATCGCGTTCAGAGCGTGGCTTCCGCCGTCGCCTCAGCCTCGCAAGGAGAAAAAGACTGTCCTAGCAACAGTAACTTCCTTTGCGGGTTTTCAATGATGAACCGAATTCCAGAGGGCCTTTTGATAGTGTGCGCAGTTGTCGCTAATGTACTTCTGTTCCTCCTGGCGATTTCGGTGTATATAGCACTCAGGATTCACTTATTCAAGAAAAATGAGGACGCTGTAAATGGTGATTATAGTATCTAATTTAAATGGCGAAAATTCAAACAAAAAAATAAATTTGACTAGAATCCCCTCATGGTTGGGAATTATTTCAACGATCTTGGCCGGAATATCCCTCTATGTCGCGTAAATCAACGACCTCTTTGGATTTTTAAACTTAAAAACGAGTCATCTCGAAAACTAAGAAAATTGTTCAGAATTTCAGATCTTTAGCCTCAGAAATTATTCGAGTCCATTTCCAAAAAAAATCCTTACATCTTATTTGAATGACCGTCTTCGTTAATCGTATGAATATATAGTGCCGCGTGGTAAAGAAAAATTTCACAGAAACAGATAGAAATAAGAAAGAGACAACTAAAATGTAATCGGAAAATGTTTAGCGAATGAATTTTTCTTTCAATTCTAAAATTTTATAAAAGAATTAGATTTCTCAGAAAATGTAATCTTGATACATATTCAGTTTCTTGAATAATAATTTTTTCAATTATTTCTATTCGACCTTTGATTTTTCTGAAAAGTATGGGAGCTTTGAATTCGTACAGGCAGCTTTTTTGCAAAAACTTTCTTATGTCTGTACTTCACTCAGAAAAGAGCGGACAAGAAAAATGTTTAGATTTTTTTTTCGTCAGGATTCTGTGCCTATTTAGTGAGAAAAAAAATTATTTTCCATTGACGTGAAAATTTTCATTTTTGTAAGTTAATTGCTTGCTAAACACAACGACATTTGTGTTAAACTGTTCATTTAGGCTGGAATGAACATTTTTGAGGGATTTAGTCTCAATTCGTTAAAGTTTGGTGAAACAATCGGAGCATTCTAAGCGTTTACCCATTCCGTTTGGTGCTTCCACTCTCCTACATATTTTAGGGTGCAAACTAAATGAGTTCCAAGCTCGGCTGAAAGAGATATTTTTCAGAGTCAACAGAGCGACCCACTGAAATCAATGCTCTGCCGAGCCCCGTTCATAATGCGGCGCATCCAAATGAGAATCTCCCGAATCCTCAGAAAACACAGATCCCTACCGCTCCGAAAACGTCGGAAAAGAAACACTCGAAGGACAAAAGATCAAAGACGGCCTAAAAGATGGCGTCAGAAACCTTCGTTTCAAAGTTTATCCAACCTTTTTTCAAATAAATAGCTTTCCTAAAATCAAACTTCGAAGTCTTGTTTTTTTTTCTATAAAAGGGATTTTTGTGAGCATACACTTGTTTATTTTGAAAAGAGGACTCGCGATCATTTTAACCAAGCAAAACTCAAATCGCCAATAAAAAAAATTTGATCTCTCAAAATCTCGAAGTTCCGTCATGAAAATATATTGGTTTAAAATGAAAATATTTTGTATTGGTTTAAAAGTCTATCTCTCGAAATATCGCTCTCAAAATACTGTTTGAAATTTGGATCGATCAATATTTTTTGTCAAATTATGGATCATTATTTTGATTTATTGTACAGTGATATAAAAAATTGACCTTTCGTCAAGAGAAATTTCAAAATCGAATATTGGATTATCAATAATTTTTATATATGAAATTATTGGAAGAGTGGTTTTAAAAACTCTAGAAGGCAGGAGACAAACAACAAAACACCTCTACGTGTGAAAACAAAAGACAGAAAAACGAGTTTTTTTTTTCTCATTCAGACACATTTGAATAAAGGCAAGGCAAGTAACCGTCAAAAAGGTGCCTATAAATCGGCGTGGTTCATGACAATGTCGAGTCTCCTCTTTCAAATATGCCATCCTATTATTTAATTTCACTGATTTTCGCTGGTTTTTCGGCCGATTTTTGTGACTGGAGGTGAGGAAATGCAAAGTTTTGTCTTTTTAAATTTACAGTCCTTCAAGATTAACAAAATGAAGCGAAAATCTCTCTGAAACCGTTTTTGTCCATGAAAACTTTGAAACACTTCTGAAGGGGCATGGTGGAGTTTTTTTAAGTGTAAAAATTCAAAAAAAGTCTCAAGTTTTATTGAACCTTTTGATTTTTGGAAATGGCGTAAGCGTCACGCAGTTTTTTTATTTTTTTCGAGCCCTGAGCTTTTTTGAATTTTTTTAAATCACTTTTTCAAACTCGCCCTATGACTAGACTTTGAAAATTTTGCTCTTTCTGACTTTTTCAATTAATTAAATATGAAACTTATCAGTTGTGAGCAACTTGAAGGATAAAGTGTGAAAACTCCGATAAAACTTATAAAAAGCTTGGTTTCTAATATTTTCGCTTCAATTCTCTTGAACAGGCGGGATTTTTCTTTCAACTTAAAAATTTTTGTCTAAAATTTAATGAGGTGGTTTCCCAATAATTGATGGAAATGAAATAATTCTTCGATTCTAAAAAAAGTCTTCAGAATCGTGTATCGACAAGTTCTGTCCACCAGAAACCTACTATGAAGAACGGCTGGGTCCATGTGTTCACCCGCCTTGCAGGACAATTTTCGCGTGTCTTCCCAAGGAAGTTGATGGTAAGAAAATGTCCAGAAAGAACTCTGTAGAACAATTTTGATGAAAGAATTAGAATTTGCGGGAAATGCCTTCCTGTTCGTTTACGTTTACTGGTTTATTTATTGCCGAGAGTTGTTATTCCTATGTTGATCACTTATACTTTTTTATATTTCCTAATGTCTTGTTTATGGCAGTGAATAAACTGTTATTATTATTATTAATATTGATGATGGGGGAAGAAAAAAAGAAGAAAAAAGACGCTTACGGTTCCTCTTTTCAAATATTTTCTTCCTTTGCTCTGCCGAAAGCGCACTCCCTTTCGCTCCGGCGGAATCATGCACCGTTATTGTTTTATCCCCTCCTTCTTTATTTTCTTCCTTCAAGACCGTTCCACTGTGCGTCGCTTCGCTCCCTTCGAACTCGTAACCCGGAATTCCTATACGCCAGAGAACTGATTAAAAAGAAGCTGGACTAAACAACTTATAACATTGAAATATAAAAAGGTTTTGACAATTGTCAGGGTTTCTGCTGACACCTCCGATATATAGAAGGTCCTGGCTTCAAAAAAAGAAGTTACAGTTTTTGCTCGAATGAATAACGTTGTAGTTTTAGTATTGGGCAAAATAATGTTTTGACGCCTCCAAAATTGGTCGGCGGCAAAAGACGTGAGCAGTTCATTTTCCGTTTTGAAATCAAGATGATTCTAATCTCACTGAAGTCTATGTCTCTTTATTTGTGGCTCATGTTGTTTTATGTATCACAGTGAAATAAATATTCAAGTTCTCTATTTTTGAAATGCCCTTCTGTCGTCACACTTGAACTGACTGGTGGGAATCTCTATTATCGATTTCGAATGGTTATGCTTTTAAATCAAAATTCAAATGAGAGCTATTTATTTATTCAGAAAAGTTCCTCCTTTTTCCTTTTTCACCATTTACTTTTTCGGAATCTTTTTCATTTCTCCCGTTCTTCTAACCTTTTTTTTTACAGTATCCAGGAAAATACACAGACTTTTCTCATTGAGTAAAAATAATCTACCGTTCTCCTTCGGTTTCTGGAAACTGGTGTTGGGTTGGTTGGGGCTCGTTGGCTCACACGGAGCAGTTGGAAGGACTTTAGATCCGCTTTTCAGTCGAAAAACCCATTCGAAAATCGAAACGAATGACTTCTCTTGAAAATTTCTATTGAAAAAACTACGATGAAGTTTAAAGGACGGAAAAGTTTTTTTTCTATAAAAAAGTTTTTAATAAACTTTTCTGTTATGAAAACTATTGTCTGTGTGCCACGACTTGAAATTTCACCGAACGACATTCCGCTGTTTCGCTGCGTGCGTTCGCGAAGCGTCTTTCGAATCTAGGTCACGCCTTCAATTGATTGTTTTTGCTGTGGGAGCCCATGAAAGTAGAGTACCTCAATAAAATAACAAAAAATTAAAAGCGCGACCAAGTTTCGCAAAGGCGCGCAGCGGCACAGCGGAATGTCGTTCGGTGAAATTCGAAGTCGTGACACACAGACTATAAAACATTGAATTTCCTAATATTACAGGGTGACAAATAAATATTCAAACTCGTTTGAAACGTTATAACTTTCTCAAAATTCAACCAAACACCACCAAACTTGGAACAAATTTTATTTATACAATATAGAAACAAAAATTCAAGAATAGTTTTTCAAAACGTCCTCCTTTAGCTTTGATAACGGCCTTCAGTCTCTTCGGATACGCATCGATCACGGCACGAAGGTAGTCGTCGTCGATTTCGTCCCATTTCTTGATGAGCGCGGTCTTCAGAGCTTTAATACTTGGGTAGTTCTTAGAAGAGACCTTCTCGGTCAGATATATCCACACGGCATAGTCCATCGGGTTGAGGTCGGGCGAGGAAGCAGGCCAATCAGAGCCGAGATGAACTCGGAAAATTGGCGCGATACCACTCTAGAGTCCCTTTGGCACGATGAGCGGGGACGCCGTCTTGCTGGAAGGTCCATGGTCGGTTTCCGTAGTGAGAATTGGCTCAGGGCAACACCCTCAACTTTAAAATCTACTCCCTGTAGTATACTTGGTTCACTTCGACTCCAGAATCCACAAAAATCAGCGGAGTTTTGCCGTCAGCGGTAATTCCGGCAAAAACCATCACGGAAGCCGGATGCGAAGTTTTATTCAGAATTTTTCCTTTTTCACAGGCACTCTGATAGTCAGTAGCGATGATCCAATGATTTTGGCCGTTCTTGTTCGCCTCCACAGTGAATATTTTCTCGTCGGTAAATAGTGTCGTCAGATGCGAGCCATCTTGCGTGCCAGCGAGCAGCTTCCGAGCCTTTTTCATCCGGAATGTCTTGTTTTTTTGATCGAGGAAGGCTCCTTTCTGCATACGGTAGGGAATCATCTTCAGCTTGTCCTTGACAATAGTTCTCATCGATTCTCGACTCATTTCGTATTCTTTTGCCATCTTTCTCACGCTTCTTTCCGGAGTGCGTCTGATTTTCTCTCGAACGGCTTTGACGGCTTCTGGAGTCGTGACGGTGACTGGACGTCCCCTCTTTGCATGTCATCTGAAGTACCGAGACGCCGATAACGTTGTGCAGTTCGAAAAACGAGAACACGAGACACTTTCAGCTTTTTAACGATCTCTGAATTCGTCATTTCGCTTTTGACACAATCAATAATTGCGGTACGGTACGGAGATGGAGCCACCATTAACTGAAAACTGAAAAGTATGAGCTGTAACTTCAAACACATGATACGTGAGCCTGAATGAACGAAATAAACAAAAAAATTCAAAGGCCAGTCCTTTGTGCAAAAAGCAGCGATCAAACAAAAAACGGTTTGAATATTTATTTGTCACCCTGTACTTCTTTGTCTCAGAACATGGTTCTCTCGGTTTATATGAGGGTTTTAACAATACTTCAGAAAATTCTTCCTTTTTTCAAAGAACTACAGTTTTAACGAGTCGACAGAGATTTGGAACGAACTGGCTGCTTGGCTGCCACTGCCAGTTGCCGTTCAGACAAAGTCTTTCAGATGGCTTAAAGGATTTCAAAATAACTGTTGTATAGTGTAAAAAACGATCTTTAACACCCCTTGTGGTATATATTTATCTTACAAATATATACACTTAACTACTATACAAAATATCTAGAACAACTATTGATTACCAACCAAATATTGGGGTAAAAACATTTTAGGCCAATAATGGGTTCTACGCAGAACAATGTACGCTAGCGCGCACATGAGTTGTGTGTAGGTTTACGGGGATTCCGCATTCCACACCAATAACAATCCAGCGGGCGCCGATTGTATCACCTTAAACCGTCGCGGTCATCACTCGATCGCAACGCTAGAAGCTGAGAAGGCGTCAGCCCCGAACCCATGTCTTTGGGAGGACTGTTTTTACTTTTAATCTTTCAGGGCCGCCGTCAAAGACGGTCAACGCCCACGGGTGAAACGAAAAAAGGAGATTTACTTATGCCCTTTTCGCTTGCTCAATCAATTTCTCATCCTTCTCGAGCTTGAAGAGATCAAAATCAATAAAGCCTAGCGGAAGGTCTACAACCCTCCTAAAATTTTGGAATTTTTAATTAAAATATAAATTATAGATTATAGCAAAAAAGTTGAAGACCGCAGGAAGTTTTTTGAAAATCACCCCAAAGATTTTTTTTATACTACTCAATAGTGTATACTGTCAATATTTCAACAAAATCCGTTCAACTTTCTAAAGGAAGCTCACTGAAAAGAAGCTGTGATCAAAGTTTCTGATTTGGTTTTTTGTCGTTAAAAGTAGGGTGCTCTTTGATAAAAATAATTTTTTTTTTTTGCTATTTGAACAAAAAGAAGAAGTCAAAAATCTAACGGACCGGATGAGGTATATATTCTCAAAATATTTTTGTTCGTTTCTCACGCTTCGAAACACTTCAATAAAAGAAGATCAATTGGAAAACAGCGTTTTTATTTCATTAATAATGACCTTCGAGTTATTTTTAAAACTTAACAGTAGTGCTTTGAAGTTTGGTGCAATAATTCAGGCGCACCCTGAACTTAATGATTAATAAATAATAGTTTATTGATTAACATCAGTGGGGATTTAAGATTTAATTTGGATTTTAAATAAAGCTTCATAAGAGTTGAGCAGAGACTTGAGGGAAAACTAATCTTTGAACCTTGAGATCTACCTCACATCTGAACCTCACAAGGCTATCCAGTTTCCGAAAAATGAAATTCTTTAGTGTTTTCAAGAATGAATGAAAACATGGGACTCTATTATTGTCTATTCAAGTCGTGCGTCATTGAAACGACAAGAAAGCTTCGAGGACCCAAAAAATGCATCAAGAAGTCACTTAAAAATCGACTGTGAGTACTGTCATAACTATTCTGCTTTCATGCCCACTTCAAAAAAAAAAAACTGACACGAGAAGTGAATTGAGCGTGCACCTTTGGATTTCCTAGAAAATAGTTTGAAACCTCCAGTGTACTTCTCCATTGCTTTCCTGTCCTACATCACTAAATTTTGGAGGGTCAGAGATCATTTTGCATTTCGCGAAATTAAATTGAACACGGCATTATAAAATTATAATGTATCAAATGCGTAAAATCAAAAAAAAATTAACGTGGCATTCACAATCGCATAAATGGCATTCTGTGTCTCGAATCTTCCGCGACTGGCAGCAATGGGTAACTTTTTGGGCTTTCGTTTTTCTCATCACCGATGACTTCGACAGTGCTCCGGGCACTCAGATACGGACATTCTGGGCATTTAATAAGTGCAATGTTAATAGGTTTCTCAATTCGCGTCTGATGTGTTATTAGAGAAATAAAGGATGGGGAAAGCCCATACTTTTGAAGTTGTATCTCTCCACCGAAATACGCTATTCTAGCTTGAAACCTCTTGAAACTTTTTCTTGCTCCCAGTAGCGTTCAGAGCTATTTCGACGTCTGCGATCAATCAGATTCGCAATAATTCTTATTTACCGCCTCTCCTAAAATTTCTTAACGTGGCTTTCGAAGCGGAATCGAGTTAGGATCATTGATTTTTTTGAGGCGCTTTCCGAAGACTAATTGTTCGACTCATTTTTGATTTATTACCGCTTTCGGATTATGTAACTGGTTCAGAAAGTTTCAAAAACGAATTATGAGATAAGTAATGAGATGGTATAGCATGTGTAACACGACTCGGAATTTCACCAAACGACATTCCGCTGTTCCGCTGCGTGCCCTTTCGAACCTTGGTCGCGTTTTTAAATTTTTTTTTTCTTTTATTAAGTTACTCCACTTTCATGTGCTCTCACAGCGGGAAAATTCCAGAATCGCCCCCCACACTGTTTTTGCCCCCCGCGTTCCAACAAGCCCCCCACCAAGCCAAGTTCCGATCTGTGGGGGGTGAAATAGGAGGACTTCATGTGGGGGGAAGAATCGAACGCGGGGGGTGAATATGTATTCTAGAATGGCCCCCCACAGTACAAAAACGGGGGCGATTCTGAAAATGCCTAGGCAATCTTTCATATTTGCCCCCGCACGGCTTTGAAATAGTCCCCCAGAGCTCATTCGAACAAGCCCCCTCCCATTTCAGAATGACCCCCCTCTCATTTCAGAATGGCCCCCTCCATTTCAGAATGGCCCCCTCCCATTTCAGAATGGCCCCCTCTATTTCAGAATGACCCCCTCTATGTCAAGTATTTTTATTTATTTGACGAATTGTTCACTGTGGCTCAGTTTTTTTCGAAGCGAGCCACAGTCGGCTTCGCGCTATGCGCGCTCCGCTTCCGTGTGAAGCCTTAAAAACTAAGCCTATTTTTCCTAAGTAATTTATTAATTAATGTGCATGAAAAGAAAAAAAGCGAAAAAAATTCTATTCCTCAGAACAATTACTTTATTGAAAACTAATAAAGTTCATCTTAAATTGTTCTAAGTGGTCAGCGCCCCATAGTTTTATGATATTCGTACGTATCTCGGCGAGACGTACCCGTAAACTTCTTTGTCTGACTTGAACTTCTCATGAAACTCGGTCAGCGACCTAATTTCTTCCATGGTCTAAAAAACAAATCACAAAAATTATTAAATTCACAAAAAGAACACGAATTTACATGCGAAAATACAAAAAAAAACCATTTGAAACAACCAAGAACCACGAATGATACGAAAAAATTAGAAAATAAATTTAAAAATGGATGCTGTGACACGTGTCCTGCGTGATCGTTGCGTGACTTTTTTTCGGTGTGGGGGTTATACTGGATAGTTCCGGGGGGCTATATTGGATAAGTGTGGGGGGCTTGTTCGAACGTGTCGCGGGGGGGTGATATCCAACATATGCGGGGGGCTATACTGTAATATGCCGGAATGTCGTTCGGTGAAATTTCAAGTCGTGGCACACAGACTAAAGCTAATACTTTTTTCTCGGTTTTTTGGCCTTATGTGACATGAAGCTCATTTTCTGTAAATAATTTCTATTTCAGTTTAATATAAATATTTTTCACAAAGTTCAAACTAAGTTCAAAATATCCTTGTAAGTTCGGATCTTTTTTTCCAAGGTTCTTCGAAAGCTCGACTGAAAAGGCAGCTAGTCTACGTCTTCGGGATCCTATTTTGCGCGATATCAAGGGCTACGGTCGAAGGTAATTTGTCTTTTTGTTTTCTACTTTCAGAATATTCAACAAGCAAACTCCAAAAGAATTTTAAAAAAACGTTAGAACTCACTGGAATTTTGATATGTTGTGCACTAGTGTTTCTAAATTTGACCGTTCGACCAATTCGATAGTTCAACTGATTTGACCGGTTATAACATGTCATTCTTGTGACCGTTCGTTTGACCGACCAGTTTCTCAAACGGTCAGTTTTCGAAACTATCATATGCACCACAAAGTTTTGAATAGATTGAAAGGACATTATGTGATGATTTCCGGTTTTTCAACTTTTTTTTCTATAAATTCTTTCAAACATATTCAAGGTGCAATAGCACAATTTTGATGAATAAGAGGTCACATAATACTAGGAAATGCAGTTGTGCATGCAGTCTTGAGGGCTGCGTCATAGCTATAGACGCACCCCCATTATTTCAGTTTTCAAAAGATATGTTGAACTTCCTGCAATCAAACCTATTTTATAATGAACATAGCTGAAATGACTGACATCACAAAGAGAACTACAGAAGACTCAGTATAGTCGATGTGCCACGACTTGAAATTTCATGGAACGACACTCCGTTGGGTGGCCGAGGCCGTGAAAGCGCCTTGCCTTTGCGAATTTCGGTCGCGCTTTCCTTTTTTTCTTTTTATTTGAAATTTTCATTATTTTTAATTATGTTTTAATAGTTTTCTTCGTGCCAAACTCATAATTATCTTTTTCTAGTGGATAGACTGTTTCATTGATAAAAAAATAAAATAGAGTAATTTTTCGAATTTTTAAGAGAAAAATGCGTTTATAATATTTGAAAGTTTTTTTCATGAGATGGTCTTTGGTTTTTGTTCAATATATTCCGTTATTTTTACCTTCATTGAGCCTTTATCGACATTTCTTTTTTTCATTTCAAATAATGTAAAAAAATATCCCAATCAGAAATAAAATACACAGTGAATGATTTTTTTAAAAAAATTGAATGTTTCTACATCGACGAAGGAACGAAAACCTTTCTTCAAATTATGGTGCATGTGCTCATGGAAGTAAACGTCTTCATTTTATAAGACACTCAATTTCTGAAAAAACCATTAACGACTGCAAACAGAAAAAAAAACGATGAAAACATTAAAACATGGCCATAAAAAAAAACACAGAAACTTTTGTAGAATATTGTGGTGTTTACGGCCTATTTCACCCGCAAATCTTTTTACTAAACCTTTGAAACCTTTTTTGAGAAACGAGAAAAACAATATTAGAGCGATTGACGAATACATGAAGTTTTTCAAACTTTTTTTTATCGCTTTTTTCGAGAAAGATCATGAAATTTACTGTGTTCTTTTGTTTACATTTGTACAACGCAATCCTTTTCAACGAAAATAATACATTTTGAAGGAATAAAAAAACTAAAAAACGATCAAAATTAGAATGAAAACCAAATAAAAATTAGCGTGGCCGAGGTTGGCAAACTCGCAAGATGCGCGCTACCGCACAAATCAAAACAGCGGAGTGTTTTTCCATGAAATTTCAACTAGTGGCACATCGACTATACAAAAAATTTTCGAAATCCGTCAAAAATGGTTTTTTGACCGGGTCATAATTATAGACGCACTTTGGCACAGGGCTCATTTTTAAGTTTTGTTGGAACTTCGGCATTTCTTCTTGATTTTAAATAATTACTAAAATAGTATGAGGAAAGAATTTTAAGTAATTTTTAATCAAGCAACTTTATTTTCAAATCATGCGAAAAGCGAAAGAAAAAATCGAAAATTGGTAAAAAAAAAAAGTTCATCATACTAGAGACATCTTCGAATTTTGTTTTCTGGCGTGTATGAAAGTAAGATTTTCAGTTTGATGTTTCCAGGGGCATGTTGCAAAAGGGCTATGATTGCATATAGCTCTGGAGAAGCCATCCCGCCAGAGTGCCAAGATAACTCAGTGACATGCACAGAGGAACCGACTTTTCTGGAAAATCCTTCTTCTCTCCGAATACTTGATTCTTTTTTGAAACGCGCTACGAGAACTGGCTCCATTACCATATTGGATAACAAAAATGTAGAAATCCTGATCTCGAATTTGGAAGAAATTGTTCATAATGGCCAAGGTAAGGCTTTTTTGAAATTCGAAAAACACAAAATAATTCAGTAATCCATGAAATTATTTATTCAATTATTTAAAACCATCCATTTTTTTATAAGTTCATCGGGAATGTCCTTTTAAAAGGGTTGGAAAATCCAAAACCGTTGCTCCGTGACGTCATGCTATCTCTTTCTGACCGACTCTGGAACACACCAGTGATCTGGCGTTGCCGCCAAGAGCCGCGTACGCATACGCTACGCGTCCCGCCCCCTCTCTACAAGAAACGTGCACGGTGCGAGCACTGATTTTGCACTTTTTGCTGCACGGTGCATGTCGTAGATTTGCACCTCGCAGTTTTGGGTCTTTTTCAGTGCGGGTGTAGTGCAACACCGCGCGGTGCTGACACTCCGGATCGGAAAATTAAACATGCTTTGCTACTCAATTTAGGCCTTTTTCTTTCTCCATCATCCGATTTTTAACGAAAAAAAAAATCATTACAAAAAAACGAAAAAAAAATAAATTACATGTAGAACTGAGAGAAATGGGCTGAATTGAGGAGATTTCGGATACCCGATTTTCTGATTCGGAGTGTCAGCACCGTGCGGTGTTGCACCACACGCGCACTGAAAAAGACCCGAAATTGCGAGGTGCAAAAGGACAACATGCACTGTGCAACAAAAAGTGCAAAATCAGTGCTCGCACCGTTCACGCTCCTTGTAGAGCTGCCCCGCCTCCCTTGCCTTTCAAGTCGGGGAAAATTGACTATAAAACCGATCTTGTGCTAAAAATAACTGGAAAGATGCAATTTTCGTTTTTTAAAAGTATTCATTCCAGTTGAAATGGAAACTCCGCATTTTCAAAGTCATTTTGCAGGTCCAGCTATTCATTTGAGGAATCCCCAGTTAACTGGCAAAGCTTTCGTCAAATTGAATAAAATAACAGTGCCAAATCCGCATATGTTCTGCAAAAAATGGGATCTCCTGCGTCTGGAAAACAACGTAACGGCAGAAGTCAGGAACCGGCTGGAAACAGTTGCCAACAAGGTGAATTCTAAAACCGAAATAAAACTAGATATCAAGAAAAAAACGTATTAATGCCTCATAATGCATAGAAAGAGTAATCAGAAACAAGAAAAATTATCTGCCAAACCCCATAGCCTCAAATTTTAATTTTTCGGGTGATTTTGATTTCTGTCGAGCCATTTTTTCATTGTTTCTTAAAGACAAACAAACATTGAAAGTAGGAATAATTGATCAATTTGATTTTATTTTTTCAAAACTGAACAGAAGAAAAACGTTAATTTAATTTCTTTCAAATGCATTTCTTAGAGGAGTTATTTTTTTTAGAATTCAATGGATTTTAGCAGATAATCTCACTTGTTTCCTAATGCTCTTACCCCGGTCTATCACACACAGAAGATTGAATTCGATACCCGTCTCCAAGTCTGAGTTGTTGCGCAGCGAAAAAAAGAAATGGACTGAGAACTGAAATTTCAAACTTGTTTCAGTTTTTTTTTCCTGTTGTAATGGTTTATAATTATCTTATTTATTCAACAGTTGACCAGTTGAAATTTCAACCCAACTTTTATGTTTGACGATTTTGCGGATCAACGTTTGAGCAGGCGCCTGCAGGTCTACAAAGTGCTTGATTTGAGCCTTGAAAATTGCCATCATAAACGAAAAAAAAAAACGAAAAACATTTCTAATTTCAAAAGTATTCAGACGTTGGCCGTGTGTAACACTATGACAACACCAACGCCAACGTCCGCAACGGTTAAAACGACAGCTTCTACAAACATAAGCCTTCCGTCGACATCAAACGACACCGCCGTGAACCCGTCGCAATGCGCTCAAAGCGTGGCTTCCGCCGTCGCCTCAGCCTCGCAACGAGAAAAAGATTGTCCTAGCAACAGTAACTTCCTTTGCGGGTTTTCAATGATGAACCGAATTCCAGAGGGCCTTTTAATCGGTGGCATAGTCTTGGTTGTTGTACTTCTGATCCTCCTGGCGATTTCGACTTTTGTAGCCATCAGACTCTATTTCTTCAGGAAAGACGAAGACGCCGATTTTGCTGTATATGGTGATTATAGTGTCTAATTTAAATGGCGAAAATTTGAACAAAGAAAAGATGTGACAAGAACTCCCTTATTTTACCACAAGCTGGGAAACGTTTCAAACGATATTTAGTTTCAGAAATTATTCGGGTCGATTTTCAGAAAAAATCCTTACATCTTATTTGAATGACCGTCTTCGTTAATCGTATGAATATATAGTGCCGCGTGGTAAAGAAAATTTCACAGAAACAGATGAAAATAAAAACGAGCCAACTAAAATGTAATCGGTCTTAATAAATTTTTTAGCAAATGACTTTTTTTTCAAATCTAAAATTTTATAAAATAATTGGATAATCAGAAAATGTAATCTTGATACATATTGTTTCTTGAATAATAATTTTCTCAATTATTTCTATTCGACCTTTGTTTTTTCTGGAAAGTATGGGAGTTTTAAAGTCCTACAGCCAGATTTTTCGCAAAAACTTTCTTAGGTCTATACTTCACTCAAAGAAGAGCGGACAAGAAAAATTTTAAAGATTTTTTTTTTCCTCAGGATTGTCTGCCTAGTTTGCGAGAAAAAAAAATTTTTTTCCATTGACGTGAAAATTTTCATTTTTTTAAGTTAATTGCTGGCTAAACACAACGGCATTTGTGTTTAAATGTTCATTTAGGCTGGAATGAACATTTTTGACTGATATACTCTCAATTCGTTGAAGTTTGGTGAAACAATCGGAGCATTTTAAGCGATTACCTTACGGGTACATAAGGCTCATGTTGCTGTACACGACGTTCTTTTTTACGACGCCCCGCCCACAATTTTTCGTAATATAAGACGTCTTTGGTGCATACACAGAACGAAGCTAACTTGCATACTCCATTGATTCAAAAACAAAAACATTTTTGTACAAAAAATGATGAAATAGAAATTTTTTGAGAACTACAGACTGGGATAATGATGATTCAACCACATTTCTATTTTCTAGTTAACTTCACGACAAAATAAGTCGGTTTAAAAATTTTTCTCACTTTTTGAAAGATGTTCTTTTTATTTCATATCTCAAGTAATTATGAAGCACTTTTTGTGTGTGAAACAATTGAAGTTAACGTTGATGCTGTTGCTAAAAACATTTTTAGCTTTAGTAGTGAAATTCGGTAATAAGGTGGATTATTAAAAATGGTTACTTCATTCAAAAAATTAAGCGAAACCCAAAAGTGATGTGATTAGGGAGTAGAAAAAAACATAAAAGCTTTTTCGATTGTTTTTTGGCTTTCTCACAGTCACGAAAGCTGCATGAGTTCGGAAAAAAGCAAATTCAAAACAAAAAGATTCGAAGGTTCATTTTTTTTTTTCATGAGAGTTTGATGATGAACGGTAAAGAAAAAAGAAATATTATATCAACTTAATACAAAATTAAAACAACCAAAACTTGTCAAATATTACAATAAGACTGGATATTGATAAAATAATTCAAAAAAAGCCATATAAAAAAGAAGTGTTCGATTTTTGGCGGGGCGACGGAGCATCTAAGTTGGAAGGGTTTTTTTTTCACAAAATTTTACAATTTTACACATTTATTTTACATTTTCTTTCACTACGCAGAACGCCGTGTGTAGCGGGGCATGAACTTTGCTCCCGCTACAGCACCCGAGCAGAGAGCAAACTATAAGAAAGGCTTTTTTGTGAGCAAGATAAGCCGGTACATAGTATTCTTTCAGTATCGTATATAACGCAACTTACAAATTCGATGATTCTCCTCCAATCGGGCCGAGACGGAGCTATGCGTTAGTTCCCTCATCGTACCGAATTTTTGATCAGATTTTTGCAGTTAACGGCTATATATTCGATGGTCTTCAAGTAAAATGTTCCGAATTGGGTGAGTTTGGTTCGAACTCGAAAAAAAAAACACTATTTTCTGCACCAGACAATTATCGAAACAGTCTTAACTTTCACTACTTCTTGATTTATGAGAAGACACCCCCAAATGCCGGCTGAAGAGTCTTTCTTAAAATCTCTTTTTTTCTCAGAAACTAGAAAGTTTTGCAGGTTTTGACTTTTTGCACTTTTCTCTTCTCTAGAAAAACAAAAAACAACAACAAACCATTCTTTAAAACTGAAAAAAATCCCTCTGGTCGTTAATTGGAAAGAGAAAAAACCTTTTCGTCAGAAAGTTTACCATCTCTGGTGTGAGATAAGATCATCTTTTAGCTTTATCGAAAAAGCCTTCAATTTTCAAGTTGAGTCACAGCCGAAAAGATTTAAAAATTCACTTCTTGTAGCGCCGACTTACAGTATTTGAACTTGGTTGCGATTTTTTTTTTGGCGTGAGTTCGGATTCTGTAGCTAGTTCTTCAATTTGAAGGAATTTGGATAACAAAATCCAAACACGGCGGAAGTGAACGGATTCACGCTAAAAACAAGCCTAAAACATGATCTGTGCTCACCTTTATTTTTTTTTTTCTAGCTTACCTTGTGAAGTGTTACCACACGCAGGCCACGGATCGCAAAAAGAAATTCGAAGTGGGCAAGCCTCTAGATCCAAAAACGGACTTCTATTCGGAGTTATTCGAAAAAATTCCATGGAATAAAAAATTTGGACCGTGTGATAAACAGGACAAGACGGAGGAGTTCATCGAAGCGGCGCAGAAGTTTGAAACTGTGAAAAAGGCACACCAAGCTGGAAAGGAGTTTGAGCCGCCGAAAGGGACTCGTATCTGGTCGGACCTGCGACTGAAAAACCAGGAACTAATGGACGTAGTGAAACTGCCCGAACAGCAAATTGTAGAGAAGAGGCCAAAACCTCAGCTACCAGAAGGTCCACCGAAGGTTTTGAAAAAACGGCAAAAAGGAGGAGGAGACCCGCCTTCCAAAGCTATCACGAGCGTCGTCAAAAACGAAAATTCAAAGAAGAAAGAAACGAAGAAGGAAGACCCAAAGGTGGAAGAGAAAAAAAAGGAGGATCCAAAGGCGGAAGAGAGGAAGAAGGAAGACCCAAAGGTGGAAGAGAAAAAAAAGGAGGATCCAAAGGCGGAAGAGAGGAAAAAGGAAGGCTCAAAGGCGGAAGAGAAACGAAAGGAGGATCCGAAAGCAGAAGAGGCAAAAAAGGGTGAACTGAAGATAGGAGAACTAGATAAACAGGAAGGTGAACCTGTAAAATTCGTGAAGCCTGAAGATATCGTGAAGAGGTTATTAAAAGAAGATCAGCCGAAACAAGTTTACGATGTGCCACGCGAAAAAATCGTGCTTGATAAGTGTCTTCCGCTGTCTCCTTCGAGTCCGGTTAAAAAGGAAGTACGACGTTTTTTTAAAAACCAAAGCCAAAGTTCTGAGTGAGTGCTTCTTTCTTTTTTTATTGATAATTATTCACTAGCAGAGGCTGGTAAAACTGTAGCCTTCAATCGGATCTAAAGGCAGCTTGTTGAACAGTTGAGACACCATGGCAGAGATAGGCGAAAAAAAGACATTTTTTTGCGCATTTTGCATTCTGCTTTTTTTCTATATGACTTCTCAAAATGTACTTTGATCCAACTTTTTTACTGTCCACTCATCTTTTTATCTTATTCGAACCGCCTCGATAAGATGTCACAGTCGAAAAAAATGTCCTTTGAAGAAAAAAAATATATAAATTTCACTTTTTGCAATCCAAAAAAACACTTATTTTTTTGTACTGAGGGTGTTGCCAGTGCTTCACCATTTCGCGATTTAAAAATTTAGTTCCGACCATCTGGATCAAATACGATTTTGTTGAAAGCTAAGATGTCAGAAATTTCTCGTCGAAGCTGAAGTCGAGAAAAACTTTTCAAGGCGGTCCGAGTAAAAATCAAAAGATAGACTCAACCTGATGAGCATCTCACGAAAGGTCTCGGAGGTGTTGACAGCTTAGAACGAAAAAGCAGGCGATTTGGCAATTGCTACGAAAACATTTGCTTTCTCGAGCAGCTTGTTTCAGGCGTCGATTTAAGCTCAAACCACGATAATAAAAAGTACTAGGTCCAATATTCTCATCATTCTGATGATCATCTGCGCCTGTCAGAAAAAAAAAAAACATCACGATACCTCAGTTGTGAAGAATTGAAATTTTAGGGGATACATTCTCAATTTTTTCATTGGTGATGGAAGAGCTGCAGAATTACTGTGAAGTTCACGCTAAAGGTATAGAGAATGATGAGAGAGAAAAAAACATTTTCGCAATTGTGATTTCAGTTTGGAAGCTCCTCAACTTGAACGCCAACCAAGTGGAGATCAAGCTAATAGAAAGAGCGAGATACAACTGTTCCTATGAAATAATTAATGATGCTAGTCCCGGTTACCCTCAAAAGCTTAAATGGCCGTTAAAGGAATGCACCCCTCAACAAATTTCTTCACGTGAGTTTTGAAAAAAAATATTTCATAATCAACTTTTTACCCGCTTGAAATGCAGTGGGAATGATGTGAAAAAGAGCGGTTTTGATATCTGATTATTAATAAAAAAAATACCAGGAACAATAAAAAAACCTTGATCAGGAAACTGCTTGAAAGGGAAAAATCAATCAAAAAGATTGAAATTCGAGTTTGAATTTTTACATTTTGCCAAAAGCCGGGTCGCTACCGTTCCTGTTAAGTAAGGACGAGTTGACTATTTAAAAAAATTTACTGAGAGTTGAAAACGTGTTCGAAAACCTTTCTGTACCTATTCATATACTTTTTTTAATGTAACAGAAATTTTTTTAACTTCAATTTTGATTCTACTAAAATCTAGATTCTATCATTCTCAGTAAAAAAAGATAATATGCTTACGTATTTAAGTAGTATAAACATTATAACTACTTTGAAAAAACAAAGAATAAACTTAAATACCAAATGGAGTTTAGCGCCGTTTATTCAGACAAACTTTTTCTACAGCTGTTTCGACAGATCAGCTGTTAGACTTATTTGATTGTTTTGATGATTTATTTTTTGTACTTGTAGATTTCGGAATGACGAATAAACACTTGAAATGAATGAAAATGAGAGCCGTCAAGAAATTTTTATTTCATTAAAGTTCGCTTTTTCGAAGTCGAAGACCTGACAGAGTTGTTCTCAAAATATGCGTTCAAGTTACACGAATTTGTTCGTTTACATGTCAAATGAAACGGAAAAGGATGACTTTGGAATAATTCTGACGCGTTCAATCTGTATAGGCCAACGAAACCTCGGGCAAAGCGGGAATGGTGGATAATGGCCGCTAAAAAAAGGAAAAAAAGGCTCTAAAAAAAGCAGCAAAAAGGCAACAAAGAGAGTCCTTTTATCGATCCTTCCATGTTCTCTAGAACTTTGAAGGCGCAGAAAGGCAGCAAAATGGGAGCCTTCGGCACCCTAAAAGGAACATTTCTATCATTTCCTTTTTCCACCCTTTCCGACTTTGCCTATGACGATGGTTCAGATTGTTGTGAACTCGCCTCTCTTTCATTTCATTTTCAGTGGCATACAATGAACTCAAAAAATTGCGCGCTTCTGCCAAAGGAAACGAGAAGCGGCTTCTGGAGCTGTTGGAGGCCGAACACATGGAGAAGGCGAATCTCTTGCACGCTGAAGGCCTCAATTATTACTACTGGTTTAAAAGTTCGTATTTCCTCTTTCTTGGCACGTATCGAAAACAAAAAAAAAAATAAATTTCGCATTCCAAGACTCGAAGAAAAAAGACTGGACAAAAACTTCAAGTTTTTCAGAGTTCGTACTAGTTGAGCAGGCAATTCTTCCAGGAGAGACCATCGCCGATGCTAGTAAGAGGATTTACAGTGAGTTTACCCATTCCGTTTGGTGCTTCCACTCTCCTACATATTTTAGGGTGCAAACTAAATGAGTTCCAAGCTCGGCTGAAAGAGATATTTTTCAGAGAGTAAAGAGCGATTCACTGAAATCAATGCTCTGCTGAACCCCGTTCATAATGCGGCGCATCCAAATAAGAAGCTCCCGAATCCTCAGAAAACACAGATCCCTGCAGCTCCGAAAACGTCGGAAGAGAAACATTCGAAGGACAAAAAATCAAAGAAGGCCTAAAAGATGGCGTCAGAAACCTTCGTTTCAAAGTTTATCCAACCTTTTTTCAAATAAATAGCTTTTCTAAAATCAAACTTCGAAGTCTTGTTTTTTTTTTTCTATAAAAGGGATTTTTGTGAGCATACACTTGTTTATTTTGAAAAGAGGACTCGCGATCATTTTAGCCAAGCAAAACTCAAATCGCCAATAAAAAAAAATTTGATCTCTCAAAATCTCGAAGTTCCGTCATGAAAATATATTGGTTTAGCATGAAAATATTTTGTATTGGTTTAAATGTCTATCTCTCGAAATATCGCTCTCAAAATACTGTTTGAAATTTGGATCGATCAATATTTTTTTGTCAAATTATGGATCATTATTTTTGATTTATTGTACAGTGATATAAAAAAATTGACCTTTCGTCAAGAGAAATTTCAAAATCGAATATTGGATTATCAATAATTTTTATATATGAAATTATTGGAAGATTGGTTTTAAAAACTCTAGAAGGCAGGAGACAAACAACAAAACACCTCTACGTGTGAAAACAAAAGACAGAAAAACGAGTTTTTTTTTTCTCATTCAGACACATTTGAATAAAGGCAAGGCAAGTAACCGTCAAAAAGGTGCCTATAAATCGGCGTGGTTCATGACAATGTCGAGTCTCTTCTTTCAAATATGCCATCCTATTATTTAATTTCACTGATTTTCGCTGGTTTTTCGGCCGATTTTGTGACTGGAGGTGAGGAAATTCAAATTTTGTCTTTTAAATTTACAGTCCTTCAAGATTAACAAAATGAAGCGAAATCTCTCTGAAACCGTTTTTGTCCATGAAAAACTTTGAAACACTTCTGAAGGGGCATGGTGGAGTTTTTTTAAGTGTAAAATTCGAAAATCTCAAGTTTTTATTGAACCTTTTGATTTTTGGAAATGGCGTAAGCATCACGCAGTTTTTTTATTTTTTTCAAGCCCTGAGCTTTTTTTGAATTTTTTTAAATCACTTTTTTTCAAACTCGCCCTATGACTAGACTTTTTTTGCTCTTTCTGACTTTTTCAATTAATTAAATATGAAACTTATCAGTTGTGAGCAACTTGAAGGATAAAGTGTGAAAACTCCGATAAAACTTATAAAAAGCTTGGTTTCTAATATTTTCGCTTCAATTCTCTTTAACAGGCGGGATTTTTCTTTCATCTTGAAAATTTTTGTCTAAAATATAATGAGGTGGTTTCCCAATAATTGATGGAAATGAAATAGTTCTTCGATTCTATAAAAAAGTCTTCAGAATCGTGTATCGACAAGTTCTGTCCACCAGAAACCTACTGTGAAGAACGGCTGGGTCCATGTGTTCACCCGCCTTGCAGGACAATTTTCGCCTGTCTTCCCAAGGAAGTTGATGGTAAGAAAATGTCCAGAAAGAACTCTGTAGAACAATTTTGATGAAAGAATTAGAATTTGCGGGAAATGCCTTCCTGTTCGTTTAATTTTTAAGATACTTAACATTTTCTGGACTTCTGAACTGTTGAAACTTTTCAAATGTTAACTTCTTTCTAAAACCTTGAATTTTGAAATCAATTTTTTTTAAATCGAAAAAAAAATTCAACTAACCAAAGGAAATCTTCCAGGCTGCTCCCGACTTGATTGTCCTTCGGGGAAACTTTGCGTTGAACGCGTGAAACCGTGCATTTCCAAGGTCTGCAAGAAAATTCCAAGCTGTGAAACGCCAGAAAGTGAGTTGGAAAAAAAAAATCTAGTTAACTTAAAAAAGCATCCGTATTTTCAAAATTATCAACTACTTGACTCGAAATTAGTGTTTTAATCAGAGATTTATTTATATTTTTGAATTTTTGCTGAAAACTACGGTTCAAACACTCAAAAAATCAATCGAAAACACAAAAAAATCTAATTTTTCTCCAAAAACGACTTCCAAAAAAATTCACTAATTTCTAGCCTGTGAAGCCGTCGTCTGCCCACCGTCCCACCGTTGCAAAATGGACAAATCGGGAAAACCGGCGTGTATCAAAAAGATCCCGCCAACACACGCCATAATCGGACATGCTATTTTGGATCCGAGCCAGTTTAATGACGAATAATAAATATTTCAAATAACGATTTGAAAAATACAACAATTTCAACACAAAAACTTGATACAACAACGAACTATTCATTTCTGTCAAACTTTTTTTGGGAAATTTCGATAAAAAAATCTGGCAACATCTCAAAAAGATAAAAAAAACATGGCACAAAGGGGAGAAAAAAAAAAGTGATTTCGGTTAATCATGGTTGTGTGAGTAACTGAAAAATGGTAAAAAAATGATTATTCGGGGGCACAAAAATATTTTCAAGACAACAAAATAAAACAGTTTTAGTGAGGCCAAAAAGAGATTTTTCTTCGAAAGCGTCTTCGCTGACTTCGGTCTTAGGTTCACTGAGAAGTTCGAGGTTTCGACCCTGAAATTTTTCGATAAATTCAGGTATTGTTTATTTATTTTTTTACATCATTCGGTTCGTAGACAGCAAAAAGATGATCCTCGCGGACGATATCGAATTCATCTTTGGTTTTGTTCAAAAGCGACGGATCGCCTCGGAACGCTGGGTTCGGGAAAAACGGCATGAAACCATCATCTGAAAACTCTGGCTCCGTGTACACTTTATTCGCCTCTATTTAAAACCGTATCTACTTCTCTTTATTCATCTTTTGCGAGCGAAATATCCTTGGAGTAACCAAAAAAAAAAAGAATATCTTTCAGTCAATAGCCTCAAAAACAGATTTTCGGGAAGTTTTTTGAGCTTCTCGACGCCATCAAATAATATTCTACATCAATTAAAATTACCGCAATCCGTTGTGAATATGGGAACGCTGCTGTCAACTGAAAACCTCCCACGATCAAATTTGCTCGGGGTTTTTGGCGTTCTCTGATCGGCTTTCCGATCCTCGTTTCCCGTGATACCGAACATGCCTTCTGAAGTGTCGAATCAGAAAGAAACATCCTTTTTTTCAAAAGGAAACTCAAAACCGGCCGATCTCGGATGATCGGCCCAAGCGAGATGAGACGTCGGCGGCGGCGGACAAGGCGTTCCGTACATTTTTCTCGCGAAGAAAAGCACAGTACTCCTTCGGACGTTTAGTGTTGTCGAATTCTAGCAACATGAGTGAAATGAGCCACGAGCGTGTGCAAAATTCAAGACAACTTTTTCGGGATTTTTTTAAAAGAAGGCAAAAGACCCCTTAAAAAAAGTCCTTCAAAAAGACGGAAAAATCATTTCTGAGTTCTTTTTTTGATAATTTTTCACCTGCGAAGCTGCCTTGTGAACATACATTGGCAAACCATTTTTTAATGCCGTCGACACCTCCACCCAAGATTTTCTATCTTCAAGTTATTACTATCTCCCTGAGGCTAAAACTTGTATTATCTCGGCCTAGACGACCTCCTTGAGGTTGAAAAATGATTTTAATTTCCAATATTTTTGTGAGGTTCTTCCTTCCGGGCTGAATGAGTTCTGTACTTGCCATCTATGCTTGTGAAATTCGCAGAGTTGTTTTTTCTAACTTGAAGTCAAAATATAGAAAGTTCATAGCTTTCCGTGCTGTAAAGTGCTCGAAATAGTTCGATAGTCCACCTTTTTTTTTTTGAAAATAAGCTGGTTCACTTCATTTCTTCCATTTAAATAGAAAAGAAATTTTTTTTCTGATAATATGGGTAAATAACTTTTTTTCAACAGACTTAGGAATCCCAAAGTGGTTCATATAGAAGTTGAGGTACTGTTCTTCTGCTTCTAACTTCTGAAGCTCAGTGGACCCTATAGGGATCTCTCAATTTCATTCAAAAAACGCTTATTTATCCTGTTTTTCTCATGGAAATGCTTCCTCGCTTAAAGTTCCTGACAATTATCGACTAGCATGTCCCCTATAGCAACCAATAACTAAAACCCCTATAGAGACAACTTTTGCAACTTTTAGTGGCCCTGGAGAAAACCCCAGGGCCCCTAAGGTTTCCCCTATAGGGACCTCTCTGGAGTTCCTGAGGATTTCTTGTACAAGTTTTAATCCTCCCCCCTTACCTTTACGGAGTCCAGCCGGCCAATCTGGAAATTCGCGAGCCGCCGCCTCATTGCACAACAGTTCATCCCACTTCACGTTGTTCTTCCGTCCGTACGGCTAGATTATCAAAGTTTTCTGCTTCAAACATTCGTTCCTACTTCGAACTCCTCCTCTTCGTCTTCTTCTTCTGGAGGCGCTTTTTTGTAAATTCGGATTTCGGGAATATTTTCTTCTGGCTTCTGTCTCACGCGTTTGCACATTTCCAAGACCGTCTTTCGGTGGTCCTTTGACAGTGGCTTCGTGCTCGGAGGCTTTTCTTTCACCATCAAAAAGCTTTTCTGAAGCATAAAATCATCACTTTTTTTTAAATCTGCAAAAAGTTTTTTTTTCGGTTTATCAAAACTTTTGAAATTACAACCAACTCAGGCAAAGTAGGAATGACTGCAAAAATGGAGGCTCGAAAAAGGCCACAGAAAAGCAGTAAAAATAGTCCCTTTATCGAGTCTCTAAATTTTTCTAGAATTTTAACGGCTCAAGAAATAGTGGAAAAAAGGGAGAGGCAGCAAAATGGCGCATAGAAGCCGATGAAAAGGCGCGAAACGACAGAAAAAAAGTAGCTTTTGTCATTCTCAAACAAACGTTCCTATGGAGTCTTTTCCAGCATTTCCGAATTCGCCTATAAAACTTTCGACCTCAAATTTTGTTTTTGCTCTGTTAATCACCATATTCTTCTCAATCTCAGCCATGCTGCGGACACCCAACGGCGTCACCATCAGACGCTTGAAATCCCTAGGATTTCCTCCATTTTGCTGTTTGAAAACCGGCAAAACGCGTTCAGAAGCATGAGAAATGTTGACTGGAGGGTTCCGGTCTGAAAAATGTTCTCTTATCGATTTTCTAGTTCTTTTTTCTTGAAAACCCGCAGAAATGTTCGGTCGGTCAAAGTACATGTCCTGACGATAATCCATGACGTGGCAGGCTTCAAAAATAAAAAATACAGACTTGTATTAGAAATTTTTTTAGAATATAACTTGAAATACCTCAAAGGGTCAAATTCAGCCAAAAATTGTAAAAATTCAACTGTTCTCTGTTTTAAAACAATATGATCGACTCCAGTAACAAGATGAAGTTCAAAAAAATGAAAAATAAAACAAACGATGGGCTTCCGGAAGCAGTAAAAGATGATGCTCATAGTGGATTCGAGTTGGGAAGACGCTGAAGAAATAAATTCAACTGAATATTTTTCGAAACTCCGTTTCTATAATATTGATTTTTTTACAAAAAAATAGATAAAACGGAAATGTTGCTTTGAGGATCCTTGAAAGGGAGCTGAAACGGTTCCTCTAAAAAGCTAATAAAAATTTTTTTGTGAAAAAAAGTTTTTCCAGCTCCTTTTAATTAGCCTCTTGGAGCCCTTTCAAATCTTTCAAGCTGTTTTCCCGAATATTTTTGTTGAAGAACATGAAAAAGAAAATGAAAGAAAATGAGATAAAAAGTTTTGCTGGGGACCCTTGAAAGGTTTTTTTCAAGAAAAAGCTTTTTCGTATTGCGCAAGAAAGGAGCTAAAGCCCATTAAACCACAAAAAAATGAACTTGTCAAACTTAAACACTGAAATTTTTTTGATTATCTCGAGCGAACTGCGCTCTTTTTCACCTATTTCCTGTCATAACTGAGTATGAATCCTTTTTATCTCTGTTATTAACCTGAAACAACCGCCACAGGTGAACGTGGACGAGCTCTGATCCATATGTTCACTCATGTAATGTTGCCGCAACGCGATCCGTCCATTTAAGCTCAAGCCGCAGAAAACACATTTTAGCCAGTTGGGTCTGATTGAAAAATTTTCTTTTGATATAAATTAAAATGACTGGAATCAACTAAACTTTTGAATCAGCTCTTAGAACTCTCTTGAAAAAAATCAGCTTATGAAACGAAAAAAATTTGAATTTTGGATCATTTTCGAAACATCGTTTTCATTCGGTTTCTGAAATAGGATGAAAAAAAAATCATAACTATACACCGTTTTGAATCCTTGGTGTAAAACTTCTAGAAAACAAGTGAAAATGAAAAAATGGAAAAAAAGAAAAACAAAGCTCTTTTAGGAAAATGTGAATTTAGTTTTTTTAAATATTGAATTTCTAGCAGCAAACTCCGCCCCCAACAAGGCTCTATGGATGGATCGCTGATTTGTTTAATCTACACATAAGGGGCGGAGCTTAAGCGATGAGCTGATTTTCTAAATCTGAACAGACAATAGTTTAACTGACTTCCAAAGCAAAAAATGTAGCCTAGTTTCCTTCTTCCACATTCAAAAATGCAAAAACATACAGGACATGTTTTCATCAAAATATTCGTTACAAAATGGATCAATTAGATTCTTTTCTATGTTCCGAAACCTACTTATGGCCAGAAATATGACTCTGCGCCTGAAGAGAGTCGGTGAAACCTTTGCCGCAGATCTCACAAGCGTAGAAACGCTTCTCGCAATCGCCAATCTGAAAAAAAACAAGTAGGAATAAAGTTTTTTTAAGAAGTTCTCAGTTTTGTCGGTAAGTTTTGTTTCAAATTGATCGAATATAAAAAAAACGCACATGATTCCCGTTGATTTCAAAATTCGGCGCATTTTCAACGTTTGTATCAGACAACTCGTCGAACAAGTTCTCTTTTCCGAGGTCAGGAAGGTCTTCAGTTGACGGAGGAGCCTGCGAAAAAAGGAATACCGTAATCCTTTGAGCTATCGTATCAAGAAAACTAAGCTAGCGATGATTTTTGTTTTTTTTTATCCTAAAAATCGTTTTCTAAAACAGGCCTCAAAAGGAAAAAAAAGCCATGGAACTTTATTTTGGACCAATTTTTTCATTCGAACTCGGAAATCCAAAATAAGAAGATCTTATTTCCTTTTCACCTTGAAGTTACGAGAGCGCAACAAGATGGAAGCCGTTTTTTTGCCTCCTTGTATGACAATTTCCTTCAGCGCTGGTCTTCGAGACTCTTCTCCGAGATAGTTATTTATCAGTTTGTCGTCAGGTCCGAAAGCTTCAGGGTGAACACACCGGGCGCATTTGCAGTCGCGGAATTTCTTTGTCTGAAAAATAGTACATAATTTCAATTAAAAGTTTTTTTACTGATCTAGAAACATGTTTTTTCATTTTTGTATCTCTAAACTTTCACGGAACAAAAAATTCAATTCAGTTGTGTTACGATAGAAAATTAATCATGCGTTTCAAAAGTTCCAAACTTTATATTATACCTTAGCTTTCTCATTAGCTATAGAATAACAGGATTATTTTCAAGTACTGTTATTTTGCTTAAAATGGAAATGTGCCAAAATACCATCAACTTCTCAAAACAACGGCGAAAATCGAATATTTTATATTTTTCTGAAGAATTTAAAATCAAAATTGCAAATTTTGGAATATGAAATTAATGCACTAACAATAGGGATTCTTACTGAAACTTGGATGGACGATAATGATGATATATTCTCTCTACCAGTTTTTAAAAATCACATGGTATACTCGAGTAACAGGAAAAAATTGTTAGGAGGCGGGGTGTCAATACTCATTCCCAAATCATTGCATTCTAAGTTCCTTGTTTCCATATCTGAGCTTGATATAAACGCGATTTCAGTCGAAGTTTTTCCTCTCGAACTCAAAAACTAATTATAACAGGAGTCTATAGAAAACCGGGATGGAATGATCATATACATAAGACGTTTGAAAACTACATCCATAACTTCGATAGGTTATCGGTAACACATATAATAGGCGGAGACTTTAATTTACCAAACATAGATTGGAGCCAAAATATAGGGACAGACTCTCTAAGTAGGCGATTTTTGAGCGTTTTCAATAGTTTCGGCCTCACTCAACATGTAAAGCATCCTACAAGGCATCATAATATATTAGATCTAGTGTTGACAAACAACTCTTACATCTTTAAGAAAGTTGTAGTAGGATCTCCAATCAGTGATCATAATAAAATAATTTGCAACTTGAATTTAGAAGAGCGCATAATAAGAGAACCTCCTAGGAATGTTTTGTTGTTTAAAAAAGCCGATTTCATTAGAATGAACAGTGAGCTATCCTATATAGACTGGAATTATCGTTTCAGCACTTGCTCAACGGTTGAGGCCATGTATGATATCTTCATAAAAATAATCCAAAAATCTATAACAAAATATGTCCCTAAAAAAGTCTTTCATACCGAAAAGAAACCTCAGTGGATTTTGAGACTTAAACGAAAGTGTGAGAGGGACTATGTTCGATACCGTAAACAAAACTCAGAAGAAAATAAAGTGCGATATTCACTCTCGTACAAAAAGTACACCCAAGCTCTGAAATCTCATTCGATTCACTTAGAAAATCTGGCATTAGGAGAAAATAAATCCACGAAAGCTTTCTGGCAATACGTTCGCAAAAAATCAACAAGTCCTAATGAAATACCAGACCTAATTGTAGAAAATGAAGTTATTAAAGATAGCATGGAGAAATCCAATCATTTCAATAAATTCTTTTCGACGGTGTTCACAGATGATAATAATTTGCCTTTCAACATAGCTACTAAAACAAGCAGGAATCTAATGGACGTTGATGTCGCACCTCATGTGGTGTACGAGTGCCTTAGAAGAATTAAAAACGTAAACTCAGCAGGTCCTGATGGTTTACCTAGTTCAATTTGCAGAGGTCTAGCTATATCGATAGCTCTCCCTTTATCACTGATATACAGGAAAAAGTTTAGATTCGGGCAAGTTGCCTAGTTTTTTTGGAAAAAATCAATCGTAGTACCTATATACAAAAAAGGAGATCCAAACGACGTAGGTAATTATAGACCAGTTAGTTTGACATCAGTCCCGTGTAGAGTTTTAGAATCTTTAATGGTGAGAGCTTTGAGAAACTACATGTGGCAATCTTCGCTCATCTCTGATAGCCAGCATGGATTTTTAAATCATCGCAGTACTATCTCCCAATTGTGCCACTTCAAAAATATCTGTTTGAGGAAACTCGAAATCATTACGTTGAAGTCATATATTTAGATATTAAAAAAGCTTTTGACACGGTTTGTCATAGAAGATTGATTGAAGTCTTGAAATCCTACGGATGTAAGGGAGTAATACTCAACTGGCTCGAAGAGTTTTTGAAAGATAGATCACAAAAAGTTAAAGTCAGTAACAGTATTTCGAATGAGATAAAAATATCGTCAGGTGTACCGCAAGGTAGCTCATTAGGACCTCTTATGTTTTTAGTATATATCAATGACTTGTCAGAAGTTATTAAATACTGTAACTTGAGCATGTTCGCAGATGATTGTAAACTGTATTTATCTAGTAATGTAACAAACCATAAAGCCAAACTTCAAGAAGACTTAAAAAATGTATACCAATGGTTAGAGGGCCGTCAACTATCAATATCTCCTGAGAAGTGCATGTTAGTTCAGTTTGGAAAAAAGACAGAACCCAGTACATACAAAATTAACGATCAAACTCTTAGCACTAAACAAAAATGTCAGAGACCTGGGATTCTTCTTCACGAGTAATCTGAAAAATGGGGGCACCATGTGAGTATAGTAGTACAAAAAAATGTATGAAAATAATAAATAATTTATTTCGCTGTTTTTCATTTCTCTCAAAATAACTTTCTAAAAATGCTATAAAGCCAAAAATCTTGCCTATCATTGAGTACGGATCCGAACTAATGTGCCCGCTAAATTTGAATGATATAAATCAACTAGAATCAGTCCAGAGAAAAATTTACCAAAAAGATTATATCCGAAATTGGATTATCGCAGTAGATTAGCCAAACTGAAACTATCGACGTTATGGACTAGAAGACTTTTTAAAGACGTTTGTTGCGTTCACAAATACATTCATGGATATTTTTGGAGTGAGTCGCCTGTTAAATTAATGATGAATTCGAGTAGAAATAATCAACTCAGAGGAAATGGAATGAGACTTGTTCAACCAATGAATGAATTGATCAAACAACGCTTCCTAAATCATAGAGTCATACCCATTTGGAACCAACTGGAGAGAGAAATTATCATTGAATACGAAATCGGCAAGTTTCAGATTATGCTCACCTCATGGTTCGAATCAAACACATCGTTTTTAAAATCCTTAGATCCTACTAAAATCTAGAAAAATTCTAACTTATTAAAAATACAAAGAACAAACTTAAATACCAAATGGGGGTTAGCACCGTCTACTCAGACAATCTTTTCCTCCAGCCGTTTCCACAGATCAGCTGTTAGATTTATTTGATTGTCTTGATGTTTTATTTTTTTTGTATTTGTCGTGCTGATTGCGGAATGGCGAATAAACACTTGAAATGAAATGAAATGAAATCAGCTCACAGTGGGCAGCTGACTGCCGAACATTTGGTACGGTGGCTGATGAGGTGCTGATTTTTGCACGATTTTGTGCTCACGGAGATGAACCTGATGCTCGCGGACCGTTTCAGAGACGCTGAAAATTACTTTGAAGCTATATTAAAAAAGAAAATCTTTATTGTAGTCCTAGGAAATAGGGAAAAACGGAACTGAGAACACCCGGAGGCCGTGCAAAAACGCCTCCGACCAATATGGCAATTCCGGATATGAGCCTTGGACGTGTGCTCGTTTTTGTACTTTCTCTGGCACAAGGTACAAAAGTAGCAATCTGGGCGCTTCACCTGAAAAAAAAATAGTAGTAATTATGTGAAGTAGTTATTCCTACAAAGGAGATAATTTGTCTTTGAGCTCTAAAACTTCCAAAAATGTTCAAATACCTTGTTGATAATTCTTAAATCTCAACTTGGAAAATGCTTAAAACGTGGAAAATTTTTTCCAAAACTTTTTGTCCTCGACTTCTGAAATTTCTCTCTGGGGAAACAAGAAGTAGTGAGCGTATTTTCAGACTTTTCTGAAGTGAAAGAATAAAATTATAAAATTAAACTGTCTGGAGAAGATCTTTAAAATTATATTTCTACAAAATGATGTACGGGATAATTTTATAGTTTTGACGAGAATTTCTTAGGACAGGAGGTAAAATTTGATCAATCTTCTTACGCTGCAAAAAGTTCAAACACTATGAATTTTCTTATTCAAATTTCTCTGCTCAAAAACTTCGATGAACTTTTATAACTTGCAGATGACCTAGAATAATATGAAAAATAAGTTTTTTTTTTAAATTTCTATCTCCAAAATCCATACCATATGCGGAAACTCTTCCACTTTCTTATGAAGGTCGCTCATTTCAACTTTATTGAACTGCTGAGATCTTGGTGTGAGTTTCAGCGGCCGTGACGATTCGAAAGAAGTTGGAGAGCTCAAGTCCGATTTTATGTCGGGATACTTCGCGTCAACTTCTTCTATAAGAATTAAAACAACAGTCTTCACAAAAAAAAACTCGCGACAACCTTTAATACTGGTAGTTCGTTGCAGTCCACTGCTTTGCGTATTGAAAGAACAAAAAAAGTCCCCCAGACTCGCTTTTTCTGAAGCGTCCGCCAAAATTCGCAGATTATCTGCTAGTAGAATTTCGGCGCTTCGGTGACAAAAAGTACAATACCTGAAGGAACACGCGACTGATTCTCATCGACTGGCATTTGGAGGGGCTGGGGATGAAGTAAACTATCTTAACTAAAAATTTCAAATTTTTAAAGTTTATCTTACGAGTTAGTTTCATTTGCTGAGGACACTGTAAGTTGTCACCCATTTGACCTGCAAAGACGCAATTTTACAACGAGAGGTATTTTCGAAATTCTTGCTAAATGATTATTAGAGAATAAACAAAATTCAAAAAAAAAAATTCAGAGCGGAAATCCTTTTTTTTACAAAAAAAGATGATGGATGCGTCTTCAAACAATCTCCGCTTAGAAATATTTGAAGCATTTCTATGCATAAAACTGTTCAATAAATTGCCTTTTCAAGACTGCCGTTTTTATTACGGTAGTTTGAAACGGTTTTTACGAATATAATGACTTATTTCACTTATCGAGACGTGACCACTTTTCATGCCTCGATAAACAGGCTCTAAGCAAATCATGAAAAAGTTAAAAACTTCGAAAAAAAAAAATTAAGAAGGCTGCGCAGTAATGAAATATTTCCGGCCGCCTTAGCAATGTCCTAAACATTGGTGATAACAAATTTGAATCAAACTGTTTAACAGGTGAGATTAATTTCGCGCAAATCAAATTCGATACGACTACTCTCATAAGAACAATATTCTCAAAAATCAGTTCCTCAAAGGCTCATCAACGGCCAAAGGGATATCACAGTGCTCGAAACGAGATACAACTTGAACTCAGTTCTGTTTTTATCCAGCAAGAAATCAGCTATACGTATTTTTGAAGTATTATCGAAACCATTTTTAAAAATCCTAAAATAAATTCATTGAAAATTGTGAAATTTCGTGTTTCTTTTTTCTGAAAAAATCATGACGATTTGAGGAAACAGACCGTTCCAAAACAATTAAATGAGAGAGAAGTACAAGGAAGGAAAAAAACAAAAAAAAAACAAAAAGAAATCGAAAGTTATCGCAATTTGCAACAAAAGTTAAAAAAAGGCGTCAAATGGGATGTATTTTGTTCATTTTTCCGTGCACTTGCGTACAGTCGCACAACAGTAACACAAATAGTTTTTCATTTTCTTTATTAAATTTAATGATCATTTTCATAATATTTATCCGTAGTATGGCCGATACTTGCAGCTGGCTTGAGTGACCACACTTTTGCAGGGTGCATAAGTCCATTCACCTCGGCGCAGTGATCCGTTTTGAAAGTTTCCAGGCGAAATCTAAAAATTGGCGTTTTTTTGGCTTAATTTTTTTTTTTGCATGTACCAGCGCACAGCAATCATTCCCACACGGAACCCCGTACATGCCAACAAAGTTCCGGTACCCCAAACTACTTCCATCAAGCCAAGAAGCGGTGTTAAAATTCGAGTTTGTGTCACGAAGTCCGATCCAAATCATTTGATCCCATGTCACGTTGGCAGATGAGGGATATTGGGCTAGAAATTGATGAGAGGAAATTCATTTTTGATTTTCTCTCTCTCACAGATGACAGCATCGTTTTCGATAGCCGAGTGAATAGAAGTCAAATTTCCGTTGTCGATTTTGTTGCAAATCTCATTGTTGGCATCGTTAAAACTGATTCCGCTTGACCGGGTCCAGGCCTATAAAATGAATTGGAACATTTTGAAGTTGAAAAAAGTTATTGTTTTTACGAAAATTTGAAAGAAACAATTACGAGGAGGAAATTTTAAAAAAGCATTTTTCATAAAACTCGTTATTTTCTGCTTGATTGAGAGAATTCCAATCATTGTAGCTTTCAAGTAACAAATTGTAGAAAAAGCATTTTTTCAACTTGAAAAATTATGAAACTGAGTTGTAATTGAGAAATAAGCCTCACGTCGTAGCAAAAACCCGTTCCCTGGCTGTAGGTGCCTCCTTTACAGTTAGGAGCAGCTGAAAATATTCTTTTTGATAATTTCAATAAGAATTTTCAGACGTGTAGTTGTTTCAGGGGCATTAGTCGAGTAGATTCCGCCGGGCGGCGACTGGCAGGCGAAGAACTGAAGACTGTCGCATTGTTCGCTTCTCCAGAAGCCGGACGGCGTCACCTCCGTCGCACAGTTCTCCGTTGAGAATGGGTAGCCTAGAAGGATGGAGCTTTGAAAATTATATATATTCAAGGAAAAATATTTATGCAGCTAAATGTTGAATTTGAATTCCTTGGCAAAAGTAAGGGTCTACTTACGTCTTAGTGACCTGACCCTAAACCCCTACTATAGGGACCACTTTTTCGACCTCTATAAGGGTTTTTTTTTTCTCCCTAACTCCTATAGGTACCACTCTAAAATTCGTAAGACAAGCGTCATATTTTTTTCATGAAACGTCATTACCGTATTCCAACCATCAAAAAGTGGGCGTCGCCCTTTCCAATGACTTATCAGTTCAGTTCAAACCTCATAAAAAAAATATGATCTTTCTTTTTCTAAACATTCAAAATATTAGGGTTTGGTTATACTGCCAACGCTTTGATTTATTTCCCTCCTTCAAATTTTCCAGCCACCTACCAGATTGCCAATTTTTATAGCCAGGTGAATTGCACTGTGTGTCGACCCAGTTCCAAGTACCGTTCGCAGACTGAACAGTTTAAAAATTGAAAATACCATGGTCGCACTTGGAATGGCTCAAAACGCAGTTTTCTCTTGTGTTTTTTGAGCTAAAGACTTGCAAATTCGGATTTTTTTTGAATAAATCGCTTTTTTACAGGTCGAACCAATATTTTGACCACGGAGGAGCTTTAAATCGGAGCAGATTAAGCGTAAAATTCAATAAGTAAACTTTGAAAGGCAAAAAGATCTGATGATAGGATATTCAAAAGAAAAATTTTTCATAACAGAAGTTAAATTTTCACCTTCGTGTATCCAATCCAGTATTTTCCATAGGTGATGCTCAACGCTGGACCAGCGACGCCTGGACAAAAAAATATGAAAAAATCTGACTGGAAGTTCCCAAATTATTTTCAAAAATTACATGTTTTCAACCATTTTTCGTGAAACTAACTGTGTCCAAATGATTTGGTGTAGCAAATAGGCAGAAAAAAGACCAGTGAAACTTAAAAATTAGCTCAGATCGACTATTAAAAAACAACTTAGAGATTCACATTGTTTAAAAAACTTCCGCGGTTCTGCTCAATATCTTTCACGATTTAAAATATCAATGTAAACATCTGATGACCTTGAGATCGTTTTGAAACTTTTTCATGCGCTAAAAAGAAATTTCGAAGAGTCTTTAGCCAGAAACCCCGGATTCCTGAGCTTTCAACACCCATAAAATTTGAAAACCCACTGGCCAAGTAATTATTGTCGATTGCGTTGCAAATCGTCACGATGGTGTAGCCCATGTCATGACAATACTGGGTGGCATCTTTGAAAGTCTTGGGAATTTGGAAAAATCGGTAGCATCTGAAAATATCCATACTTTTTAGGAGATCAACAGCCTGTGTACCAAGACTTGGAATTTCACCGAAAAAAACGACTAGGGGCGCAACCGAGATTCCTGAAAGCGAAAACGCTTCGCGACCGCACGCACCGGAACAGCGGAATGTCGTTCCGTGAAATTTCAAGTCGGGGTACACAGACTGTACTTCAGGTGATTTTTACTGAAGTTATTGACAAGAAATAGAGGAGATCTAGACTTTCTTTGGAAGAGCTTCTTGTCACTGGGTTAGGAAAAAAAGACTCACTTATCTCCAATGTGAGATTCCAGAGGGAAACACGCTGCGGAAGATTTGTCGACGAGGTTAGAAACCACGAGAAAAAGAAGGGAAAACTTTAAAAACATCGCCTGGAAATTAGTTGATTCAAAAAAGTTCAATGTAGTCTGTGTGCCACGACTTGAAATTTCATTGAACGACATTCGGCTGTTCCGCTGCGTGCGTTCGCGAAGCGTCTTTCGAATCTAGGTCACGCTTTCAATTGATTGTTATTGCTGTGAGAGCACATGAAAGTAGAGTACCTCAATAAAATAAAAATTAAATTAAAAGCGCGACCAAGGTTCGCAAAGGCGCGCAGCGGCACAGCGGAATGTCGTTGGGTAAATTTCAAGTACACAGACTATAGAAAGTATATTAAAAATACTAGCTAGAGGTTTTTGAAGAAGTATATAGAAGTCCTTGAGCCGTTTACAGTCTTACTCTTTTTTATACAAAGCTCTAGCTAAGATTTTGTGAATTATTCTACAAATTGAACAGAGAAGAAAGAGCATTAAGTTAAGAAAAGGGTGCGGAAGCGTGTTTTTCGTCGATATCGAACACTTGATATACCCTGGCCGGGCCATAAAGATAAGTCGAGGTTTGGAAGCACTTCGACACGCCTTTTCGAAGAACAAACACCTGAAATGGATGATAACGATGTTCCGGATTGTTTTTTGAAAATGATTCCGTTTTCGTTTGGTTTAGAAGATGTTGCTGAAGTATTTTGAAACAAAGTTCGTGATTTAGATACCCAAAAGTCCGAAACATGTATAACCAAAAAAAATCCAAGGGTACAGTCTGTGTACCACGACTTGAAATTTCACTGAACGACATTCCGCTGTTCCGGTGCGTGCGGTCGCGAAGCGTTTTCGCTTTCACGAATCTCGGTTGCGCTTCTAGTTGTTTCTTTCATTTCGCTACATGATTTTTGTTCCCAGTGAAACAGTCTATCTACCAGTAATGATAACCAAATAAAAAAGGTTACCGCGGCTCGCATAGGCAAAAACGCTTCGCGACCGCACGCAGCGAAACACGGCGACACCACGCAAGCCAACTGATGTAAAAAAAAAAAACAACGCCTTTATTTTCTCCATATTTCGTCGGTTTCCCGTTACATAAGACTTTTTTTTCTGACAGAATCTTGTTTTTTATTGTAAGTTCGAGATTTTCACTAGTGTTTAGAGGTCAGAAAAAAATTTTGGAGGTTGAAATAGAATATTAGCTGTAAAAGGAGTTCTAGATGGGATTTTTTAAACAATTATATTGTAGAAATTTTTCCGGCGATCCCTGGGTGAATACCAGCCGGAAATTGATTTTATTAACTATAAACTTTCAATCTCGCTTTTTGCGCGTCGCTTTTCATGCATCGCGTGCACTACGTACAACACATTTTATTTTCCGCCGTTGTGGTGGGTGTGGCGTCGATTTGGTGTCGCCGTGCGAAACAGCGGAGTGTCGTTCGGTGAAATTTCAAGTCGTGGCACACATACTATACCCTAAAAGACTGAAATCCGGAGTTTCCTATTAGCAAATCCAAATTTGCAGCTCTCAATAAGCCGTTTTGACTTTCTGTCATCCCATATTTGCAGCTCTCAACGGATTATCTTCCCATTCTCAAAAGCCCTTTTTTCGAAACTTTGTGGATAATTCTTCATTTTTTTTTAACTAATTCGCGATTGACAGCTGTGAAAACGGATCGGTTTGATAAGATTTATGAACGCTTAATAAAGAATTCTGAAACGTATTATACACCTCTATCTCAAAACTCATCGATTACATTATAAGATTTTTCAAAAAAACCGGTTTGATACGGATTTTTCAACAAATTTCGGAGTATTTTTCTCATTTTTATCTCGAAGATTCGATTTTAAATGCGTCCACATATTTCAGAAGGATCTCTGTCTTCGTAGTTCTTCCTCTGTACTTTTTCTCAACCTGTTCCGATCTTTTCCTGCAAAAAAGTTCTAAGTAAACACAATTCACGTAAAGAGGGCATTTTGTTGCAGAGAAAAAAAAATTTTAAAAACGAAAGCAAAAAGGTTTATCTTTATCACACAATCGATTAGTTGACGGGTCTTCGGAAAATTTACATTTTACATTTTTAAATTTGGAATAATTTCGCTTCTAACTGTACAAAATATGTATACGAATAGGGGAGAGAGAGGAAATTCACAATAAAAATGAGCAATGAGGCCAGATCTACGAATTCAAAATCAAGCTCAAGTGTGGCAAAAAAGGAAAAATCAATTCTCGATATGGGGCAAAATTGTGGGAGGAATTCTCAAATGGAAATTATTGGAAATAGAAATTTTATTTCAAGAACGACGATGCCTTCATGAACAACGACATCTTGGTAGAAGTGTCCATGCTGAAAAAACATGTTTTCTCTTGATTTTTGAGAGCTTTCTCGTTGTTTCAACAGGTTTTGTATTCACAAATCAATAATACGAAAAAAACCCATGATATTTATTGAATTATTCGCTTTTTCCTGCATCAATTTCCGAAAATTTGGAGCTTCTAAATTTCTAGTGATACTTTGGAATCGCAATAAAATGATTCCAAGATGGATATTTCGACCACCAGAACATGAAAAAATCCATTCTTCTGACACTTCCGATTAATCAACTCCAACCCTTAAACTACCTTGGCGTGAGTGACTCGACAGTTGTTTCTCCAGCGTTGGCGTTGGTTCCCAGTAGTTTTTGCATCTGAAAAATGGAAAAAATGTGAAAATATCCTTTTTTGGCTTCAAATAAAACTATATATGATTGCCTAAAACGTCTACAAAATAATTCACTTCATTCCTCAGCTATTACTTTTCGCACACCACTTTCTCAATTCAAACCTGCTTATCCTGACTGCGGACGACGTCGTCGTTGCGACGAGCCTTCACCTCGATTCTGTCGAGCATCTCGTTTTGAGCATCAACTTCCTTGCCGAGGTCCAGCCCGAGACGCTGCAGGTTTCGCAAGTTCGACGACATGGCGTCTGAAAGCAAGAGCTTGAGATTTTTTTTTGGGACTGCCAGATAGAAGCTATAAATTCAGGACAATATTTTGAGAGCTGCAAGTTTGGGACTGTCTGATAGAAGCTTGAAATTCAAGACAATATTTTGAGAGCTGCGATTTTGCTGCATTCCGATTATTCTCCTCTACTTCTTGCTTCAAATCCAAGGCTACCTCTGCATCTCCTGTAACTAACCAAGATTCTCGTCGATCTGATTATCCATGGCCTCCCAACGGGTTCCTCGGATGGCGGCGCGGCTCGATTCATTCAAAGTTGGGCCTCCGGTCGAAGGTCCCGAGAAGGAGGCCGAGCTGCCACCGCCGCTGCTCAACGCCGCCGCCGTCTCCGACAAACGGTTCGCCGACTTCGACTGGGGAACTGCCTGAAAATAAATATGTCAACTATCCACTAATTTTTCTTAATTTTCCACGCACCGAAACATCCTTGGCCTCCTCGGGTTTCCGACTAAATTTGTTCTTAAAAAATCCGCCGAACACTGACTTCAGGCTGTTCAAATTGCGTTGAGTTATCTGAAAAAATTTCATTTATTCAAATTCATAAAAGTTTCAAAAACCTGAGTAGTTCTGTGGATCTCATCCAAGTTCTTCTCGGTCCTCTCAAGCTTTTCACGTTGTTCGAGAAGTTCCTGAAAATAAATTCATTTATTACTGTCATGAAGATAGCATAAAAAGGTTGTTATAATATTCACTTGAGCCGTGGCCACGCCGATCTTCTCCGAATTGTCCAAATGGCGCCTAGATCGCTCCGTACTGTCGAGGGAGTCCTGAACAGTTAAAACTTTCCATCAATTTCTTCAGACTCATTTAACAAAATGATGCATTTTCAACATGACATTCAGATGTTTGATTCCAAAGTCTTAAAGGACAAGACTGTAGCTTAAAGAGAAATGAAAATCGTGACTAACTGGCGCAGCATAAGCTATAACTATAATCAAATGAAATTATTTTCAGAAGCAAAGGAAAATATTCAATCTTTTGAGTTTAAAGAAGTCCCTCAGGGATCCAATCTACACAGAAAACGCACCTGCAAATACTTTTCGATCTCTCGTTCATAATAATCGGCTTCATCCTCAATCGATCCATTTCCCATTGTGGTATAACTACGAATCGGCTCTTCAAAATTATATTATTAGTTATAGTACATTCAAAAAGCTTTCGAAGGTTTTCAAAAACGCAAATCAATCTTATGGCGTTACTTCAAACCCCAGAAGCTTAAAAAATTAAGTTCTCAAGTGTTCAAAGGCGCAGAAGACTTTTCGAAAGTCTAAAAAAAGCTCTACTCTTCAAGATCATTTTATGTTTTTCCTATACTTCTTTGAACGTCCCAGAAGATATTTTAGAATACCAAAATTTTGAATATCGATTAAAAAATAACTTACGAGTAGAAGTGGCGCTGGTGCTGACATAATCATCGAAAGGGTTGCGGGACATTATTCCTGTCAAAATTTACGTTGGAATATGATTTAAAAATCAACAAAATAGGACAAATATAAATTGATGGTCGCATTTAGAATGGCTCAAGATGAAACTTCCAAGCTCTTTGTTCAAATAGATCATATCATCAAGGTCTGGGTAATCTTCAGAGAACCATTCCAAACGCGACCATCTTGAACAAAAAAAAGGAAAAAATAGATCTCGGCTAGAAAAAAACCGATAAAAATTAATCTAATAACCCAAAAAAATCAAAAATTTTTTATAAAATCCTCAAGATGTACAATCTCAAAAAACTCAAAATCATGTGATAAAAATTGCGGGGAATAATCACCAGTATGTAAATTAAAACTTACGGAAAAGGACAACCTCATTCTACAGTAAAAAAATTTGATACAATTATGTCAAACTAACAAAAAAATGAAGTAAAAAAATCTTCCCGCACTAGACTAGGCAATGGATAGAAATGCAACACACGCATATAGAAAATTTGAAAAAAGAAGCTTTGAAGGAGAAAAAATTGAATCTATTTCAACTGCGAGTACTTCGTCGGCGTCATGATCTTCGACTGCATCTTCTTGATCAGAGGAACTAAAAATTAAAGTAAAAAATCGTTTTTTTGAAAAAAATTCCTTTTCAAAAAAATGTTTCTTTTTCAAAAAAATTTTTTTCCTTTTAAAAAAATTCTGATGATTTTTGAAACAAAGGTACACTTTAATCATTCCAAGCCCCGAAAAATGTTTTTTTATCAATTTTCGTCAAAATTTATTGTATTGACCTCAAAAACTTATTTCTTTATTTGGAATTCTTTTTTTATTCCTTGAAAAGTTTAACTCGTTTAGATCCTCAGGTTGACCCCATAATCAGAAGAAAGTTTGACAGAAATTGGAAAAAATCTTTTTTTTTTTCTTACAAGACAACAGTCTAGAACTTATGATCATTCTTTTTTATTTTTGAATTTTCAACTTATTCGATAATTTTTTCTGTTCTTCTCATCATTATACAGTTGAGATAAATCCTAAAAAATTCCATCTCTATTTTAAAAAAAGATTTTTCATTTATTTAAATCAGATGAAGAATTAATGCTATTTCTTAAGCTTTCACGGATTACCAGTGTAGGCGACGGTGGCGTCCCATCCAGGCTTGGCCCAAGTCGTCTGGCGAGTGTCGTTGCGAGCAGCCATCGAAGGATACGCCCAGATGTGGTAGACGACGTAGAGTTGGCCGACCTGGAGTCAAAAGCAGGTTATGAATTTTTGGCGGTATGAAAAAACCACCAGCAAAAAATCAAACGGCTACGTTTCCGAATTTTTCATATCGCTAGGGAACTTTCCGACGGCCACCTTTCCGACGAATCTTTTTTTCCGACTTTTTTTCTAGATAAAATCTTCGTTTTAAATCTTCCTAAAGTAGGTAGTTGGTTCATGATTAAAAACTGAAAAAAATAGGAAAAAAATGTTAATAGATGTTTTATAAACCAAAAAAATTAGGGGAAAAAAAGTCGGAAAGGGATTTGTCGGAAAGGTAGCCGTCGGAAAGTTCTCTAGCGATATGAAAAAAATCGGAAAAAGTCGCCGTTTGAATTTTTCGCTGGTGTTTTTCATACCACCGAATTTTTCCAAGCAGGAGTCATATTTTCTGAAACCAAATTTATTTTTTTAAAAAGGCGCTAATTCCTTTCAAAGCCACTTCAAAGTTTCTCAATGTTCATTTTTGGATCTTTTATTACCATCATTCTTGATTTTATGTATTGCCTCGATTGTACTATTTTTTTTGTTTGCTTTGAATTTTTTTTAAATGATATTTTAAAATCTCTTTAAATCATGAAGAAAAAATAAAAAAGGAACCTGAGCGAAGAAGCCTCCGACGTCCTGGTTGGCCTCTCGACGGAAAGAAATGCCCTTCGCCCAAGCGTTCGCCCACTCGATCATTGTACCAGGCTGAAATCAAAAATTACTAAAAAAAAATGAGATAAAAAGCAATACCAAGCCAATTTTGTTATTATTGCTCCTCTTTTTTTCTTTTTTTCCGTAGTAGATTTAAAAATACACCAACTAAAAAAATGCTCTACCTTTTTTTTAAAAAAACTATAATCGAACAAATTTCTGTAAAAAAAGTCACCTGAAGAACGTAGCTACGCATGTCGTAGACATGGCTGGGAGGTCTTTGCTCCGGCTCACGCCAGTAGCTGAACGACTTGACGATCAAGTTCTTGCGGCGTCCGCAAAGCCGTGCCACTTCTGAATCCGCCGCGCGGACGGCTCCGTCGTCGTTGTGCATGGCGATCGCTCTGGAAAAAATCTTTCTCAGTTTTATTTTACTTGCTTTCATAGTAAGAAAAAACTTGAATGATTTTAAAAAAAACTTTGGCGATAAAGCTAACAGGGTAGGTCAAATTATTTTGCGGTTGGGAATTTCCTGAAAATTGGCCAGAACACTTCTTGATGTACCAAGTCGCAACCTGCACAACTTCCTAATTTTTGAAAAAGGACACTTCAAAGTCAGAAAAAACCCCAAAATTCATAAAAAAAAAGAGGGTTTGAACCCTTATTTCTCGAAAACTAGAGAGTTGTGCAGGTTGAAACTTTCAGGATCTTCTTCTGGTACATCAAGGAGCGTTCTGGCCAATTTTCAGCCAAGTCTTAACCGCAAATTGAAATGACCTCCCTTTTTAAGATTTTTAATTGCTTGTTGCACAAAAAAAGTAGTACCTTTTAGTTTTTTTTTTCTACGATTGGACAAATAGAAATACATTTGGACTGCTTTTTTTTGACTTCTTAACACTTCCATCGTAAGGGAAAATCCTATTTGAGGCTCAAAATTGGCAGCCCCAAAAATTTGTAATATAAAATCGGCAGTTCCAAAAAAAAGAGTAGGGATTTAAAAAAATCCCTTGGTGTAGAAAACTGTTAGACGTTGTGAATTTGCAGTTTTTTTCGGAGATTATTTTTTTTTTTGTAAATTTCATCGCAATATGTTTTCCTATATTCCATGATTCAGCAGATACATGATTATTCTGAGGACTGAATAAATGTTAAATGTTAAATGTTAAATGTTTTCCTCCCTACTCACCCATCAACATCTTCGTAACCCTTCTTGTAACGCCAAAGATGGATGGCCTGGTCGCGGGTTCGGCCATAGCCGACGGTCCACGAGCCAACCAGTTCGATGGAGGAACGCTAGAAAACGATTAATTCCGGATTTTTTTTCTTTTCTTACCTTGTTCAGGACCTCGTCTTTGTAGGTTCCAAAAGCATCGAGGTACTTTTCTTGCTCTCCGGGCCGGTAGTTGTGAGCTGAACATAAAGAACAATAGCAAAACCAATCAAAACCGTTCAAAAAATCGAAAACAGGAATTTAAAAACGTTCTTTAGAAAACTAGAGACCATTCAATGAAAATACTCACTAAAGCTTATTTTGAATGGTATGGAAAAAGTTGTAACTATGTAAAATTGATGAAGAACAGTATTTTCTTGGAATTTTTTCAAAAGAGGTTTTCAAAATATTCTCTTTGAAAGTTTAGAGTGTAATTCTAAACTTTTCGGTTTTTTTTGGCTTGTTTTTAATGAAATTACACTGGAAAAGCTGGAAATTTGTAATTTCGGGGTTTCCGACCATTTTTCTATATATTTTTTCACGAAGATGATACTTTTCTTGTCCATTTTTCTTTCCATTCTATAAAAAAAAAATAACAAACTCATGATTTCGTAGATGTACTCCGAGGAGGAGAGCAACGACGAGTGCGACTGCTTCTGCCATTCCGACGGATCAACGGGGTGCTGTCCCGTCTAGAAGATAATTCTTCATCTCTGGGTTGTACCGAGGGGAAAACTCACAAGAAGCTTCTTGATCCAACCTTTCGGCTTGACGACCTCCTGTTCTTTCCCATCACCTCCCTCAGAAGCGCACCGAGTTCCAGTCGTAGAAAATCTGTAAAGGAATTTATTTCAATCACAAAAAAATCATTGAAAAAAACGAGTTTAACGAAAAATAAAGGAATAATTCATGAAAAAAATAACCTTGAATAGTAGGAGAGGCCAGGAAAAAGAATAATTATAAGTATTAAAGCAGAAATTGACCGATTGAAAATTCAGAAAACCCTACAAAAGCTTGTTAGATGAAACCCTGTCAGTAGGTATGTGAGAAAAGCTCTTTAAGAAAAAAGGTAACGAAAAAAAAGTTTAATTCCATTTGAACCTCCGCCTCGATTCAGCAAGGATTCTGGTTTTAAAAAAAAATTCAAGGCTTTTAGGTCAACAAACAAAAAAGGATGATTAGACGGGAAGATTTTGGATAGTTGAGAGAAAAGAAAAAGTCTACAAGGTATCAGCCGGTACAAAGGAAGATCTTAAAAAAGCCACAAAAAATAATTAAATCTCTGCCAGGCCATCCGCAAAAGAATGAGTGAATTTCGGTAGGAAGCTCGTGTCGCCAACGATTTCCGCCTTGGCAATGTCCTCCAGCTTATGAACGCCAGTTCTCATCCAGACGCTGGCGATGCCATTGTCGTTGCCGAACTTGATGTCGGTGTCCAGTCTATCGCCGAACATGACAGTCCGGCTGGGGTCGATGTGAGCTCTCCTCTTCAAAAAGTCCATCATCGGTCGATGCGGCTTGCCGAAGATCGTCGGCTTTCTTCCGGAGACGGCGGCCACCGGCGCCATCGTCGTGCCAGATCCGGGAATGACGACGCCTGGGATCGGTCCAGGGAAAGTATAGTCTTCATTGGTGACGAGGAACTCGACGTCGGGCTTCAGAAGATAATTAGCGGCTTTCATGATTTTCGGATAGCTCAGATGAGAGTCGAAGCTGCAGACGACGGCCTTCGGGATCACGCTCATATCCAATTCATGGATAAAATAGCCGGTAGTGTAGTCGTGAACATGATCCGGTCCCATTCCATAGCACTCCACGCCTCCGATTTCTTCCAGAGTCTTGCGCAAATCTTCGGTTCCCATCAGGTAGACCTTCTGGCCGGCGAATTTCTCCGGGTTGCTCTTGAAGTAATCGGCGAGGACCAGGGCAGGGCTGATGACGTTCTCCGCCTTGATCTCTCCGAAGCCAATCTTGCCAATTTTCTCCAAGTACTGCTGCAGGGTTTTGGTCGAGTTGTTGGTGAGGACGAAGGCGCGTTTATTTGGGTCGGCGAGGAGATATTTGAAAAATTCGATGGCGCCAGGTACAGGGATATCGCCGGTCCAGAGGACGCCGTCGGCATCGAAAAGGAAGGTATCGAATTTGGCGAGAAGTTCGGCACGGCTGATAGTCGGTGGAAGTGTCATGTTGAAGGATTTTGAGTATCGAGAAGATTTTTGAGATCTGGAAATAACGAAAATAATAAAAGTCCGAGTGAAAAAAATATTTATAAAAAAAGAAAGAGGCTGATATCCAATTTTTTTTCTTTTTTAAATTTTTCTAGAGTATTCTAAAAGAGATTCGACGAGTTTTTTTGTGTTTTCAAACTTTACAGCATTTTTGTGTTTTTCAAACTTTACAGCATAATAAAAAAATCTGAACTAAAAATGAGAAAAAAACGGCTAGAAAACGATAAAACTGTCTTTTTTTCTGAATAGCTTTCTAATAAAGAAAAAAATATAAAAATTTAATAAATAGAGAGTTCAGAAAAAAAAAGGATATACTACTAGCAAAAAAAACCTTGATAAAAATCACAAAAGTTCAAAATTATCAGTATAGAAGCAAAAAAAGCTTCTCCAGGGACATTACGAAAGAGGTTAAGGAATCGTTCGTCAAGAGAGAAAAAATCTGAACTTTCAACCAAAGGGCAAAGTCGCAGTGACTGGGCGTCGAAAGAGACGACGAAAATCGTCTTATCAAAAGAAATCGATAGCCTTTTTCTCTTGAATCACATAACCTCTTTCAAAATTCACCCCGTAAAAAGAAAAAAAAATGAAAAGAAAGAAAAAGATTTATTCTCTGACCCAAATTTGTGTCAATATTGGCAACAATTGAACGATATGAGGCCGACAAAACACGAAAAAAATTGAAAAACCAACCGGTTTTCTATTGGAAATCGTCGGGTCAATAACCTCTTGAGTTAATAGACTGGAACATTTTAAGCCTCAAAAAGGGAGGAAAAAAACACAAATGCAAAAAAATTACCAATGAAAAAAAGCGTGATAAACAGATTTTTTTACTATGAAAATTATTACTATATAGCCAATTTTCTATGAAAATCAAAGGGAAAATTGTGAAAATGCGAAAAACGGATTGAAAACCGACTCAAAAACTGTTCAAAAAGATTATTTCGTGACCAAAAAACACCGAAAAAAGGAGATAGAAGACCCGAAAAACAACAAAAACAGGAGAAAACCTAATCATTGATCTCATACAATCAAATTTATCAATGAAAAAGCTACAAAAAAATAAAAATAAATGATGACGAGAGAACATGGATGGGAAAAAAACGAGGAAAGCAAATAAGTTTGAATATTTGCTGAACGTCGGCTCATCCCCTGGCAGAGCAACTTTTTGGATTCGCATCAAGTCCAGAAAAACACCAAAAAGGGAATTGCGAAATCACAAAATATGTTGGTAAACAAGTAAGGCGGCAGCTGCTGAACAGAAATTTTCGAAAAGCTTTAAAAACAAGCCTTTTTTTTTATAAAAATTCACAAATTTCAAGTTAGAAGGTTAAAAATCCGAAAAAAAAAACAACGTAAAGAGCTCAAAACTCTAGAAACTTAGAACAATAGAGCAATCATTTAGGTGTATTCCAGCGTCCCTTCGAAAGTCAATTAAATAAAAGTAATCGTCTTTTTATCCCAGTGTTCAAATCGACTAATAAAGAATAGACTGGTTTGAAAGCACCTTTAAACAAAAAAAAAAAATGCAACAATAGTGATAACTTCAATGGGTTTTCTGATGTCCTTTTCAAATTACTATTTTAGGGTCCTATTCTAGAGGCTTATAAGTAGTTTTCGAGCTTTCTATTCCTCTAAAAAGCGTAGAAAATCTTCTAGAAAACCAAAAAATGCACTCAAACAAAGAAAAAGGGCATGCCATTCCCATATTACAAATGTGAGAGCAAGAAAAAGAAAGAAAGAAACATTCCTCGTCACTGAAAAGATCAATAAAAATATTATTTGCAATTTAAATGCCAGTTGCGAAATTCTCTTCAAAATTTTTCTGTTTTGGGAGCGTTCATTTTTAATTTTTTGTTCGAAGCTGTCTTCAGGATAGGATCTTTTTTTAAAAAATATATATAGGGTAAAGGTTCAAGCGAGAAAAGAGGTTTCGGTGTCTCTGATGTACTTTCCTGACCCCAGCCAGCAGTAAATCAATTATAAAAGGGTCATGCCATCCATGAGAAAGAGGTCTTGAGACAAGAGAAAGAATAGTGTGCAAAAAAGGAGAATTATACAGGAGTTTGTGACTTTCATAAAAGCGGGAAAGAACTTTTGAGGAATATGGATGATCATCGAAAGTTTCCAGAATTTAAACGTCCCAGAAAGCTAGGATGAATGAAATTTAATTGAAATCCAAAATATTAATTGAAAAAAGTGTCAAAAAAGAAAAAAAAAATACACAAAACGTCTTTTCAAATTCATTTTCCATAAGATTACTCACACAAACGCGCGATAATCTTTTTTTGAAACGAAGTTGAGAAATTTGATAGAAAGTAATGTGTTTCGGTCACACTCCAGTAAGCTTTCATGAACGAACTATTCGGAAAATTCCTTTTTTCATGAGAATGACTGATTTATCATTTTCTCACAGGAGCTCAGACCAACTTATACTTTCGCGCTTTCAAACTCAGCAGGGAAGTGTTAATAATAAACTGGGAAATGCAAATTTAAAAAAAAGTCAGTTTTTCAGCCTTATTTCAGGTCACCCGCCCCTTAAAACCCCCAGAATTCTTATCTGAACGAACTATACTGAATAATCAAAAAACAAGGCCAAATATTGGACGAAAAACCGAGTCAAAACACCAACAAAAGAGGGAAAAAGAACGCTTTTGTTAGGGACACCAGTCCATTTTTTCCAGGGGTTCATTCACTTCCATCTTTAGTCTCCGATGGACAGCGCTGAAGAGAGAGAGAAAGAATCGCCGGCAGGCGCTGAAAGAAAAAAAAAAGGGGGAAGGAAAACCGGACTTTTCCAGAGGCGGTCAATTGCAGCGTGACGTCACGAGGGGCTGCAGCTAATTTGCGTCACGCTATATAGCTTTTAGGCGGTTTCCTTGGAGCTTTTTCGGGCTGATGAATCTTGGAGTTTCTTTGAAAAATGAAGCGTTTTTTTCGAAAATAGTGATACAAGAAGCTTCATTTTGAGTGAAAATGGAGAAAGACATAATTTTGATATGAAATTTCATTATTTTTCTACTTCGATTCGAAAAAAATCTTATTAAAATGAGACTGAAAAAAAATTTAGTTGTTGAAGGTGCATATTAAGGCTCAAAATATTACTGAAAACGGCTCGGTTACCGAAATTTTGAGGCATCATTAAAAAAATTCAAATTAACTCATAAATCTAAAAGATAGAGAGAAGCTTCAACTTTAGAACGATTCGTACACTTTCCACATTTGAAACATGAATTTAAAGCGCACATTTCAACAGGAAAATGTATCATTAAAAGGCTGGAAAGGGGAACTAGTTGGAAAATTCATCCTGAAAATTTTAAATGTAACTAAACATTTTTAAATCCAAATTTTTCACATAAAAAACTTCAAAATGACATTTGACAGTCGTATATCACAAAGCTACCTTAAAAAGGTTGACTGAGGAGTTTAAAAAAGGCACAAAATGCATATAAGTATCATCAAATTGAACTATTTGCTTTCGAAAACTCCTGTAAAGACTTCTGAAGCTGGAAGCACACGAAATATCAAACAAAAAGTGAAAGAAAACTAAACGGAAAAAATCAAAAAAAAAATCAGAAAAATCAGCTGATCAAACACTTTAGTTCGATCAAAGCCATCGATTTATAACAATTGGAGAATTGTTTACATCCAGCGAAACGTCACTGGAGAAGGATCGAATTGCAATGAAAAGCATACGAAATGAACAGTTTATAAACAAGTGAAAGCTATGAAATATTCCTCAACAATTCTTTTTCATTAAAACCAACATGATAATCAGAAAAATCGTACCTAGAAGCGGCGGATTGAAGAAAAGCCGATTGGCGTGGCAGGAAACTGGCCAATTGGCATCCGGCTCGGTTCATAGCGCCTGAAGGCGAGAATATGTATATTCTTGTTTAAAGAGATCCATTTTCAAAATTTGAAACAATTTTAATGGGATTATCTTAGAAATTATCAGATTGACTTGTAAATGACGCAAATTTCGGGCTTTTTGACAGTTGAACATAAAAAACGGCTTACTTAAAAATTGCAGAGTGGTCCCTTTAGGGGTCCGAGAAGAAAAACAGCCCCAGAAGGCCGAAAAAGTGGTCTGTATAGGGGTAAAAACGAGGTGGTCCCTATAGGGGTCTTTCAAAAAAAAAAAAAAGCTCATTTATTTAATTTTTTCGCATGGAAAAGCTTCTTCGCATAGAGTACATAAAAATTATCGACTGCTTTTCCCCAATACGGGCCCTTTAGGGATCACTTTTGCGAGCATAAGTGGCCTCTATAGTGGTTGGTAAAGTGGTGCCTAGAGGGAACCATCCAAGGGTCTCTAAGATTGACCCTATAGGGACCACTATGAAGTTCCTAAGAACAGCGCAGAAAGGCAAGTTTCAATCCACTTTATTTTCTGCTTTATCAATTTTAAGCATGATTAAAAGTGGCGCACACCTATCATTTTTTTCCCATATCGTGGATAAGTAAATAAATTAATATAAACTACAATAGTTAAAAAGAAGAATATTGAATTGAAAAACGAACGAAATCAAAACGAAGCTGTCCAAGACTCGAAGAAAAAAATACCCAAGCTACAAAAAAGGTACTCTATTTTGATCGCCGCCTGATGAATCAAATGACCAACTGATAGCGATCTTTGAACGGAATCGGCTAGATAATTTGAATTGTTTCCGACTTTAGACAGTTTTTGAATTAAAAGAAAGCTTGAGTATCATTTTGTTACTTCAATTTGACTGAAATTGGTTTAAAAACGCTCAAAAGTGTTTTTGTGGCCTCAAGAAGAAAAGCGGATATTGCGCCTTCAAAAACACAAGGATTTTATCAATCGAAAATATATTATTAGTAAACTCCTTCAAAAAACTTTGTAAAAAATCGCTCGTTCAAAAAATAAATGATATGTGTAAAAGGAAAAGAAAAACCATGACGGTTGCGCATACCGTTTCTATCAAAAACAACAAAAAACCAGAGAAAACAAAAATTTACTTTCATCATAATGTGGACAACAAAATGGTGGAACAACAGAACAATAAATATAAACCTAACTAGAAAAGGAAAAATTGTCTTGAAAATGAGGTCGAAATTCGTCTTCCAGTTCTATTGCTCGTCCTGGTTTTGTGCTGAAATTCAAAGAAAAATTTATTTCAGGGTTTTTCTTTCAAAATTACGCTTTGCCAACTGTTGGATGGTGTCGGCGCGGATGAAGGTGTTGCGTGGGGTGCGGTTTCCCTGGAAAAACCAAATTTTTTTAAAAAAATGTAGAGATTAAAAAAACTTACGCTTTCTTCAAGTTTGCCGCCAGAATAATGGAGTCTGCCAAGGACCATCACTCGGTTTCCTATACAAAAACGGATTTTAAATTATGTAAAAAAAATAAGTACATTGAAAAAAATAATTTTGATTCAAAAGGCAAGAAAATTGCTCTGAAAGAAAAACAAGAAGTCGGTCAAAGGACGAGTTTCAAGGAGACTGCTAAAATGACCGAAATAACTAATTTTTCGAAAGTTTTAAGGAAAGCTTGAAAGCCTTATATTACAGGAAACTTCTTCTTCAAAATTACTCTCTGTTCTATTATTTTTATAACGCCGCTTCACCTTTTTTACATCATTTTTTGAAAAATTTACCTTTGCGAATGATCTTCGACAAGTTTTCAGCCTGCGGTCCAAAGTAAGTGACGGCATGTCTCTCGGTCTGGAAATCAACTATCATTTCGGTTTGATACTCAAAAAATCTTAGAATGTTTTAAAAAAATTAGCAAATAGAACAGCTTCTCGTTTCGTGGATCTTCAAAATATTTTCGTTTAAAAAAAATGTGGTAAGCTTTTTCACACAGATTCTAACACAAACTGCAAACCTCTTCAAAATAAGAGCCGTCAGTGTTCTTCAAGGAATGATTAGTTATGACGTTCATCAAAAGATACGGCCGATTGTTTTTCGTCTGTCGCAAAACCGGGTCCAAGGCAACGCCTCCAACAAGCTCTACCTTGTTTGTGCTGCAAAAAAAAAAGAATCAAAATTAATGATTCTTTGAAAAGATGCCTGAAAGCATGACGACGTCTAGGCTGATTCTGCTGAGAGGATCTGCTCTTGTCCGCGAAAAGTTCATCGACTTCGTGCTTGCTAGGCGCTTCGGCCGAAGATTGAGCCGAAATGGCGATGGAACGGATGGAGGATCGAGAAACAGTCGAAATCGCTCGCAACATGCCTCAAAATCACATTTCTCATGTAACAAAAACAGAAGAAAGGTAGAAAAACGCGTAAAAACACTGGCTGATGCAAGAATTTAGAAAACTGCAAGGCTGAACTTTAAAAAGGGAAGTTTCATGAGTTTACGCCAAAAAGTAAATATAGCGCTTAGTTAGAAGCTTATGCCGTGTTCAAAGTAATTTCCGCGAAATGCAAAATGGTCTCTGACCCTCCAAAATTTAGTTATCTTTCTCTTTCTCTGACGGCTGTTTTGAATTTCGCGGAATCACTTTGAACACGGCATTAAACTTGGAATAGAAAAATTTGAAACTAGTTAATTCGATGAAATCTGGAAAACTCGAACGGTCGGGCGTTTTCGGCGAGTCCGCGAGTTTTATTGCAACGCGTGCGCAGTTCGTTTGCAATCTCCTGATGCATCGCACAGACAATTCAGGAAGTTAACAATGAGACAAAATATTCTTAAAGTTGAAGCAAACAGAGAAATGAGGGTCATACGCAAGATGTTTTAGAAATTGTAAAATGATTTCCTAAATTACAAAGTTATGAAACGTACTCCAGACCAAAACTTCATCGCAAATCGATATATACGATACTAGAGCCCCGTCTCTTCTTTTTTGACATACAGGATTCAAGAAATCGACTAAAGAAAAATCCTATTTAAAAAAAACGAATTGAATATTTGAAAAAAAAAAGGGAAAACGAAATTGCTTGTAACTTGCGTTCCGTCCGTGACATTCTTTCATTGCGGAAAAATAGAAAACAGTAACTTCGAAAACTCAAAATTCTTCATCCCACGATTTTGATAACTTTAACGAAAGCTTTCGTTTTAATTTTTCCGTATTGAAGAAGACCAATGGCTCTTGGTTTTCTTCAATTATCCGTTAGGACTCGATATTTTTTTTTAATTAGTAAGACGGCTTCTAATTTCATTTCCTCGTTTCCGAAAAAAAAAGATTGCGGTTCAAAAAATCACGTCAAAAAACGTACACGTGAAGAAAAAATTTATTTGAGGAGTAAGTCAACGTCATCAATTCCACTAGTTCTGTGAAGGTCCCTGACGTCCACTTCGATGCTGCTGCTGTGGTTAACAACGTGTAGGGTTTTAAATAACCCTTTTAAGTAATTTATTTCTTGTAGTTTCGTTGCTGATCTGGGCTGTAGAATCAGACAGGGCGGCTCAGGAAATCAGTAAAGGCAACGTGAATTTAGCGAAGGTGAGTTGAAAATGATCGTTTCCTCAGTAAAGAAGCATTTTTTTTCAAAAAGATTGAATTCAAGAGCCTTTCAAGTGTTATGTGCCTTTTTCAGCGAGGACTCTAGAATAAAATATATAATTATTAAGGAAATTCAGGATATTTTTTTGTTTGAGGGGCAATATAACGAAGCTCTTCAACATTATCATGAGGCGGTAGAAGCTGATTCGACAAACGTGCAAGCCTTGTTCCGGCGTGGAACCACTCAGTTATTTTTGGGTCGGCCTTCCCTGGCTATCCGCGATTTTGACGCCGTTCTCCGTTTGAAGCCTGACATGAGCACTGTGAGTAGAAACCGTACAAAAAACTATTTGTTTCCTAAGAAAATGATATAAAATTAAGGCAAGAACTCAACGAGGGAACGTTTTGTTCAAACAAGGGAAGTTGGAAGAAGCGAAGTTGGATTTCAAAAAAGCTGTGAGCTTGAAAAAGTCCCCATTACCGAAAAAAATCCTGTGAATTTGAGCTTGAGTCTGAAAATTCGAACAAAGAAGCTTGGGAAGGCTTGGAAAAGGTGGAAAGCTACAGCGCGATGAAAAATAACTTGGATGGGGACAGCTGTGAAGAAAAATGCCCTTGAATCGCTTTTTGGAAGTTTTTTTATAATAATTATAATACTTTTTTGTAAAAATCAAATTTAGGTTATGATCTGGGACAGTTCACTTTATCGAATTCGAGCCAAATGTTCACAGCAAAGAGGGGATATCCATTCGGTTCGAATATGAGAAGGAAAAATGCATGACTTTTTTGAGGCTTTGATGGACCTGAGGAAAGTCGCCAAGTTGGATACGGACCATGCGGATGATGTTCTCTACGAAATGAGCCGATTGCATTATGAATCCGGCTCAGTTGAGCAGGCTTTACGGTCATTTTTCATCATTTTAACTCAAGTTCCCAAAAGATCTGTTTAATTTTGTTTTAAAATCCTAAGAGCAGTTTTTTCTGACCTGAAATAACACCGAAAATTTTTTTGAGCTTCTAAGAATCTTTGAAAAACATTCAGAAAGGTTTTTTGGACAGTTTTTATAGTCTTGAACAGAACGGACACTGTTTGAACACATATTTCTTTTTATACTGAAAAACAATCAGAAAGCAGCTGAGAGTTATCTATTGTGAAACGTTAAATTTTACATGATTTCGGACATTTATCTTAAATTTGTTTAATGCTTACTCCCGTTTTTTTTGAAGCGGAAACTTGGGCTTCTGGAGCTTTTTTTCACTAAAGTTTCGTTTTTGAAAAAGCCTTTCTGAAACTAGTAGAATTTTTTTCCGTAATCAAAATAACTTTGGAAAATAACTACTTTCTCTGTGGCTTTTCTGAAAACGACTGTGCTCCTCATAATAACCCAGAAAAGGTTCTTGAGAAAATTTCTATTTTCTCAATTATTTGCCATATTTTTTTCCAGATCGATTCGAGATTGTTTGAAGTACAACCCCGATCACAAGCTCGGTTATCCATTTTACAAGAAATTGCGGAAAATCGGCAAGATTCGAGGTTTTTTTGATGATCCGTTGATATGAGGGCTGCCGATTGAGAGTTCAAATTTCGACTCTGTTCATATTTAGGATCCTGATTTTTTTTTGTTTTATGTGGTTAGCATAGGAAAGCTGTAGATTATCACAAGAAAACTTGAGAAATCTAGGGATTTTTGTGAATAGCTTGGTTTCGATTAAAATTTTTCTTTTGAAAAAAAAAAGAAATTGATATTTTTGGTGTTTTTAGTGAGAAAGTTGAGTTGCTCTCTTTGCTTTTTGTAGTTTTCGCTTTCTTTTGATTGTATTTCAGAATCAACAAATATTTGTTTTTTTTTATTTATTCAGAATTTCAAACAAAAATGATACAATCGATGGCGATAATATGAAGACAAGCAAGAATAGTACAATTAAAGGCGAAGATTCAGGGAATAGATGAAAATAGAGGCAAGAAAATAACACCGAAAGGAGCGAGGAGAAACGAGGGTGTTATTTGATTACCAGGAATAAGAAATCACAGATGTGAAGACTTGAAAAAGAATGAGAGGATAGAAGGAAAATTACTTGCGGAAATCGTCCAGCGGCCAGGAACACGAAGGTCAAAGAGTTTAAGCATCTGGCGAAGGTTGTTCAGTAGAAAAAACAGGAACTGGTGGCTTGGACAGGTCTGTAATAAAAGTTTCATCAGTAAAGTTTGAGAGAAACGGGAAACTAACCCAAAGAACGGCGGAACGGCTTCCGAATAGGTGCCCACGTAAACTTCTCGACTTCTTCTGGCGTCAACTTGCTGCTTTTTGGGGACTTTGGAGCTTCCGTGGCCTCCTCCTGAGGTGGAGCATCAGTAACGGCCTCGGCGGCTGCAGGAGCTCCTTCCGAAGTGCGCTTCTTTTTCGCCGGGCTAACGACTGAAAAATCGAGACTTTTTCGGCATCCAGTGTTGAGTGTGGTCTCTGCAAATCGAAAATGTTATTGATAGATCACATAAAAAATATATAAAAATGTAAAAAAAGTACATGATGTAAAAATATAAAAAAGAAACAAACCGAAAGAGTGACGGATCTGCTTGCGAGCAGGAGCCTTCACGAGAGTATCCTGACCCTGAGGAGCAGCTCCCGGACGGACTGGGGTACTGGGAGAGTTCATCGTGTTGAGATTCAGCGACGAAATGTGGCCCAACTGCTGTTAGACGGTTATTTATAGAGGTCTCCGGCAGGGGGCTTGGCCGCTTGGGCCAACGAAACTCCGCCCCCACGCGGGCCTCCGAGGTGTTAGCTTGGGAACTGGAGTCGTAAATTTCGCGCCTCATTAGCAGACTTCATAAAGAGGTGTCGATTTCCGTCTCGATTTCCTTTTTTGTATCCGACTACTTTGCGGTTTTTACAACTTGGGACCTTGGCCCGGAGAATTTTCACCCAAATGTGTGATTTCGAGTCGCACTCTTCTTTGTTCTATCCGACAGCGTCTTTTGAACGATTTTGTGAATTGCCTGTAGCACGGAAATATAATTTTCGATACATGAGTGTTTTTTTTCCTTGATATCATATTCGGTAACTGGTTAACTGTTCTAGAATACGCCGAAAGTATGTAACTATTGAGAAAGGAAGGTAACTCAACTATTTCTTCGAAGAGAGTCTTCGAAATAAGCTTGTAACATATCCTACAAATGTGAGAAACAGGGAATGAATTTTCCGGAGATATATTCCGCGGAATTATTTTTTGACTCAAGTTATTGTCTTACTTAATTTATCAAGATTAAATCCTCAATCGATATCTTTCTACTACCGAAAATACAATGTTTTGTCGAAAATTCCAATTCAGATGCGATGATTGCCAAGTCCGAAAACGAAGAATGGAACGAATGCGTCAAAAAAGCTGGAGAAATATTGAAATCCGATGTTTCTGAAGCGATCCGGATCGATATCAATCGATTCTCTTGCAAATGCAACCGGGAGGTTTGTATAGAATAAAAAGGGCGAGGCAAAAATTCAAAAAAATTGTCAAGTATACTGAAAAAGGGAAGATCAATAGGGATTTTCAGTTGATTTTTACGACTTCAGCTCAAGAGAAAATGAATATTTGGGGGGTTTTTTTTGGGTTTTGAAGCTTTTTTTGACCCTTTCCGGTTTCGCCTATGAGTACTGAAAAGAATGTGTTTTTAGAACGGAGATTTGGAACAAGCGATTCAAGACTGCTCGAAAGTCATCAACGACAATCCGAACGACGTTGATATTCTGTGTGAACGCGCCGAAGCTCATATTCTCAACGACGATTTGGATTCAGGTGGAGACCTATAAGAATCCTTTTAGAAAATCGTTAGAAATTCTGTTTCAGCCGCTTTAAAATGTCACACATTTTCAGGTTTATTTTTTCAGAAAGATGGGAAAAATCAGTTTTTCGTAGACAAGCACTCAAATTTTAATATTGCTCAAAAAACTTCATTTCTTTGAAGGAACATAGAAGCGTTTTGGAAAGGGTTTCAAGGCGGAAAGCTATTTTTGGCGGCATTTTTAATTTTAATTTTTTTCTGCTCCGAGTAAAAATTTCACAAGTCTTTGAAATATCACAACCGACTCTTTCATTCTCTGTATGTACTGGAAAAATTTCTAGTAGCCACCTAAGCGATTCCTCGAGAAGTACTTGGAGTGGACACTAAAGTGACCGCTAAAACCACCTCTACTTAGTGGCCTCTATAGTTGCTTCGTGGTCAATATTACTACTCAAACCACTTAAGAGGCCACTTTTTAGGCTAGTTTTTGCCGCTTAAGTGTGCACTCATCAAACTACTATAGTGGCTACTTTAAAGGTTCCTCAAGGACTAATTGGAGAGGGCACTAAAGCGGCTCTAAAAACAGCCTATACAGAAGCCACTATTTTGTGACTTAGTGGGCACTATAGTAGTTTTAGTGGTTAATAGAACTAATCAGACTTCCAAAGAGGCCACTAATTTTTAGTCGCTCAGTTGTTCACTAATCCAACTTCTATAGTGGTCACTTAAATGTCAAAACCCTAAAGTGACCACTTAAAATTGCCCCAGATAAATTTGAGCCCATCTTACAGCCCTAAACGATTTCACCGAAGCTTCAAACATTGATTCCGGTAATTCTGCTGCTCGGAAAGGTATCGAACGAGTCAAATCTCTGAAGGAAAACGCTGGCAAAAGGGATTATTACAGGATTTTGGGTGTTTCTAGGTGATTTTTCGAGTTTCGAGACTTTTCCTTGATTCAAAAAAATCTAGAAGCGCGAATAAAAGGACAATCACCAAGGCTTACCGGAAATTGGCACAGAAATGGCATCCCGATTTGTTCACGGATGAGAAGGAAAAACAAAAGGCCCAGAAAAAGTTTATCGATATTGCGGCCGCCAAGGAAGTCCTCACAGATGACGGTAACCCTTTGAGAAATCGGGAAACTATTGATGGAAGTTAAGAAAATAGCTTTGAAAAAATAGGTGAAATAGGAGAGTTCAGAATTTTTATTTATGCTATGAAAATCGTTTCAAACTAGGATCCTAGAAAGAACGGCGAAATACAATTTTTGCTCGAAATTTCCATGTTAAGGTCGCGTTTATCTCGAGTTGAAGTAAATCTAGCTTGAATATATGACTTGCAAGTTGTTTTTTACAGAAAAAAGAAGCAAATTTGATAATGGTATCGATCCGCTGGATACCTCAAATCAACAGGGCGGTGCCCATCATCATGGGTAATCGAAATAATTTTTTCTAGAAAAATAAAAATTTCCTCGTCAGATTCCAAGGTTTCCGCGGATTCCAAGGCTTCAACGACGGCCAATATCAGTTCTTCTTCCGCCAGTAGATCTTCTTCTTTTTTTCTTCGCATGTTTTTTTTGGTAGGCCGCTAATTTTATATTTATTTTACTTGTATCTATTATTCGTTGCATGTTTGATGAATTTTCTGCACAATTTATTTATTTTTTAATTGGATTTTTTTTTCGATGGATTTTTTTAGATTACTGAGAGGATGAGGAAGGTGATGGCGAGTAGGATCCTTGGCGTGTTGCCTGAAAAATCTTGCATTTTTTTAAAAAGATTTTAACTTCAAATTTAGAAGTCAGCACAGCCAAAAAGAAAAATTTATGAAAAAAATTTAGGTTATCATTCAACATTGAATGAATCACAAGAAGATTGAGGTAGATGAAATAATAGTTTTGAACTAAAAATATCTGATTTTACAGCTTCAAAATTTTTTTAATTTTTTTCCATTCAGAAATCCGCTGTTAAGGTAAAAAAAATGCAGCTGGAAAAATTGAACTTTTAAACTTTTTTTGTTGATTTCAAGCCTCGAAAACTCACCGCTTTGAGAGAAATCCAGCGAATATCGGACAAAGGTCCCAGCTGTGTTTGCCGGTACCGAATAGGAGATGTTATGTCTTGTAGACGGCCCAATTTTACCAGTCCCATTCTTTCCTTGGAATCTTAACCGGAATTTTTTGCATTTTCGCTAAATTTGGTAGTCCTGGCCGCACGTGGAATGGCTCAAAGGTAGCGTTGTAAACCGATTTGATCTCTTTTCCGCACCAAGCCATTCCGATTGCGACCATGGCTTTTCAGTTCAAGACTAATCAAGTCTTACATCAAATTTTGCGTTGAGCCGTCGTCAACTTTGAACGTGAGACCATCTGTTGAAGCGTTATTGAAGAGGGGAAAGTCGTAGGAGACGGTTATTTTCGAGCCATCACTGGCTTTGATCCAAAATGAGTTGTTTTCCGCTTGCGTAGGCATGAGAGAAGTCATGATCGCTCCGATAGTTCCATTTATGGCTGGTGACGATAGTCCTGAAATTTTTTTTGATGGGTTCTGAAATTTCGAATGTAATTTTTATGATTTTTTTTTAATTCTAGAAGCTTGTTAAGAAACTTTTTAACTTGTTCACATGAACTTTTTGCAAATGCTCTTTTTGACAGTACCCATGAAACACAACCGTTTCCAAAACTGATATCGTAATTTTTCATAAATTTCAATACCATAAAACAAATTGTCGAAGGTTGTAGCCATCGAAACTGTCCCCTGTTCTACGACGTAAGTCCGACAGGTGGATTTGACCACAACTCGAGTGAAGTTTTTCACTGTATCGTTTCTGAAAATTTTTATGGAATTTTAAAAAAAAGCAAAATTTTAAAACAAACGTGATTGTAACGACTTTCAAGCCTTCGAATGGGTTGACGACGCAACCGGCGTAGATTGTCAGCTTCGTGTTGTTTGAATCCTGGAAGATTCTTCTCAAAACTTTTCTCGAAATCAAATTACTTACAAAAGTGAAGTTGGTAAGAGTATTACTGTTTTCGGCTGAGTAGTCCTGATCTATAATATAGTAGTTGCCTGCAGTGAAATTTTGCACTTGAGTCGTCCCTTCAGAGTTCACAGGTATTGATTGGTAGGAGTTGGTTCCGAGGAATCCTGGAAGTACAATTAGAGGAGGATTCTTAGATAAATATATCTGGAATGAACTTTTGAAAAGAAAAAGTTACAAGCGAAGGATGCTTGGGCAAATTGGGACTGCCAATTTTTGATTCGGCATTTGGGACAGCCAATTTTTTGTTCTTAATTTGGGACTGCCAATTTTCAATTCAAAGTTTGGGTATGCCAATTTTTGATTCAAATCTTGGGACTGCCAATTTTGCTCTTGTCAGAGTTTGGGTATGCTAATTTTCAATTCGAAATTTGGGACTGCCAAATTCCAACTCGAAACTTGGGACTGCCAATTTTCAATTCAAACTTTGGGACTGCCAAATTCCAACTCGAAACTTGGGACTGCCAATTTTCATTTCTAAATTTGGGACTGCCAAATTCCAACTCGAAACTTGGGACTGCCAATTTTCATTTCTAAATTTGGGACTGCCAAATTCCAACTCGAAACTTGGGACTGCCAATTTTCATTTCTAAATTTGGGACTGCCAAATTCCAACTCGAAACTTGGGACTGCCAATTTTGATTCTGAAAGTTTGGGTATGCCATTTTTCATTTCTAAATTTGGGACTGCCAATTTTTAAATTAAAAAAAATTGTCAAAAATTTGGGACTGCCAATTTTGTTCCTGTAAAAGTTTGGGTATGTCAATTTTCAATTCTAAAATTGGGACTGCCAATTTTTCATGATCTTATCAAGAATATTGATTTCTAAAAGTTTTGTGACTCGATTTTTTTAGGGAAGAGTTTTGTGCAAATCGAAATCAAGAAGCATTCATACCCGGTAGCTGTGAAACCATGACGGCGAAATCAGGCCAGTGCCAAGCCACATAGTACAATGGTGTTACCAGAGCCAAATTCATCGCAGAAAGGGTTGAATTTGACATTTGCAAACTCAGAAGACTGAAATTCCCATTAAACTGGTTTTTGATACATTCTACACCTTCCCATGAAAATGTCACCACTGTAGAAAAAGACCTGGTCCATCGAGGACTTTTCAGAAGAGTTGAAGGAAATTGGACGAATCGTTAAAGGCAATCCGGATGAGGAATTGAAGTTTATTCTGTCTAGTGGCAATAAATCTTTTGTGTAGATCAAGTTGGCTAAGTAGGGACCGACGGGAAAGGTTCGAGTTCTTTTGGCAGTTACTGTAAAATGATTTACGTTGTTTTCTAAGATTCTTGTCTCACTTTTAATCATCTCGATCATGAGGTCGTCGAAAACACCCGTGAGTGATAACTCAATGGAGAAGTCTGTGGGACAAATGTCATATGCTGGTTCGCGGGTGGAGTTTTGACTCAGCCTGAGAAAATCCTGAGGAAAAGCTGATGTCCATGACTCACGTCAATACATTCTGACATGGGGCGTTTTGAACAATCCTGACATAGTCATTCATATTGTTGAACTTCTCGACGGGGATGTAGAGCGTTGGCCGGAGCATTGGGGATTTCATCACAAACTAAAAAAATTTCATTAATTTTTTTCAGAGAGAAGAGTTTTTTGATCAAGCTTCGTTGCCATTAAAAGTGGGAGAAATATCAATTTTTGTACTTTTTTTAATTTTTTTTTTTCAAAGCTCAAAAAAATTTGCAACTAAGGGAATCAAAAGATCATATTTTTGAAGCTCTCAATGATTATCTTATGACATCAAGCTTTTGAATGGCTTCAGTCCCCAAAAAGTCATAATTATTGCTTGCGGAAATTCTTAAGGCATATACGGAACACGCGAGAAGTATAATAATAGATCCAAGTTTGATTTTTACATTCTTTTACTCTTTTAATTTTTTATTCCAGAATTCCCTACCTGGATCGTACATCTTAACGGTCTAGGGCTGGCCGAAACATTCATAGTGAATAACCAATCCCCTTGAACATTGACAGGATTCGTCGTGCAATCTGAGTATCAGTTTAATTTTTGATAGTCTGTTGAAAATTTAGGATTATTATAAAAAAAAAGCAAAGAAGTTTCACAGTATAAAGCGAAGACCTACCGAAAATCTGGACTTTTGAAATGGCCAGCACTGCAGAAAACAAGCCAAAAAATCCAAAAAGCAGCCGCAAACCCATGTTGAAAGTCTGAAAAAAACTACTTCCTACGCTAATATCACATCGAAAAGGTTTTTCTTCCTCCTTTACCCGTCTGAAAAAGGAGAGGCGGAGACATTGCTTAGCAACGTTGACTGGCAATAAGACGGGGGAGAATTTTTCGGTGGACTTTTGATAAAATTACCAGCCGAAGTGTAGAAAATAACACGTTTTGAAGGATAGAAATCATGGCACCTGAAAAAAATTGAAGTTGAGGACGGAAATCAGGAGGGCATTGAAAGAAAAACGTAAAACAGTGTTAGTTTGAAAATTTTTTTTTATGAAAACCGAGGATATTGCTTAGATCAAACTATATCCTTTCTTGACACGAAAAATGACTCACGAATTACTGAACAAATCTATACCTTCCTTTTTGGATAAGAAAAAATAGCAAACGGTATGGGGCTTACATTAAACGTGAAAATGTCTTTTGATCAGTGAAAGATTGAAAAAGCTGGATGAAAATTGAAAAATTAACGTTCTAAGTATCTTGGAAGTCGTACTTCACAAAGGGGAAATACGCTTTTTCCAAAAAAATAACTTTCATAGTTGACAATTATTTTCATTATCATACCCTCTCTTTTAAAAGCTTAATCGATCTTGAAAAATTCCAGGTATTTCTCAAAATAATATGCCCACCACGTTGCAACTTTTAAAAGTTGATTTCCGATGCCCTTTCTTCAAAAAAAAAGTTTTTTGTTCATTTTTTGATCCTTGGAGCCGATTCCACTTGAGAGTCGATGGATGACTCAAAATTTGATGTCCAAAAATGGACGATACTAAATATGCAGTAAAAGAAGGACCGACGGGTGCTTTCAAGTGGGTGTTCGTGTGAAGACGAGTGTATGCACACTCCGCCCCCCCCCCAACACAGGCTGTTTCTACCGAATTCATACCTGAAACTGTCCCTATCGTTATGCAGCGGTTTTGCTTTATTACTCTCATTTTGACCGTTGGAAAATGTTTCGGTCAAATGTCATCCATGGGTCTCGCATACAACGGCTACGGCATGTACGGCGGCATGACTGATTATTCTTCACTTATGAATGGTAAGCTTTTCGAAATTATCGAATTACAAAAGTTTCTGGAATAAAATATATAAGTTGTTTGTACGAAGGTCTTACTATTAGATTATAGACTTGCTCTGATTTTTTCGCCTTTGAAAGATGAAGTAAATTTTTAATATATTTAATGAGAGTTTAAAAAACTTGTTTCGTGCTCCAAAATTCGCTACAAGTTCATAGAAAATTTTTAAAGTTTTGCGCGTCACGGTGTGAATTCGCGTAAATCTGCAGCATTGTGTGTTTTTGAATAACTTTACGAATGTCAATTTTACACGCTTTTTCGTCTTTTTTTCATCAATTATCGAATTTTTTTCTGTTCTCAAAAAAAAAACTTCAATTTCTGTTTGATTTAAGAACTACGCCAAATGAATGTCTAACTGATGGAAAAGGAATTTTTCAATTTTAAACGAAATTTTTATAAATTAATTAGTCTAAAAAAAAATATTTACGCACTTATTTGCAATGAAGTTCATTTCAGAATATTTTCATGTCCAATAAAAAAAAATATCACGTTTAGTAAATTTTCTGCGCTGTTTTAATTTTAAGTTTCGATTTTTTACTCTTAAAAAATGTCACATTTTTCAATAATCAAAATGTAAATTTCTTTGTTCCTTCAAATGTATAAATCATATTTAACTCTCAGAAAAAGCTTCGTTTTTACCTTTTTGCTCATCGAAAGCCAACCTGTTCAGGCTATGGCAACGCCTACAGCAATCCGATGATGTACAATTCCCTCGGGATGAACTCCATGTACGGCCTCGGTGGAATGGGCGGTCTCGGAGGCCTTTCTAGTTTGTCAGGAACTTCAAGCCTTGGCTATGACGTCACTGGGATGTACAACAACGGAATGTACGGCAACGCGTATAATCCCTACGGCACTATGATGAATGCCTATGGTAATTGTTATGATTAGTCGAAAAATCCTTTTTTTTCTGAAACTGTCAGCAATAATTTTTGTACCAGCTATAATCTATTTATTCATTTTTGTGTTTCAGGTATGAACTCTGGAATGAATGGCATGACGGGCATGAACAGTATGACTGGGATGACTGGTCTGAATGGCATGTTGAACCAATTCGGCAACACCGTTTCCAACACCAATGGTTACGGTAACAGTGTCACCGCAACTTCTGGGAATGGATTGAACAATGGCAACACGATGAGGGCCTATGGTCGCAGAACAAGTTGGTTTTTTCGATTTGAGAAAAGTGGATTTTCAATATTGTTTAGTATATGTTTGAGGAGATTTGACTTTTCGGCTTTTAGTTTTTTTTCTTGGCTCTCTCGGTTTCAGTATTTTTATATATGATTTAAATATTTGTGATTCAGTTTTTTGATAGATTTTTAAAGCTACTTGAGCCGTTTCCGCAGTTTTTATATTTTTTAACGTTATACCCACCTTCTAAAGATCTCTCAAGATTTACGGAATCAGTTGATCGAAAAAAAGCATATTTTTTGGACTTTTTACTTTATTAATACTTCGTTTGACTTTTTTTCATTGAGCAAAAGTTAAAATTGAAAAAAAAAATTTCGAGTATGCGATAGTGCGTCTCGGTGTGTTTACACCCTAAGCATCATAACTTTACGAGAAGTCTAGACTTGCGTATTAAAAAAAACGCCGAGCCTCGCTATATTTCAGCCTTTTCAAGCCAAATCTCAAATTTTTCTTACGGATCTTTTCAAATTTTTTTATATTTTTTTCCGTGAGTTTCTGTAGTTTTTTTCAAAGCAATATCTGTCATCATGTAGCTTTTTTTATAGGTTTAAAAAAATTATAACATCTGCCCATTCCCCCATTCCCCCAACAAATTTGAATAAAGTGTCATGTTTAGAGCAGTTCAGGACTTATGTAAACTCTAAGATTTCGCGAATTTTTCTAAGCGCTATAAAAAAGTTTTCAGAATGATTTATGACCTTTTACAAAGTGTAAAGGTTTCTCATAGCTTTCTCACATTTTCACAGGTGTTTTCCGAGATTTTTAGAGCAGATTGTGGTTCTCTTTTCTCACGCTCTCAGAAAAAAGGATAATTTTTTATTTCATCAATGTATGTTTTTATCATTTATGGAGGATTTTTATTTTTCAAGAAATGGCTGTATCGAATCAATTTTCGAAATTCCAGGTCAGTCATACCAACAAGCCAACCGCTTCGGACCATCACATCAGGGCTGCACCGGCGTTGGATGTGGCGGCTGGGCCGCCCAGAAATCATGATTTATATTTATCAAATAATTTATTGCTGTTTCCCATTGGTGTCATGTATAAAGATTTATCTTCTTTTATCTTGTTTTTAATGTTTTTAACAAGTTTTCGGAGACTGAAATAATATTTTTCTTATACAAGAAGCTTCGTGGTACTTCTACACTATAAATTCAACTTTTCCAAATTCAATGGAGACTTAAAGTTGACAAAACTGATATCTTGGAAGGAATAGAAAAATCAACTAAGTTTTTACAAATTTCTTGGATGGTTTTTGAAAATTTTAAAATATGTTGAAACTTGAACTGAAGCGAACATCTTCTTCTATATACTATTTTTTTATTCTGACTCTTTTTGGTTTAAAAATCGAAATGAGATGAATATTTAATTGGTATCAAAGATATTTTTTTGATCCTTTACATATTTAATTTTTTTAATGATCGGTCCGGTTACTTGAAAGAAAGTTTAAAAAAAGACAAAATCTTCCTTTCGTATCATTAAGATTTTTTTTCCAAACAAAAAGCTGATAATAAGGTAGTCTGTCTAGAATATCCCGTTAGAATCTTCAAAAAGCGTCATTTTCAAGTCTTCTTCTTGAAAATTCCAATTTTTTGAAGTAAATGAAGATAGGATCGCCTACGTTTCAGCTTCCTTACAATTAGCCTTTCTTTCATTAAAAGCTTGATTGATCAGGACTAATTTGAATAGTTCTATTGTCAAAATATTTAGGTTGATAGAGCCTATAGGCTTACAAGATTGACAAACCGGCTGTACGAGTCTGAACCCAACTGCTCATCAAATACAAACTCTGAGCAAACTTTGGCAAAAAAAAGGGGAAAAAAAAAGAATGGCGTCGACGGCGTTCGCAGGTTACAACCACCACCACGGCTCTCGTACAACAAACGACGGAGCGGCCGTTGATTTTTGTGCGATGGAGCACAGACGTCGCAAGATAAGAGAGCACTCCGAGCAAGGAGACGCAGAGACGGCGCCTCCTCCAGCCCGACGTTTCTCAACTGCCTCCGGCTGTACAGGCCCCGGTTCGCCTTTTGTCTTATCTTTTTCCTCGTTTTTTTGAAGTTCCGATGTTCTTTTTTTGGTGCGAGCTCTACAGTTTGTTAGATTTTTGGATTTTTGGATTAGTTTATTTGAGACAGACTTAAAATTGACCCGACAGTTTGATAAAAAAATATTTTTAGTATATTTTTGAATCAATATATAAGTGAAAGTTGATCAAAAGCAAAAAAAAAACTTCAATAGGAATTTAATAGAAACTTTTTTTCAACGAAATTTTGTGAGTCATATCTTTTTGTTTACCTTTTTTTTCCCTGTTTCGCCATAGTCCACTTTTTCTTCTTGTTTATAACTTTTCCTTTTTTTCAGATCTTCATTTTTATTGAAGATGTAACATGGGAAATTACAAGTCGCGACCATTTACATCATGTTCCGGTGAGTCGAAGTATTAGGAAAATGTGAAGGGATTGCTTAAGGGGCGTAAATTATTCCGCATTTGATTTTCTAGATATTTTGACTTTAATTAATTATTTTGGATTTTCTTTTCCACAAAAAAATTTCTGACTCCCTGAAAGGTCTTTCAAAGCTCCAAAAGGTCAACTTGAGGAAACTTTTGAAAATGCTTTATAAAGCGAAATCCACAAGAACATCTGAATTTTTCAGACGAAGTGAAGAAAAAGATCAGCGAGGGCTATTCGGTGGTTCGAAGTCGTTTGAATGACGACGTTCGGGCTCGAGGGGCCGCTTGGACTGACCTACAGATTGCGGCGTTGTTAGTTTTTTTATAGAAATTCGATTCGAGTTCAAAAAAATGGTTATAAATGCAATTTAATATAGTTTTCATTTTGAATTTTTTTTTCGCGTGTGACTGCGTCTGCGGTACTTCGTCGCTGTGGCTTGGGCTTATTTTTTTCCAAACATTTTTATTCTATTTTTGATTATTTTGAATGACTTCTAGTTTCAGTAAAAATATTCTTTAGCCTATTTGCTTGATCATTAGTCCGTCTGTAGTTGGAAAAATCATTGAATTTCGCCTTTTTTTGAGATTTGAGTTTGAATAAGTCAGCTATATGATGTTATCGCTATACTTTCCTAGCTTGGGAATGCAAATTTATTTCATCGTTTTAACACTATTTTAATAAAACTTTATGGAAATTCCATAACTTTTTTTTTAAAAATTTGATCTCATATAAGTCTTGTTTACTAGGGAACGTTTTTCACCACTGGTTGAACTTTTGATGGAACTTCCCTGATAGGCGCTTTAGGGCCTCCAGATTCCAGAACAAGAAAACAGTTTCTCGCAATAGGTCTCTTTTTCGGGTTAGGACGTTTCAAAAGCCCGAAATAGTGCTTTTTGTCATAATTTGCGTATTTTAAAGCTCCATAACTCGAATAAAGATCTATTGCGAGAATTTTTTTTTTCTTATTTTCCTATCAGATACACTTGATCAATGTTTCATCAAAAGTTTAACCGGGGGCGTAAAAAACGTTCCCTAATTAGTTGTTTTCAGTCATAAAATAATCTGATAGGCGACTCTTTCAAAATCTCCGGAGATAATAGATTTTAATCTTTCCCATGCGTATTTTTTCCCAGTGAACGGTCGCCAGCAGAGTTCTCAGCCCTTTTAACCGCCGAAAATGTCGATTGTCGATCGCCCCAGCAATTATCACTGCTGCACATCGCGTGTGCTGGCCACAGTGATTCGGTTTCCGAAAAATAAATTTGATTGATTCATTATTTGTTTCAGCAAAAGTCCAAGTTGAAAGCCATCCTGGAAGTCTGCGATAACGACGATTCGAAAAGAAGAAGTCTCCTGTCGTTACTCACGGCGAATGGCTTTTCTGCCTTGCATATTGCTATTTATAAGGTTGGATATGTCTAAGAAAGATAATGATAATATTAGTAATATCAGGTTGGTACTGCATAGGGTAAAAGATAAATAGTGTAAAATAATCCAAAGAAAAAAAGTTTCAGTAGAATAATGAGTACCGGGGGTTAGTCCATCCTAACAAGGAAGGTTATTTTACTCTGCGGTTGGGATTTTTCAGAAACTTGGCCAGGACACTTATTGATGTACCTGGAAAGAAACCTGGAAGTCTCAACCTGTACAAATTCTTCTTGGTTTTTGAAAAAGGACACCTCAAAGAGGATGAAAACTTGTTGAAATTAGTTTTTTTTTTTGAGGCGGCTTTGAGCATTTATTTCTGGTTAATTTGTGCAGGTAGAGCTCTATTTGAGACGTCAAGGAGTTTTTTGGCCAATTTTTAGAAAAATCCCAGCCAAAAAGGGAAGACCTTTCTTGTAAGGAGTAGACTTGGACCCGGAGATAGACAAGAAAAGGGATTGATTCGAAAAAAGGCGGAATTTCGGCGATCTTTAAGCTTGCCCCCTAGAGAATCAGTGGGGACGTTAAAATATATACTAGAGGTCAATTTATTTCATAAGAGGATAGTTTTGGAAAAAAATAATCTTGTTCAGAATACTTCCTGATTCACCTAAATGCCTCAATCTGCACAAGTTCCCAGTTTCTGAGAGTCTAAAAACCATATTTGGCTTGTTTTTACGGGTTCTGATGGTTCTCTATAACTTGAAGTTATTTTTACTCGGGGAAACGTTGGGAAGCTCATGCTTTCGGTTCCTCAAAAGACGTTTGGAAGCTTTCCAACGAGTGGTCAAAAATCCTCCATATATTTTCCCAACACCTCTACCTGCCTTCCAGAAGCTTGCTGGGAGGCTTCTGGTAGGCCTTTTCAACTTTTTCGCCTTCTAAAGACCTTTCAAATACCTTCTGAACACCTTCCCAAGGCCTTCTCAAGATCTTCTAATTTCCAATCACCTTCCGACCTCCTGCTGGTTACCTTGCCCTCAGGTGGAAGTTGGGAAGCTTCTGCTTTCGGTTCCTCGGAAGACGTTTGGAAGCTTCCCAGGGAGTGGTGTATCTTACCAACACCTCTACTTATCATCCAGAAGCTTGCTGGAAAGCTTCTAGTAGAGCTTTTCAAGCTTTAAACTTCCCAACATCTTCCAAACACCTTCCCAAGGCCTTCTGAAGACCTTCTGGCTTCCATTCACCTTCCAACCTCGTGCTGGTTACCTTCCCAAACACCTTTCCAGGATCCGCCAGAGTACTCGAAAACGGAGAAGTTGTGCAGCTTTTAAAAGACTTATAGGATCGTCATCTGGTTTATCACGGCGTATTCTGGAAATGACTTACTAGGTAACAATTTTTTAGGCCCTGGTTAAAATTTTGGGGAAGCTTTGCGGAATTGTATTAGAGGACGCTTTGAAAGCTCGAAATAACGATTTTTGTCATTATAAGGGTTATAAAAGTTTCCTAGTTGATAAATTTCCATCGGTAAAGTATAATAATCTTTCTTACCGGGAATTTTTGAGTTCAAAATTAACTTAAGGGCGAAAATGAGCTGGTCGACTGTTTGTTGGAAACTGGCGCGGATCCGTGTCTGGCCAGTCGCCAGCAACTTCCGCCCCTGCATTTGGCGGCTATGACTGGCGCTTCTGATATCGTTCAGGTGGATAGAAACTTTTAAAGATTCATTATTTTGCCATGTTTCCAGAAACTTCTCGACAAGGGTGCTCCCCTGTACACCAATGACTTTGTACACTTCACGGCTCTCCACTGTGCCACTTATTTCGCCCAAGAACAGGCAAGTGATATAATTGATCATCAATCTGTACTGGAGGGGACTCCGTTGAACTTGTTGCCTTTCTTCTGAAATAACCTGGGGTTGATCCCAACTATCAAGGGAATATGGTCATAGTGGAGAAAGAAAGGAGCGATTTTAAGGAAGAGCTTTTCATTCCGCCCTGTTCACGGCGTTTTTGTTAGTGGAAGAAAATGCGAAACCAAAAACACGTTGGGCGGAGCCAAAATATCCACCGTTCCCACGTGACGTCATGAGGACGGTTGAGATTTCGGCTCTAAGAGCGTAAATAACAGTTTAAAGGCGCAGGCCGCCGTATTGCCAGAGATCTTTAAGATGAATCGAAATTTCTCTACATAAGCGCAATTTTCTGCGCAAACGCGGCGCAGTGCATGCACACGACACACGACACTTTACGAAGAAAAAGTTCGCGAATAAACGCCGTGTGTTACTATGGTCATGTGTTCTCCAGTTTTGAAGAAGTAGAAAAGTGCTTTGGAAAGAGAATTTGTTCAGTCCTCGCGCGAGAGTCGTTTTTGGTCGACTGCAACTTTTTAGTAACCGCGTGGCATCCAATGCGTTGCAAGTAACTTTAACATTCCTTTTTTGCGAATCTAGGTTGTCCGACTCCTGCTGGCCAGAGGCGCTGACGCCAACTGGGAGGGCGCCGTGAAGGATCGGCCGCTTCATTTGGCCGCTGGGAAAGGCCTCATCACTATAACCAACTTGTTGCTGGATGCCGGGGCTGATCGTGAGCTTCAACCTCAAGCTCCGCCTTGAATATGTGAACTTCCAGCACTCCTGGCGGATGATGAAGGAAATCTAGCCTTGCACTACGCTGCCAAATCTGGCCATTTGGCTGTGCTGAACGTCATGCTCAAGAAGGTCAAGGGAGTTCATGAGGTGATATTGATTTTCATGGAATATTTGTCCCCACTGTAGAGATCAACCATTGTTAGGAATGAAAATCGGCTGAATTTTTTTAGCGAGTCGCCACTCGGAACCTCTACGGAGACACCCCGCTTCATTTGGCTTGCTACGCCGGTCGTTTAGATCTGGCCAAGGCCATCATTTCCTGTGCTTCTACGAATATTGTCAACATGGTGGGATTTCCCAGTTTAAAAATCAGAGAAAATAGGTTTTTTTTTAGGAAGGTTGCTTGACTTAGGATGTCTAGAGTGGTCCCTATAGGGTCCGAAAAGCGGTCCCTTTAGGGGTAAAATCAAGGTGGTCCCTATCGGGGTTTAATGGCTGATCACCTAGCCCTGGAGTGGTCCCTATAGGGGTTTAGGGTTTTTCTTTCAACTTCATTAAAAAGGCTTATTTATTCAACTTTTCGCAAGGAAATGCTTCTTCGCAAAGAGTACATAAAATTATTGATTAGTTTGTCCGCTATAGGGACCACTTTAGCAAACTTTAGTGGCCCCTATAGGGGTTGGTAAAGTGGTCCCTAGAGATGACCCTCCAAAGGCCCTCAAGGTTGTCCCTATAGGAACCACTCTGAAGTCCTAAGAACTCGAAAATGATGTCATTTCCAACTCTCACTTGAATTTCTGAAGCCTTAAGCCAAAATTTGCAAGTCTTTGTTTCTGAACCTCACTCTTTCTGTTGACCTGATTTCAAAAATCACAATTTATAAGTTATCTTTGCACTAAATCTCCGAGAAGACGTTCTATCAAAACTTTATTCAAATAAAAGAATTTTTTAGGAGAACGTCTTCTCAGAGACGCCTCTACATGCAGCATGCACCGGAGGGAAATCCGTCGAACTCGTTGCCTTTCTTCTGAAACAGCCTGGCGTTGATCCCAACTATCAAGGACAGGATGGTCATACTGGTATCGTGAAGATAACAAGAAGCATTCCGATGAAAAAAAATCTAGCTCTTCATTCCGCCTGCTACCATGGTCATGTTCGATTGGTCCAATATTTGCTGGAAAATGGGGCCGATCAGTCGTTGGCCGCTAGGGCTGTGGAGGGTGGAACTCTTGGGCAGCAAGCTGGAGGTAAGGATGTGAAAAAATATGGGTTTCACGCAGAGCTTGGTCAATACGATAAGAAGGGTTTAGAGGAAAAAATAAAATTAAAAAACTGCGAAAACTTTTTTTGCTTTTCAGAAGGTCTCCCTTTTTTCATTATTTCTCGAGCCTTCAAGATACCAGAAAAAAATGGAAGGTTTAAAAAAGGGGACCCTTTTTGGGGCTGCCTTTTTCTTTTTAGAAGGTTTTCTATATGAAAAAAGTGTTTCTTTCAACATTTTTTTGGTTTTTTTATTCGAGTAGAAGAAAAATCTTGGATATGAAAAAGTCGGAAAGGGTGGAAAAAGGCTGCATAGAAAGTGTATTACAGGGTGAAAAAGGCTCCTTTTTTGTGGCCTTTTTGCGTCATTTCATCGGCTTTTATGCACCATTTTTGCTGCCTATCCCTTTTTTGATCATTTCTTGATACCATAGGGCTTGATAAAGGGGCCCTTTTTGCGACCTTTTTTGAGCCTATCCCTTTAAGCGGTCATTCTCCACCATTCCGACTTTGCCCGAATGTTGGAAATACTAGAAAAAAATATCAAAAGTTTTTTCGTTCGATAGAAGGTGCAAGGAAACAATGCTTGAATAAAGATGGGATGTTTTCGCGGAAATTTTCTGGGTAGGGTTTTTAAAGGAGCATCGAATAACTTGTGAACCTCATGAATTTTGTGTTATTTTGAACTATTCGAAGCTTGAACGCCGTTAAAAAAACCAGCAGAGGTTTTTGACCCAAGGAAAAATCCATTTTCAGTAGGTCGAGTGTCGAAAGTGACGGCGGCGATCATGGCTTTGAACCGACCGGACACTCCTTCCAGCATGTCTTCTCATAACTCGACAATCTCTATGGAGGTTCAATGCGCAATTGAGAATGAGTTTGGAAGTGGCACCTCTAGGACCAACAAACTCCAGTCATCTGGGCCTACGAACGTGGTCACGACCGGATCGTGGCGATGCTCAAGCACTACGCGAACCGCGCCATGGAAGGCGACGTCTGCAGCGAGTACAGCTCCGGCGAGTCCTCCTACACGCCGCTGCCGTCGCCAATGGGACGGCTGACGTCGCTGACTCGCGACAAGGCCGAGCTCCTCCAGCTCCGGTCCGCCCTGCCGGCTCTTTTTCATCTACCTCTGGCCGAGATCGAGTTCCAGGTGTCTTTTTGCTGTCAGAAGGATTTTTAACTGCGCGTCATAATTATGACTGCGCGTCATAATTATTGACTCACTTCCATTTTTGCCGTTTTCAAAAAAATCTCTTAAACTTTTTGCTTTCTATGTGGCTTCTATGGGGAGGGAAAAGCTTGAAAAAAGATCGTATGGATAGAATAAAAAGGGGGTCACTGCGCGTCATAATTATTGACTCACTTCCATTTTTGCCGTTTTTCAAAAAAATCTCTTAAACTTTTTGCTTTCTATGTGGCTTCTATGGGGAGTGAAAAGCTTGAAAAAAGATCGTATGGATAGAATAAAAGGGGGGTCACTGCGCGTCATAAATATAGACTCAATTCCATTTTTTTGCCGTTTTTCAAAAAAATCTCTAAAACTTTTTGCTTTTTATGTGGCCCCCATACTCACTTGAGTGGTATTTTCAAATAAAAAAGAAACAAGAAAATTTCAACCCAAGTAAAAAAAAAATGAACGCTGACCCAGGGTGCGTCTACTTTTTGACGAATTTTGGAAAAATGTAATTCTTTTTTCGATTGTTGTTCATTTCAGCGTTTATCATTAAAAAAAACCTTTACTCAGCTCAAAAATTATTTTTTTCGTGTCTAGTTATAAACATTTATACCGGTTTCTGTTCAGAAATCAGAAGCCTGCAACTCTCATGCAAAGCTGTCGAGCTACGTTCTAGGCATGAATTCAAAAAATGTCGTTTTCCCAGCACATTAATTAACTTGCACTCATCACCTTTAAGAAAAGTCTTTCAGAAGTTTTTTTTTCGCAGTTCAAAGAAAGTCATTAAGAAATAATTTAACAGGTAGGATTATTGCTGAAATCGCGCCAAATACGCAACCAGTTTGCATGCTAAAATCAAGACCCCGGCATTTCAATTGTTAAACCTGGACTTATATAGTAAAGTTAAACGGCTATTAATCGATCGTAAGAACCTCCTTTTACAGTTTCATCCCCAGTTTATTAATTCCTTTTTTCATCTTTATTCATTCCAAGCTCTGAGACAGATCGGAAATGAAAAAATGACACTGCGAGAAAATTTCCTTTTCAGGAAGCCATCGGAAGCGGATCTTTTGGCAAAGTGTACAAAGGCACTTATCGTGGGAGGACTGTTGCTGTGAAAAGGTGAAAAAATAAATTAATATCACGATTTTTGAATTTTTCAGATACCGAGCCATGGCTTTCGGCTGCAAATCCGAAACTGACATGTTGTGTCGAGAAGTAAGGAACTGCGAAATAAATTTATAATTTTTTGGACGTTTTTTAGGTCTCAATCCTCTCACGGCTAGCTCATCCGAACGTTGTCGCTTTCGTCGGTGCGTCTTTGGATGATCCTAGTGTAATTAAATCTTTTTTTTGACGCGAAATCAAGAAGATGAGTTTTCAGCAGTTCGCAATAATCACCGAGTATGTGGAGAACGGGTCCCTGTTTAATTTGCTCCACGAACAGAAACGGTAATGCTTAGGATAAACTAGGGATTTCTTTCTTGATTTTCTTCTTACGTCTTTGTACCCCAAGTCGATTAGCCGAAGTCCTATCATGATATCAGTGATAGTGGACCGGCTCTGGCGACATACCCGTCCTTGTGTGGAAGGGCTCGGGTGGGTTTTTGAAGTCACGGTTTCCCACTGCCAACAACCCCTTGGGTGGGTCGAGACGGGGATCAAACTTTTGACCCTGTGGACCGTAGACAGGCACACAACCAATTGCGCTAGAGTCAACAAAACTTTTTTTCAAGTTTTATCATACGTTCTCCGAGAAAAGCGATCAACCGTTGGCACTAAAAATTCAAAATGCTCATGCTTTTGCCACATCAACTACATAAGCTTCTGAACTTTTTAGTTAAGGTTTTGACAGGCTTCGCCCCTTTTGTAGATTACTGTAGTCGGAACACGAAAAAAATCTAACTTAAAAGAGTCTAATATACTCTGTGTGCCACAACTCGAAATTTCACCGAACGACATTCCGCTGCGTGCGTTCGCGAAGCGTCTTTCGAATCTAGGTCACGCTTTCAATTGATTGTTATTGCTGTGGGAACACATGAAAGCGCGACCAAGGTTCGCAAAGGCGCGCAGCGGCACAGCGAAATGTCGTTAGGTGAAATTCCAAGTCGTCGTACACAGACTATAGTGCTAAATTATTCCAATCAGAGCGAAAAGTAAAACATCGTTTTGCGGAAAGAGAATGACGAAAAATTGCTACAAGGTCAGATTCTATGAAGACGTGCTACTTTTCATGCTTTATGCTTTTTATGCTTTAGAAAAAGAATTCATTCAACTTTTTTTTTTTGCTTGAAGATTGAATGGCCAGTAGGAGAACAAAAAAAAACTGAGTGACAGAATATTTTCCATTACCCCATATCAATCTGGAGTCTTCAAAGCTTCGATAAACATTCCAAAGTGCAGTAAAAAGTTATTTAGTGTACTGGACACTTCATTTCGACTTCGGGTTTCTCTGGACGTCGCCCGCGGCATGCGGTATCTTCACGACAGCGCCGCCAGGCCGGTCATCCATAGGTATGTCTTGAAAAATGAACGTAAAAGGTTTATTTGATCTTCTAACAATTTGATGGATTTTTTATGGTATGGTAGTGGTCTTAAGGGCCTGAAAAGAGTTCAAAAATAAAGGGTTAGGGAAAATGACGTAGAATGTCTTCAAGCTGCGTGAAAAATCGCGTATTTCCACAAAAATTTCTTGGCTTCAGAGATCTCAACAGCCATAATATCCTGATTCATTCGGACGGTCGGTCAGTCGTGGCGGATTTTGGAGAAAGTCGATTTGCCAGCCAAAGGGAGGACGAGAATCTTACCAAACAGCCTGGGGTCTTTAAGAGAAAAATAGGAAAAATAAAATAATTGTTCAGAACTTGAGATGGATGGCGCCCGAGGTGTTCTCTCAGTGCGGGAGGTACGATAGGAAGGTTGACGTTTTTAGGTAAGGATCCTTAGAAAATGTACAAATTTCACGGTTCCTTTTTCATTTTTCTTGGGGATAGATGAACGATTTTTCGTGAAAACCTGATTATCGTCTTTATCCTCGTCTCTTTTTTCGATTTAAAACAAGAAATGACCACATTCTACAGTTTCGCCTTGGTCGTTTGGGAGGTCCACAGTGCAGAACTGCCCTTCTCGCATTTGAAACCGGCGGCTGCCGCAGCCGAGATGACTTATAAACGAGGTCCGAAAAATGCCCGCATTTTAAAAGGATCGGTTTTTTAGGACGACCAACCTTACCTAATCAGCCAACAACACAATTCCCTCCTCACATATTGTCATTACTGCCCCAGGCCTGGCATCCGGAGCCGCAGTGTCGACCTGAGTTTTCTCAAGTTTGAAGTAAACGTTTATAGTTTGAACCTTGTTTGATCATCAGATCGTCCCCTTACTGGAGCCGCACGTCGACGCTCACACCGACATTGCGGCGCCGTCTACCGTCTCTCAGTTGAAATCCCAGTGGGAGCAGCTGAGCATCGCTCCGCCGGCTCGTTCTGGTCGGTCTTACCACGAAAAATACCGATTTACAATGCTGATACAGTATTCCCGCCGGTTCTATCAGCTCTTCATGGAATCTCGGCCACTGGTACCGTCGAGGAGCTCCGACAGCGGCTCGACAACAACGGATATGTTATCCAGAAATGAAGGCAACTGTGTTGGTAGCGTGGTTAGAAGCCCTTGAGTGACCACTCTATCTGTTTTGTGTAAGAGTCCTTAAATGACCACTTTGAAATTTCAAACTGATGGAGTTTTGGCGACTCCGAATTTTCTTTGTTGATATTGGTCGTAGGAGGTTGAAGGAGGCTTGCAGAAGCTCTAAAGTGGTCACTTCAACTTTTTCTTAGCTCTGTTAGACCTTTTATTAGAGTGACCTTTTAAGGGACGCTTTCAGAAGCTCTAGAATTGTCCCTTGATCTTTTCTCATGATTTTTTTCACTCTAGGGAGTACTTCAGGGCTCTTCGAAAAGCTCTCAAGTGATCACTTGGAAGATCAGTGAACTGAGGCGGCTCTAACTCCTAGAGGAAGCTTTCAAACTGATTTAACTTGGAATAACAATACCTAGGTGTTTCAGAAAATACTCAATGCCCATATAAACTTTCTTTGAAAAGTTTTTCCCCTCAAGTGGTCCCTAGACTTTTTCTACTCCAATAATACCTTCAGCTCAAGTTGAAGATCAGAAAACGGGTCATAGTTGTTCTTTTTTATGTATCGAAAGTTGTTGATTTATACGCGATTCAATGAAGTTTCTCGCATGGTTTCAAATTTGCAACAAGCAAGAATATTCTTTTCAGAAAGAGCATTTTCAGACTTTCAGGAGATTGAAGTAAAAAAAAAAGAAGAAAAAAAACCAGATTCCTGGATGCCCATCGACGTTGGGATAAGATAAACAAGTGGAAGCGTCTTTTTCTTGTTCCCACTCATCTTCTCATTATTATTATTATGTTTTTTCTTGTTTTTTGTTTGATTTTTCATTATTTGCATGGTTTTATTGATTGAAACTCACTATGGTAAGAGAAGCGTGTAGAAAAAAATGTTTGGTAAGAAAAAAAGCGTGTAAAATGCTTGGTAAGAAAAAAATGTGAAGAAAAATGTTTTGGTAAGAGGAAATCGTGTAGGAAAATGTTTGGTAAGAGAAAGCGTCTAGAAAAAATGTTTATTAAGAGAAAAACGTGTAGAAAAATGTTTGGTAAGAGAGAAAGGAGAAGAAAAATGTTTGGTAAGAGAAAAAGGTGAAGAAAAATGTTTGGTAGGAAAAAAAACGTGTAGAGAAATGTTTTCCTTGAGTTAAAAATAGAAGCCCAGACTCGCCAATTTTTTTTCTTTGTAAAATTCGGAACTTTTACAAAAATTTTTCTAAAGGTTGAAAAAGCGTTGGATTCAATTTTTTTCAGTATATATTTGAAATAATCATAAATTTTTCCTGCCTTCAGTTTCTTTTTCTTCAGCCTCTGACTCCCAAAAATACAGTTGAAGTAATAGGAATCGATTTTTAAGCCCACATGAGCGAACTTAGGGGCGAAATATACACCGATTGGTGGCTTAGGGCTTATAATCCATTAGGTGTTTATAAATACCAAAAAGCCGTTCTGGCCTCCGCCGCTGCAACTCGATACATTGCAATCGGGGCAGTGTGTAGAGTCTTTTAGCGGACGAAGAGCTTCCCATCCATCGTTCAGGCCCTATTTTTCCTATTTTTATCATTATAGTGTCCTTGAGATTTGAACCGTGTTTGCAGAAACTAGATCTTTTTTTTTTGCTTTGAAAATTTCCGAGCCTTGCAGAAGGGCCTTAGAAACAAATCCAGTCTCGGCTGTCAATAATACTATCCAACTTCATTACTTTTAACTAGTTCAAAAGTTCAGCTTTTGACTCAGGCCATTCTGGAAGGCTCGGAAATTTGAGAAGAAATCAAAAAAATCATCCATAGTCCGTTTTTCGCGGCTTTTCTCTGCGCCCTCTTCATCTCTCGACGTCTATCTCATGTTCACGTGCTGTTTCCATGTTTCTCTGACCCCGCCGGCGAGAGAACAGAGAGACGCAGAAACGCGAAAACTGTCAAGTCTCGGCGAACGGACTATAGTTTCTCAATACTTTCTTTTAAACATTGCAATTTTTATATTTGAATTTTTGAGGCTCTGATGGTCTAGAAGCTAATGAGGCCCTCATTTAAAGGAAAAGCTGAGAAATTTATTCAATTTGTAATTTTTAGACTTGGTCCGAGCCATCAAAAAACAAAGCTAAAAAAACCAAAAATATTACTGTTTTTTTACTTTCTGCACATTTCTTTTTCCAATTTTCTGCAATTTTTTTTCAATTTTCTCGGCACTTATGATCATTTTTCTACGACAGTCATTTTTCAAATCTTAACACTTCAAAACGCTTTGAAATATCCGCATTTCAATACACCTTTCCTTCATAAATTTAAATTACTGGCCAGATTTTCTAGCATACCTTTCAACGGAAACGCTCGCAAAACTTCAAAAGAAAGTTGAAAAAAGAAAAATTGGAACAGCGCCTTTGATTTCGCTTTTAAAATTTTGATGAATTTGCCCCTTTCGGTATCCGCATTCAAAAAAAAAGTCCTATTCATCTCCCTAGAGACAAATTTTTCAGTGATTGAGTCATTTCTTTTTAATTTTTGTTATCAGGAAGTCCAAAGAAAAAGGATTATTTTTTATGGGAACCGATCTCTCATTTGAATTTTTTTTTCTAGAGCTAAATATGTTTTGAGAATATTTTAAAAGATTAATAGGAACTAACTTATTCAGACTTGAGATAAAATTATTTTTCCATAACCAACGAGTCTTCTTTTTTATTTCCACACATCTCGAGACTCTAAGAGGCTCTTGGAATAATAAGTGGCTGGATGAATAGAAGAATAGAAGAATCGAAAGATTTTTCTATAACCTTTTTTTTTATTTCTTAAATAAGCTACAAATTTACTTCTTGTGAGGATTGAAAGCAGTACAGACATCTGTTTCGAATTTTATTCGAAGAAAATTGTCCTTGTTACGGATTTAATTTTAGCTTTCTTCATTCTTCCGCTGTTTTCTCCAGAATTTTCAAGTGTCTTGCCGAGAATCCTCGATTTTCGTTCGCTGTACTTGAAATTAGAATAGAAAAGAGTTTCGACGCTCCCTTTAGGGATTTTTCCTTTTTAATTGTTACAACTTTCAGGAATGAGAGGCGATTTTGTGTAATCGGCATTTGGGACTTTGTTTCTGACTATGAGGTGATTAGAAAAAAATATTTTTTTATGGATTTTTTTATTTAAAACGTGGGTGGTATGAAAAAAAGACCAGAAAAAAATTCGAACGGCAACTTTTCCGATTTTTTTCATATCGCTAGGGAACTTTCCGACTTTTTTTCCCTAATTTTTTTGGTTTATAAAACATCTATTAACATTTTTTTCTTCCTATTTCTTTGTGTTTCAATCATAAACCAACTACTTATTTTTATATAGGAAGATTCAAAAACAAAGAGTTTATCGAGAAAAAAAGTCGGAAAAAAATTCGGCGGAAAGGTGGCCGTCGGAAAGTTCCCTAGCGATCTGAAAAATCGGAAAAGTCGCCGTTTGAGATTTCGCTGGTCTTTTTTTCATACCATCGAAACGTGAGGTTTTAAAGCTCATTTCTATTCAACTTTAGTTCCACCGCGCCTGGTTTTTTTTACGATTTAATTTTCAAGATTTGAAACTAGCTTAAACTCTAAATTTACGTGGTCGCATTGGGAATGGCTGGCTGCGTCATTACTTAGGAACTTTAAAGTGGTCCCTATAGGGTTTCAGTTAGTGACCCTTATAGGGGACATGCTAGTCAAGAATTGTTATGAACTCTTTACGAAGAAGCATTTTCATGCAAAAAACTGAATAACAAAGCGTTTTTCGAATACAGCTGATTCACGGCTGGCTTGAGTCATCAAAAAATGGTCCTGACACGAAAAGAAGAGAGACAGTGCTGGGTTGTTGGAGAGCGCAGAGAGACCACGCCCTTTTGCATCCCAAGCTAGCCATGAATCGGGTATAAAGTTGAAAGGCCCCTCTAGGGTCCACTTAAGCTTTAGGGGCTGAGAGGTCCGACCCTAAATCCCTATAGGGACCACCTTGAATTTACCCCTATAGGGACCACTTTTTCGGCCTCTATATAGGTTGTTTCCCCCTAATCCCGATAGGGACCACTCTGGAATCCCTAAGTAACGCGTTGCGGTTGAGAATATGAAGTTATCCTATGCGCAACTCGTTTTTGGTCGGGTGCAAACGCTAATTTCATTCCTCCTGCGAGTCTTTAAGAAAATATCCTTTAAAAAAAATCATGGTTTGTTTATTTTTAGAATGCACCAGAGCCAAAAACTCTTCCTACTATTGTTCATCCCTTGCTTGATATTCTTGATTCTGTACTCCAAGAAGTCGGATCCGCTAATATCGAATTTCGAAGCGGATTTTATTTCCTCTGAGGTTCGTTTTAATAATTTCAGAACTTTTCAATTCGTTTCAGAATTGCTGCTTGTGCATTCTCCAATCATTGAATACAACCCTGCCGGCCATTTTAATCGATGCCGAACTTTTGAAAGGGATCGCAGAAAAGTCGTGTAAACTACGGAAAAGGCGGATTGAGGTTCATTATTTTTTCGAAATTTTGAAGTTAATTCATCGATTTTAATGACCTTAGGGATTTTAGAGTGGTCCCTAGAGGGGTTAGGGCAACAAACGGCCTCTATAGGGACCGTAAAATGGTCCACTATAGGGGTAAAACCAAGGTGGTTCATATAGGAGTTTAGCGTATGACCCCTTTGGCCCTAAAGCTTGTGATCCCTATAGGGGTCGTTAGAGTTTATTTTAAAAGGTTTTTTTTTTTAGTTTTTCGCATGGAAATGCTTCTTCGTATAGAGTTCATAAAAATTATCGACTAGAATGTCCCCTATAGGGACCACTTTGGTAAGGTTTAGTGGACCCTATAGGGGTTGGTAAAGTGGTCCCTAGTCATGGGCCCCTAAGGTTGCCCCTATAGGGACTACTCTGGAGCTCCTAAGTTTGACTATTTTCTTTCGAAAAAGTTCATTTTTCTTCGACGTTTTATTACAAATCTTGTAGACGAGAACCTAAAACTGTGATGGAACTCAAAAAATAAAAGTATTCAGATTGGTGTCGACGTAGCACACTTGGAAGACAAGACGATTTTGAACGATGAGCGGTTTAACGTCACTTTTTTCGAAAATGATCCGGCGACAGATTTTCTGCGCTTTCGGACCAAACCGACGAGGATCACGCCAAAGTCAGGATTATTTCAGGAATTAATTTAGAGCCTCCAATCAACTTGGAAATAATTTAGACGATCCCTTAAAAGCAATGTTAGGAGACAAGGTTCCAACGAAAAAGATTATTTTTTTTATTTACTTGTAAAAGAGAAAAATATTGTATGTAATTCGCATTCTTTTTCAGAATCGCTGGAACGATGAAATTCGGACTTTTGGAAGTTCCTGACCCGGAGATGTTCTCCGAGTACTGGCGCCGGTCCAGACTCATCAAATGCCGCAATATTAACATGAATCGACCACTTTCCGCTTCGGTATTACCGCAACGGAAGTCGGTGGCCTTCTTGGCGGATGTTCGCGATCGACTTCTGCAGTTTGGAATGTTCTCCTTCCTCAATGGCGGAACTTTACTCGGTTTTTTGATTTTCATGCGATCGTGAAACATTCTATGATTTTTTTATAGAACTGTGTAACTGGTAAACAACGTTTTCTTGGCTCTAAAAATATTTTTTCAACTTGGGTTTTCTAAACCATCTTCAAGCTCATTCGAAACTCCAAAATGGTCTCTATATGGGCAACCTAAAGGACCTTTGGAGGATTCTCTCTAAGGACCACTAAAGCTTGCAAAAGTGGTTCCTATAGGGGGAAAAAAAAAGTTAAACTAATGAGTTTTTTTGAATGAAGCTGGAAGATCCCTAGAGGGACCACTTAAGCTTCACGGCTAAGGGGTTAGACCCTGAACCCCTATAGTGACCATTTGAGCTTTATGGGCTAAGAGGTCAGACCCAAAACCACTATAAGGACCCTATTTGAATATTTGAATATTTATTTCACCGGTTTTTAGGTTTTGGTTTTCCCCCTAGGAACCATTTTTTCGTCCTCTTTAGGGGCCGTTTTTTTCCTAGCCCCTATAGGGACCACTCTATAATTTTTTTAAGTGATTTTCTAAAAAGATATTCTTTGGATTAACTTTGAAGGCTGGTACCGGGAATGCGGAGTCATCCCACACACAAGCGATATGGATATCGCCGTCATGGCCGGAGACTTCAATCCGGCTCTGATCCCTTTCTTGCAATCTAATGAGTCGGACTTCAAACTGTCGAGGATTTTGGGAGAAGTGAGTGGGAAATCCGGGGAATGATCGGTGAAAGAACAACAAGGGCTTGAAGAGACGCCAGAGAAAGAGAGAGCACTTCTTCAATTTTTTTCAGATTTTTTCTACAAGCTGAAATATTTGGTTTGGCAAGCCAAGCAGAGAAAAAAACAAGTTTTAATCTAAATTCAAGATTTTGAAAAATATCTCTTGCCTTTTCAAGACGAGTACGGCATTCCTAATGGAGTGACGGAAGGTGAGCGAGGCGTCAAAATTTCTCAATTTACAAAAAAAGAAAGTGCGCGCTCCGGATAAAAAGACTGTGACGTCACAGCTACCTATACGTTGCAAATTAAAATGAGTATTCAACGCCATGAAGAATACTGTACTCAAAATTTGGCTGCCGACTTGAGATTTCAAATTTCGCGCCAAAATTTTTCTTGACGTCTCCCCACCCCGTTTGGGAACGCCGTGACGAGTCAAGCCAATAACTTTTTTTTTCGTATAATCATCTCCATTTCAGCCCAGAGAATCTTTCGAGGTGACTGTCTACAAAAAGAACAACACCCGGGTTTACATCGACGTCTTCCTGATGTACTCCTCCGACTCGACGTCTTGGGTCGGGGGAACTGCTGGCAACGGCTCCAAGTTCAAGTACAGCTACCCGGTGTACGATCCCTACTGTGCTGCCGAACTCTACGGACATTTGTTCTGGGTTACCTGTCGGCCAGCTCTCATGCTCAAGGTGATAATTAGTTTGGTTGATTCAACTTGGATAGGTCTTGTTTCTCTGCACCCTCTGGTTTTTGTGGACTCTTTGAATGAATGCTGATTTCAAGCATTCTCGGACCTTGGTTACGCGATACGGACTTGTCGGGGCATTTCTAGTGACCATTTTAGTGGCGTCAGCACTCTTAAGTGATCCCTTCAAGTGCTCAGAAACGTCCGTAGCTTTGAAGACGCATAGACAATTTCGGTCTCGTAACGAATATCTGTTGTCAGTGTTATTTCAGGTCGCAAAACATTTTGAAAACAGAATTCGAAAAAAAAAGCTCCCAACATGAGAACCTTATAAATTATGTAACCATTTCGAGGCAAAATAATTTGAGAACGGTTCAAATTTTAGAATTTAAAGCTTAATTTTAAAAGAATTATTCCAGACGGAATACGGCAAAGATTGGGCGAAAGACTTTCCATCCAGTAGATACTACTGGAATAAATCTCACTTTAACGTCAAGCCCAATGGACGATGGAAAGAAGAGGACATGCCGAGAGTTTATCAAATTTTCGAGTGACGCACCAAAATTTAAAAAAACGGGTTAACTGTGAATATATTTTTTATATGAAACTTTGTTTTTTTAATAATGTGTTTAGCAAAAAAGATTTGGGCCGAACCGGGAGTCGAACCCGGGACCTCTCGCACCCGAAGCGAGAATCATACCCCTAGACCATCCGGCCACTGGCGACTCAGCTCACAAACGCGCGCTACCTTGCCTTTGCAAGCCTTTGACGCAAAGCATTTTTATACTTTTACTGTTACCGAAGGAGGAAAGATCTATTCAAAAGCTCTAAAAAAGGATCCAAAAAATCAAAAACCAATTGGGAGTGCGGGAAAACAAAGAATCCGTATAAATAATACTACATTCAAGAATCTTTTCTCCAAAGGCAAATATTAATGAAATTATGCAATAATCATTACAAATTCTAAAGAAACTCTGCTGAAAAATGCAAAAAAATTTATATTGCATCACAAAGACGGAGCAACAACATGCAGAAAAACTAAAAAAGACTTAGAAATGTTTTATTTATTAAAAAAATGAAAAAAGTGATGGAAAGAAATCGTTTATTGAACACAAACAATAGGATACAGAAATGCTCCATTAGAAAAATTAAAGAAGAAAAATCGTTTTGAAAAATACTTCATCGTTCGAAATATTGGATCACTCTTGAAATATCAGACTTGTTCCATCTCCCATTCTGCTTCACGTTTTTTTGAGAGGCACTCCAATCAAATTCCGATGTCGGATAGTCCTTCCGCCAGTTTTTCCCATATTCAACCTGAAATTTCGAAATGAATAATGATTTTGTGGGAATATGTACTTCAAGCATTCGCTCAGGACTGCAAGTGACCCAGAAGATGTGGCCGAACAAGCTTGCCGAGCAGTACGGATCATAGGGAGGGAATGTGTACTTGTACTTGGTTCCGTCGTCATCAGTACCGCCGGTCCAAGTTCCATTCATTTCTGTATACATTGTGAAGATGTCGATATGGGGCTTCTGTGAATAATTTGGCCTCAGAGTGATTTCGAAGGTGTCGTTGTACTGAAACTCTTTCTTTCGACGCTCAAAAGTATGCTAGTATTACCTCTCCAAGCGTTCGGATAAGGTAGAAGTCGGTCTGTCCATTCTTGAGACTTTCTATGAAGGCTGGCTTGACGTCTTTTTCCATCACCATCAGGTCGAGATCAAGGGTGTGCGGGATCACGGTGCATTCACGGTACCAGCCTGGAGATTGATTTGACCCATTAGAGAGCATGATGGTTGTACAATTAATTCGAAAAATGATCCTAAAAATGATGGCTTACAGCTTTTCTGCAGCCTTTTTGCTCCATAAAATCGATTCGCGAAAAATTTGAGCCAATATTCCGATGACAGATTGAAGAAAATAACACACTGGTACAGTTGGCTAAGACAGTAAGGCTGAGGCTACAGTAATCCAAGTATTTTTTTAGCCTAGAAGTGCAAGTTTAGAAATATAGAGGGAACTGAGAAAAAACTAAAAAATGGGAGCAGAATGAATGCCGAAAAAAACCATTTTTTTTTTTCGAAAAATAATGCCAAACCCAAAAGAGTGCCGCCGTTGAGGAATGGGTACATTCGGTAGTCGACCAATTGGTCCCGAAGCCGTGCCAATTCTCCTATAGCTGTCTTGGGATCCAAGTAAACGGAATCATCGGTTCTGTTCATCGCAGTATGGAGGCATGGGATGAACTCAGACCGACGCCAATATTCCAGAAAGATTGAGCTTCTTGGGATCTTCAGAAGCCCCACGGAGGTGGTTTCAATTCTGGAAATATTCGAGCTCTTTGAAGGTTAGCTTCAAAAGCAAACTTTCTGGTGATTCGAAGCGGGTCTGTCACAAAGATCCAATAATCTCGAGTCGTCTTGTTGAGAAAGGTAGTGACGTTGAAAATTGGATCAAGGAACAGTTTTGCTGCCTTCCTGATGTCTTTGTTTTCTACAGCTATCTGAAGATTTTTCTTCTTTTGAAGGACTGGAAAATATCCACATACATTTATTTTCCTATCTGGGATCGAGCAACGTCCAGAGGCGATTCCGCGCAATAAGTCCGTATCAATAAGAAGTGCAGGAACGGTTATTTTGAGGTCTGTTAGTATGACTTGACAATCGTCCTGCATTTTTCACTTCACATCAAAAGAGGGAGAAAAAATCCAACTTCATTTGTTTTGTTACGAAGAGAAATCGGGACGTATTTCGTGAGGAGCTTCAGGAAAAGCAACCCCGCCAGGATAGCCAATAGGAAACAGACGAACAATTTACGTGTTTTCGCTCTTTTGAAGGACCTGGAAAAAATAACCGATACAGTAAAAGGAGACTTGAAAAAAAATCAACTAGTTCAATGAACCTTTTTCTTAAGTTTTACTATTTTTTTAATGCATTTTTCCTCATCATCATGCTTGGGTTCACAACTATTTCAACATATAAAAACTCAACCATATCCATTTTTTATTTTTAAAAAAGAATCATTTTTACTCAAAAAGCAGGAATATGAGCAAAATCCCGATCCAAATAATACAACTCATTTGAAAAAAATTTTATATTCAAAAAACAAAAATAAGAGCCAGAATCTCGGTCCAAATAATAAAATGGGGCATATGATATTGTTTAGTAAACATGTATAATAATCAAAAAAAAAATTTTTTTTTGACTTGCTAACATTACCCGTTCTTCAACTAATATTGCCCTTTCTTTCGTTTTTTTTAATTCCAAAATATTTCTCAAGTGGCCTACTACTATTTCTCAAATACCTACTGGATTATTTCCACTTGACTAATTCAGAAGAAAGAAGGCAACTTTTGACAACTGACCTCACTGAAAAACATCTAGAAAGAAGGTAGAAATGAAACGGAAATCAGCCTTCCAGATTATCACGTTTTTTAATTTTTCTTTTTTTTTTGATTTAAAGATAATCTTTTTGAATTGAATTGAATGAATGAAATGTTTATTTCGCTCACAGACAGATCTGTGGCGTGGAGGAAAAGAACGAAGAGAATTGAAAAAAGAAAAATCTGATGAAAATAAAGCTTTATTCCGTGAATTTTTTGACGACTCTAGGCAAGTCGGCTTCTGGCCATTTCCCGTTCTGCTGCACGTTTGCTTGAGAGCGGTTCCACTTGAAATTCTTGGTCCGATGGTCCTTGCGCCAGTTTTTGCCGTATTCGTTCTTCAACAACTTTTGCAGTTTCGAAACTTCATGTTTACCTCGAGCATCCGATCTGGACTGCAAGTGACCCAGAAGATGTGGCCGAACAAGCTTGCCGAGCAGTACGGATCATAGGGAGGGAACGTGTACTTATACTTGGTCCCGTCGCTTGCAGTACCGCCGGTCCAAGTCCCATTCTCCTCCGTGTACATGGTGAAGATGTCGATCACTGGTTTAGGCAGCCCTTTTGGCCTGACTGTCAATTCGAAAGTGTCGTTCAGCTGGAATTTCTCATCTTTTATTGACGAATTCTTGTAATACTTTACGTCTCCAAACATTCGCATCAAGTGAAATTCAGTCCTTCTCTCCAGGAACTCTACTACGATGTCCTCCTTGACGTCTTTCTCCAAAACCATCAGGTCCATATCGCGCGTGTGCGGAATGACACCACATTCGCGGTACCAACCTAAAAATGTCCCTTTTTTGCTGAAGAACTGTAGGAATACCTAAAAGAGAGCCGCCGTTGAGAAACGGATACATTTTATACTTGACCAGAAGGTCTCGCAACCGAGCTAAATAGTACACCGCAGCTTTGGGGTCCATGGTGACGTCATTGTCCGTTCGGTTCATGTTGAGATCCAGACAGGAGATGAATTTGGACCGACTCCAGTATTCCAAGAATGTTTCGCTGTTTGGGACTTCCAAGTTCCCAATCGACGTGGTTTGCATTCTGAGAAGCTTGTTTTGAGAGTATAGCTGATTCACGGCCAGCTTGGGACGCTAAGGAGGCGTGTCCTGTCTGCGCTCTCCACGAGCCAGGCGCTATTTCGTGCATTATCGTATCAAGACCCTTTTTTCGATGGCTCAAGCCAGCCGTGAATCAGCTATAAGTTTGAAAAAAAAAACCAACTTCTGAACGATCCTCGCCGGGTCGGTTTTGAACGCCCAATAATCGTTCTCTGGAATGTTCTCGTAGAGGATGACGTTGAAATTTGGGTTTCCTACTATCGCAGGATGAACAGAATAATTTAACAAAACGGCTATCTGGAATCAAAATTATTTTAAAAAAATCCTGAGGAATTCTTTACATCAATTTTTTTCATCTTTGCCTTGACAGTTCCCGGTAGAGACTTGTTTCAAGATATCGATGTCGATTAATAAAGCCGGAGCGCTGATTTCATAGCCAGCCAACATTTTGAGGCACGTCTCCTGAAGTAAGTGATTTTTATAAACTATATAATTTTCTTGAGCTTACCGTGATGATCTCATTCTTCTTTATGATGAAGGAATCGTGTGAGTATTCGAAAGGCTTGGACTGATAGAAGTTATAAAATGCGATGTACCCGAACGCTACCAACCACAGAAGATAGAAAAATGCGACCTTTTTTTCAATCTTGGGATTCCTCTGAAAAAAATTTATATAGAAAAACTTTAAGTCAAGTTTCTCGCATGATTCCGTGAGTTATTGGTATAATCCGACGTTACCAACATGTTTGATTTTCAGCATGAAAGTATAACTATTCGATCCGTCTCGTCGAGATACGTACGAATATCATAAAATTATTGGGCGCTGTTCACTTAGAAAAATTTGAGATGAACTTTATTAGTTTTCAATCGAATAATTATTCCCAGGAATAAAAGTTTTTGCTTCCTCTTTTCAAACATGTTGAAATCGTCGGATTCTTCCGAGTAATTTTTTGAAAAAAAAAAAAATCCCAAATTAACGCTGAAAAAAAAAATATATACGCATTAAAACTTATTAGAGATGAAATTCCATTTTTACTAGGTTTTTTGAAGAATATTAGTAAAAGACTCACTTCATGAACCCCATTTCCGGCGGCGCGACGAGGTTTGAGAATTGAGCTCTGTGAAAATGAAGGCGAACACGTTTTTCACGTGTTACTTGTTGGTTGCTTGTTTGGTTACATTTTTTAAAATAATTACTGTAAATTTGAAGTTGATAATTGTTATAGGAAGTGAAAAAGTAATTTAGGACAGAAAAAAACAGTAAAGAAAACGAACAATATTCTTCGAAAGTTTTGGCTTCTGAGAACATTTGGACTCTTTTGAGAAACGGAAGTTTTTTTTAATTGAGAATATTCTTCACCATTGAATTTGTATGAACCAAAATTTTCTACAGTAATAAAATCGGAAATCTCGAGACTTCCAGCACCCTTTTTGCACCCTCACTCTTTCTTCACCCTTTTTTTGAAGTTTTTTAGCCCACCAAGAAAGGAAGGCTCAATAAAGGTCGCGAAACGGAGCCCTTTTAAAGGGCATTTTTCAGCCACTCCCTTTTTGCACCCGTTTTCCGCACTTCCGACTTTGGCAGTGTTTCGAACAATTCTCAATGGGTCGGTTTTAAACTACATCAAAATCTTGCTTCCTTGTGATTTCATAGATGACGCAGTTGACATTCGCACTGTCTGCTGACCAACTCCATTCCATCCAGCCAGTATTGAAAGTACTGCTCCAACCGCACTTTTCACGATTTTCGTTTTCCTCTGAGCTACAGAACCATTCCCTTCGATGCGATCGGTATTTATATGTGCATGCGCCTTTAATATAACGTTAATTTTATGAAAAAGGAAAGACGTACGCAGAGAACCATCCCGCGCGCTTCGAACCGAATGATTTTCTGGCTCGGAGGGGAACGAAAACCATGACAAGCTGCCGCGGAATGGCCTACAAGAAATTTTGAAAAAAGGTGAGAGTTTTCCCAGAAAATCAATGTTTTCGTCTTTGCGTTTACATTGGCCGGATAGTTTACTTGAACCGCGATGAAAACTTTTGTTCAGCCTTTTTTTTACGAGAAGTAAGTTTTTTGCGCTTTTCCATGATTCATTCTTGACATTCAACAAATACAAGTTCAGGTTGGTTTATTGCACAACTACTTGGGGATTCGTCATTCCTTGACATTTTCCCGTCCACGTCGGCAAACCTACGATAAGCAGTGATAAGAGGCGGAAAGTCTACGTATAAAAATTGAGAAGGTTGAGGATTTTTTGTGTATGCTGTGTGGAGCGCTTTTCGCCTTTAATTTTCACCTTTTTATCAAGTTTTTTTTTCAGAATGATCGGTCACGGCGTTAGTCTTGTCAGCTTCGGCAACGAATTCTTCAACCCTGTGAGTTTCCATTTAACATTCAATTGAAAGAAAAAGTTGCTCGGATTTTACTTTATAGTCGAGCCTTAAAACTGGTTGTATAAAGAATTTTTGGCGTTTTCGAACGGCAGAAAAAATAATGCCTTAGCTTCGAATTTGGGTGATTAGCTTTCCCCATAGTTTCAATAAGTTCTTAAAAATTTTCTTCAGCCTTGTGACAAAAAATTTACAAAAAATGAAATGTTTCAGCAAACCCCGGTCAATATTCCAGTCAGAGGATTCCAGGAAGGTTCCCGTCTTCGTCTGGTCCTTATCCCCACTCATGGACCTCGTTTCCATGTATTTTAATCGTTTTTCTGATTCATCAAACATTGTTTTATTTTCAGGTGAACCTTCGCACTCCTGGCGACATCGCCCTTCACTTCAACTCGCGATTTGATGTAGGGAATGATGCAAAGTCTTGCTCATAGGGATTATAACCATTATCTCCGCTATTTGAAGCATCAAGAAACGATTTTCGCGACAATGGAGTGATAAGACGCAAAGGAGAAGGCAAATAACAAAGAACAGCTACAAAAGGAAAATTCTGATCACAAAAAAAAACTTTAATTTGGGCTCGATTCTTCTATTTTTTTTATTTGTTTAGTATTGCAACAACACGACCTTACTAAAATCCTCTGACCGGAGTTTGCTTTCTATCTTAGGTTAACTGTGAAAGAAATTATGTAAAATATACAAAAGATTAACGAACGGGCTCAGAGAGACCAAAGTATTTTTTCAGGAGCAAGCCGTCGTTGCCAACTCGACCGTCGGCGGCGGCTGGCAGTCCGAGGACCGATATGCTCAGCCTTTCCAGCCTAACAAGATCTACACTCTTGAGTTCCAGCGATCAAATGGACTCATCCATGTAAATATAAACACCTGCAAATTTGTTTAAAAACGAAAATTCGCAGATCACTGTCAATGGACACCCATTCGCCACTTTTGTTGAAAGAATCCCAGGACACGACGTGTCTTCCATCGAAATCGAAGGAGACGTTCATGTTCACTCTGCCCACGTCACTCATTAACTTATTGACTTCGGAATTGAATTTTCATAGAATAAATATTTTGCAAAAAGTTCTGAAAATTGATTTGTGCAATCCGAAAAGAATTACATTGAAAGATCTGGTACTTGAAGACGTATCTGAGTTTATTCAGACATTATAAAAAGAATTAATCTGTTGAAATAAACTAAAAAAAAAAAAAAAAGAAAAAAATCGCACAAAATTAAAAAACGGGGCCTACCGTAGTCGCAGTTCTTTCGGCGAAAATCGCTGCAAAACTCCAAATATTCAAACGTGCGAATTGGCGCGAAACACCTGACCCATTTCAAAAAAGTTTGTCATTTTCTTTGCTCTTCCTAGTTTGCGAGGTTTTTTCGTTGTTTATCTCGTTATAAATCATTGCTTTTATGATTGCTTCTAATGTAGTAGTGGTGTATTTAATAGAGAAGCAGGAAAATGTACATCTTGGTAGCATTTTTTCGCGAGAAAAAGTGTGTCGTTGTTTTAGGACAACTTTCTGCTCTTTATGGTTATTGTAGATTTCTGTTAATGTTTCATAAGAGCTTATTATTGGATAATTAGAGCAACTTTCAGTAGACAATCTACAAGAATTTTTTTGTCTGGACCTTGAAGACTTTTTTTTAACTAAGAAGGAGAATTTCTCAAAGCGGATAAGTTTTTTAACGACATCGAGCTTAGTTTAGCGACACTTTCGTCTTTTTTTATTGTTTAAAGCATTATTTTTTTCCTTTCGATCGAGTTTTTCTCAGTTTTGTGCCGTGAAATTCTTTCCTATTGTACGCGAGTGTTTTGTTCCGCGATTTATATATTTTTTCTCAGGATGATCCAACGCCACAATGCTCTCACCCAACGAGCACCTACGAACATGCCTCCTCCAGGTAAAATTTAAAAAAGTCAACTGATAGAAAACCTTGTTTACAGCTCAAAAACGAGACAAGGATCGAGCTCCTACAGTCCCTGACAAAATTCTGGACACCGTTAGTTATTTTTCTTACATTCTAGTTGAAATGTAACTTTTTCAGGAAAGGAACATCACCTATCAGCGCGGACGTTTCTTGGGGAAAGGTGGCTTTGCTCACTGTTATGAGCTGATAAATATGTCGAACAACCAAGTTTTTGCCGGAAAAATCGTCCCAAAGACCATGCTCATCAAGCAGTATCAACGGGACAAGGTCGTAGAATCTACAGAGTGAAAATGAATAAAAAAGATTTCAGATGGCCCAAGAAGTTCAAATCCATCGGGCCCTTTCTCATTCAAACGTTGTCAAGCTTTTCCACTTTTTCGAGGTTTTTGAAAAATATTTGAAAAGGAACAATGAGTTGTTGATTTGCAGGATAAGTACAACGTTTACATAACTCTGGAGCTCTGCAATCGGCGCTCACTTCTGGAGCTTCACAAGCGTAGAAAAGCAGTTACAGAGCCGGAAGCTCGCTATTTCACGCATCAAGTAAAAATTGGGCTATTTTTATTGTCCAGTTTTTTCTAGATCAGAGGAGGCCCTAGTATCAAATTTTCTGAAGATTTTTTTTTCTCCAATCTTGAAGTCTTTCTCTGTCTCATCTCTCCTTTTTCATATCCAGCAAGTTTTTCTATTCAAAACTACTGACAGTTTTAATTACTTTTTCCTTTTCAACACCCGAACTTTTAAGGCCTTTAGCTACAGCCTTTTTTTTAAGAGCGAACCAATTCTTTTCAGGTCGTGACGGCGGTCGACTATCTGCACGATTTGAAGATCATCCACAGAGATTTGAAGCTGGGAAATCTTTTCTTGAACGATGCTCTTCAAGTTTGAGAGCAAAACTATTTTCTGACTAAAAATGAGATCTTGAGGTGAAAATCGGCGATTTCGGTTTGGCGACGACGATCGAGGACGACGAGCGCAAAAAAACGCTCTGTGGAACTCCGAACTACATTGCTCGTAAATTTTAATAGACAGGATGAAGAATATTGATTTTTTTTTCTTCCAGCCGAGGTGCTGAACAAGGACGGACACTCGTTCGAGGTCGACATTTGGGCGATTGGATGTATCCTCTACACGCTTCTTTTCGCTCATCCGCCATTCGAATCCAAATCTTTGCAGGTTCAGAAGTGTCTTATAAATCCTTGCTAACTTTTTTCAGAGGAGTATAAAAAAGTATCATGAAGGTTTTGAGGCGGAGCATTATTTCAGCTCGTGAACCATTTTAAATATTTCAGCTTTGATAGATTTTAAAACAGAAAATAATCTAATTTTATTCTTCAAAAGTCAATGTTTTCATGCATAAAATGTAGACTATTTTCAATGTCCTGGCTGATTTTTCTAGGACCGTAGGCAAATTTCATAAAGCTCACAAAGTTAAAACCATTCCCAGCATTAATTTATGTCATGCAGGGGATTTTGAACATGAATTAATAAACTTTTGAAATTTTACTGGGTTAGTACCGCTCAAAAGAGTAATTTTTTACCGCCTAATCGATTCCATCTGACTAAAACGACCAATAATTATTGATATGGAGACTCATCGTTCATCTTTCAGCAAACTTATGATCGTATAAAGAAGAACCAGTACATAATTCCGAGCAATTCTTCGCCCCAGGCAGCTCGGCTTATCCGGGTTCTTCTCGCACCGACGCCAAATCAGCGTCCCACCGCGAAAATCGTAAATAAAATGACTTTTCGAAAAAATTGAGGAAGTTTTTTCAGATTGTACGTCATGAGTTCTTCAAGAGCGGATACATGCCGACGAGACTTCCGGTCTCCTGCCTCACGATGGTCCCGAAATTCGGACACGAACATTCGTTCATTGAGGATCAGAACCTCCCGCCAACCATGTTTGTAGAGATGGAAATAATAATGGGCTTTTTTTCCCCGAAACGAAGAGCTATAGCATCAGAAAAGCAAGATTGTAGGAAAACTAGTTTTTCGGAACAATTTCCGCTCAAAAAAACAAATTTTTGAACGAAAGTGGAAGCCACAAGAGTTTGTTCCCAATCGATACTCTTTGATTCAAAAAAGTGTATTTTTGAGATTTTTTGTGACTTTCCAGAAGACCTTTTTTCCACTGAACTCGATTGTCAGTTCAACAAAACTCAGGGCTATTTCAGATTTCCATAGTTTCTATGATTATTTGCGAAATCCTTATTGAGGCGTAATATGTATAGTTAGACACATTAGGTAGTCCATAACTTTTTTTTTCAAAGTTTTTTTTTATTTCTATTTTTTCTTAGTCTTGTTGTTATCTTGGTCAGGCTTCCAAATCTAACAGAGAGCTTCAAAATCTTAAAAAAATTGCCTGTCTGAAAAAAAGTCTTCGGACAAAAAATCTTGCGAAGTCTTCTAATCTTTCAATATTCTTCGAAGATTTCAAGTTTTTCCGAAAGAAAGCGTTCAGAGATCTAATTATACAGATTCAAGATTTTTGAATCGGGTGCCATTCGAACACCTCACGAGGTCATTCTGAAGAGAAAAACATGTGTTTACAGGCAGCCTCAAGGTCATCCAGGTGGACTCGGGACGGATCAGCGTCATTTGCGTAAGCGGAACTGAATAAATTGAGTCTTTTCAACGAAAATATTGCAGAAAATGGCACCCAAATGCGACAAATGGAAGCGGCGGCGGCCCAGGCTGCGTCCGACCTCAACCGACTTCCGGAAGACGCCTACCTCGCCGACCTGTACTCCCAAGTCACTCAGCTGCTCTCCTCGAACATCCAAATAGTTTAAATTCACAAAAATGCCTTTTTTGCAATATATTTCACTGTAGCTGGACGAGCAGGAGGCTCTGCTGGACGATTATCAATCGCCAGAGGCTCTGCCCATTTTCTGGGTCTCGAAATGGGTCGACTACTCGGACAAGTACGGAATCGGATACCAGTTCTGCGATAACTCGGTTTGGAGAAAATCTAAAAGTAGCAAGTAAAATGGGAGTTTCTAGGTGGGAGTGTTGTTCAACGACAACTCGAGGATCATGCTCGACGAGGCTGGCAACGAGTTGACCTACATTGAGAAGAACCTCCGGGAACACTACTTCCAAATGTCGACTAATGTCATTCCGCCAACCCTGACCAAGAAGGTGGATCATTGGGAAAACTTGATGCAAAAGTTGTTGGAGTCAAAAAGTTTCGAGAGAATGTTTGCTCCCTCGAGAAAGCGCGCCAAAAGTTCAAATTTTGAGATTTTTTAAGAAAAGCGGAATTTTTAGAGCTAGAAAGATGAAACGGACGAATGGAAACCAAAAATGTTCTTTTTTGAAAAATTAGCCAGAACATTGAAAAATAATCTACTAATGATAAAATAGGAAAAAAGAGACATGAAAATTTGATTTCGAGGGAATTTCCGTGCATATGTGTGCTTGGAAAAAAATCCCGAAATTGAAATTATTTGAAAAAAATGAGAAAAAAAGGTATATACTTGGAAATGGAGCTATTATTCGTAAGCCTTATGAAAAAAACATAATTTTCAATTTAAGAACTGAAATGAGTTTTTTTGCCATAGTAAGTATCCATATGAGTTTTTTTTAAATGAATTTTTTTGATATATAGATTAAATTTATTAAATTTTTCAGGTGACACTCCTCAAGTACTTCCGTTCCTACATGAACGATCACTTGATGAAGGCCGGCGAAGGAGTTCAACGACAGGTTCTCCTGAAAATGTTTCAGAATTATGAACTATTTGACAGGAAGGAGATGACCTCGCTCGTTTGCCGACCCTACGAGTTTGGTTCCGGACGAAATCGGCCATCGTTTTGCACTTGTCCAGTGGAACTGTCCAGATCAACTTTTTCAATGTGAATTTACCATCTAATTATCATTCCATTTTCAATAATTATTTTAAGGACCACATCAAAATGATGATGTGCCCGTTGATGCAAGCCGTGACGTTCATCGATCAGCAGAAAAGGATCCTCACCTACAAGTTCAGCAACTTGGCCACCAACGGATGTCCTGAGGTCAGGAAATTTAGGATCCTGATAACTTGCAAGCTCTGAACTTTTTAAGGATTTATAGATCCCTAACCTTTTTCTGCCCTGAAGTAATAGGGAAATAATAATTTCAAGTTATGTATTTTTTCTGTTTTTAATCTAGACCGAACCATTATACATATGCAAAGTCGGAAAAAGCTCCATAGAAATTTTCCTTTAAGGCTTTTTTTGCGCCATTTCATCGTCCCGTATTAACCATTTTCGCTGCCTCTCCTTCTTCCTACCATTTCTCGAGCCTTTAAAATTCCAGAAAAGTAGAAGGCTTGATAAAGGGACACTTTTTGCTGCCTTTCTGCTGCTTTTTTCGAGCCTCTCCCTTTTAGAGACCATTATCCATCCATCAATCCGACTTTGCCCGAGATAGAAATTCTTTAAAAATAGAAAAAAAAAGTCTCAGAAAAGTCCATAGCGCAAAGATCCAGAGAACTTTTTTTTCAAAATGCCCTTCAATAAAATAAATTTTCCAGAAGTTCATCTCACGACTGAAGTACGCCAAGACGATGATCGAACGTCTCATGTCGAACTGTACCTCGACTAAGCCTGGAAGCCTGAGCACGGATAGCCGGGTAATTAACGCATTCTTTCTCATTTTAGCACGCGGAAAAGTCAAGAAGGAATACTTTTTCCTTCAAATTTTAAATTTAAACCCTTCCCCCTTGGCATTTCTCTTGTAAGAAAATTTAAAGCGGCAGAAAACTAGTCTAGATTTTTTCGCGATGTTTCTCTTTCCACACTTTGAACTTATCTAGCATTGATTTTTCAGACTCGGTCCGCTTCAGCCTCTGCTCGTGTCCCTGCCTCCAGCACGACAGTTCAAGCTTCTGGCCAGATCGGCTCCAAATTCGGAAGACCCTGAGACCCGCAACCTTCCCCCCACTTCTCCGCATTGATTCCTGATTTTGTTGTAAATCCACCATTTTTGGTTTTTTCTTTGTTTTTCAAACAGCGTCAGAAAGTCACAATCAATCTGATTGATTGCATAGAAAAGTCGAATGAGACGTGCCCAATCGGGATTTATTCTTCTTCTTATTTGGTTGTTAAAAGAAACGGTTGACACTGCCGAAAAAAGTGCCTGTAATAGATATTTCTTTCCCTGTTCAATAATCAATATTTTCTTACTTCTTCTTTGCTGATTGTCGTCCCGTCCCCCCTTTTTTCCATTCAGAAACTCTCCTTGTACCCTTTATAATCATGCCAACACACACACAAACGTTTATTTGGTCTCCTTCCGCAACTTTATGAAAAAAAAAACACTTTGATTTCTCCGTCTCTATTCAGCTTATCCACATCTTAAACGACCATCCTTTCGTAGTAAGTAAGATTGTTCTTTTTTTGACGGAGCTTTGAATAAACTATCGAGACATGGTTTTTGGATATACTGAAATAGTTGTTATCCTTGCGGTATATTTATCAAGTTGAAAAAAATAAGGTTCTTTTAATTTTCTTAGAACTGGACTAGAGCTCAAAAACTGAATTATTGGAAAAAAAAAAAAACGAAAATTTTCGTGCTTTAACAGAAATTTCTGTTCTTATTACTATCTCAATCTTCCTCTCTCGAAGAAAAAGAAGCTTGAATAATCAAATAAAGACTTAAATTGCAAATTAGATGAAAAAAAGCTAGAATTTTCACACGTTGACGTTTCTCCGGGAAAAGCCGTGAAATGCAAATTAGAAAAAAAAAGAGCCCAGTATTTCATGCAGCTCGCGCTCCACTGCTAATTTCTCTAACCCCCTGCCCCACACTCCTCGTCCCCCATTGTTTCTCGCTTCCTGTCGCGATCGATGGATGAGTCCGTGTGTTCGCCCCGGGGGGAATACCAGCCTTCTTCTTGTTTCTGGGAGATGAAAAAGTGCCGTATTTCGTCCCCGAGAACAAGCGAAGAAAAAAAAAGAATAACGGAATTGTGGAACCGGCTGGTTTATCTTCCACTAGACGCCGTGTTTTTCGGTTTTATCGTCTTTTCTGTGTATTCTTTGACTTCATTTTCCTTTGATTTGCTTATTATCTTGTTGAGAAATGTATTTTTGAAATGGAGCTGTAGATTTCACGTTTTTGATAGTGTTATATGTTCTAAATGTTCGAATTTGGTCTTTTTAAGATTTAAAGACATTAGATATCCTCACCGGGACAGTTATGAAGCACGTGGGATAGGTTTTAATACGTTCATCAATAAAATTTTAGATTCTCTAAATTCGAAGATTTCATCAAAAGGATTGTCGGCTGCATCAAAACTTTTATAAAACGAATTAACCACTTTATTTAGAATTTTTGAATCCAAAAAAACTGAATTCAGCTTGATTTAATTTCGCAACAGGTACAAATCGCTGTCTAACCTTTAAATTGTAGACTTGATTATATTTTTTTGGACCTCGTCCCGCTAAAAATAATTCAATACTCGGCTTTTCCATTAATGTTTGTCTCCTGTCTTATTTTATTCTATTTTTGCTTTATTCCATTCATTTCTACATTTTAATATAACTGTTGCGCCTAGGTGTGAAGCCAAAAAAATCGATTATCAAATATCTTTTTGGAGGGTCAAATGCTGACGATTTTTTTAGATCCGGCACGGCCGCGCGATACATAAAAACTCTTTTTTTGAAAAAAACTCTATAATATTCTAAAAAAATTCACAAGTTTTATAGAACTTTTTAATTTTCTCTTTAAACCGCTACTTTTTTTCAAATCAAACATCGAATAAATTTTATCAAATCGTTTTCTAACGATTTGAAAAAAATTCCAAAAGATTTTTTTCGGATAGTTTTAGAAGTTTTGTGGAATTTTTTTAGTGTTTCTTAGGAACCTCCCAAAACTGAAAAAAGTCCCGACGAATCAATGAATTTCTTCCCGACAGTTTCCTCTCTTTACAATGCGATACGTTATCAGTTCGCCGCTTTTTTTTTCTCCTTTTTCTTTTCTAATGAATCATTGTCCACACTTGGGATCTTTCATTGCCAGTTTTATTTTCTTTATTTTTGAAGAATTTTTCAGAACCCAACAAGAATGAGTTACGAGTTCACCATCGACGATGATGAGCTGGTGAGATTTTTTTCAAAGATAATATTTCTATGAATTGGTATTATTATTTACTTCATTCGGAAATTTCATTGATTTTCGGTGGAAAGTTCAATTTTTTGGATGCATTTTGTCGTGTTATTTCCGAATCTGGCTTAGAAGGTGTCGAGAAAATCTTTTTTTTATTTATTATTTTTCATTGAAAAATAATTTCAACGTATATTTTAAACGTCTCAAAATTTTTTTGCACATACATCCGGTAATGTTCGAGCACTGATTGGAATCAAAGTGGAAAAAAAAATCATTTTTTTGAACTCAGTTTTGAAACCACTAAAAAAACGTTTTTACCCCCCGGCTGAACTTTTAAAAAAATCAATCTTCCCTGGTTAGTTTCATCCAGAGTTTCCACTGTGACTTGGCATATTTTGAGAATAATATTATGAAATTAAGCTACATAAATTTTTCCGAACGTCTTATTTTTTCAAAAAACCACCCTTTTCAAGATTTTCTCTCACCATCAGCTTGAACGATTGAAACTAGTCTTATAGGAAGAGCCAACGTCGGAAAAGGGAACCATGTGCGATTGGTATCGCATCGAATTACCCGCCAGCGCATCGACCCTTAGCCGACAAATCGCCAAGGCCCAGGCCAAACGCGGTATTTTATTATAGATTATTCATTAATTTAATAGTTTGATCAACTAATTATTCGGTTTTCTAATGGTTTTCGGGCTATTAACAGCGGTATTCTTTTGGTATATTTTAGATTTTTCGATCAATAAAAAACAATTATTAACTTCTCACTGACTTTTCACTGCATGCTGCTTTGTTTTATGGAGTTTTGCACGATTTCACTGTAAAATAAAATTTTTTGAAGGAATTCAATGATAGTGCTACGTCAGTTTCTGATTCTAGTATGAAAATAGACGAGGAAACGGGGAAAGAATTTTGGCATTTTTTTCTAAATTTTTCTTTTTCTGTGTTTCTTTTTTTACTGAGAAAGAAGCAAAAAAATTCGCATTTTTTTCTAATCAAACCATTTTTTTCAATTCACTTATAAAGTATTATAGTGACAGAGACAGGCGAAGGACCATTCCAAATTTGACTTGTTTCCTTTAAAATTCACAGTTTTTTGCACCCCACCTCTTGTCCCGAAATTGAATGAGTGATGCTTATTTCTTATTGGCTGTTGTGGTGATTGTGCTGCATTCGTGATGTTTTCAGCGGAACGGGAGGCGCGAAGACGTCGGAAAGACCTGTCGACGGTCCGGGAGCGCGACGACGAGCATCGAGAAGAACAGAAGATGTCGACCTCCCTGTCGGAGTTGACGATCCCGATGGAGCAGCGGGGAAGGTCCCGGCCTGAGCCACGGAGTCCTGGCGCCTTGAGCAACCCGGAGTTCACCTACGCAAGTCCGACCAACTCGCCGCCGCCTGACCCGTTTGCCAGAGGTCGAGATGAGCCGGTTGACGAGGAAGAGCGGGAACTCCTCGAGCTCCTCTTCAATGGCAACCAGAAAGCGCCCTGGGGGAAGCCGGCTTTCCCTGAACCTGCCGGGCAGACTCCGGTCAAGTCTCCACAGTCGCCAGGCCTTCCCTCCCTGGCCACTCCGGTCAAGGTGTCGGAATGGCTCATGCGGACGCCTTCCGTTGACGCCGTCTCCATCACCTCGACCTCCTTGAATGGCGACGGGCCGCTGAGCTTGATGAGCGACGATGAGGAGGAGGACGAGTTTTTCGACGCCTCGGAGGTCATTGAAAACACGCCGCCCAGGAAGAAGAAGGAAGACGCCGAGGTCGAGAGAATCACCCAAGGTATCGGTGTGGCTGAGAAGCTTATTCATCAACAAGTGGCCAAGGTGTTTGAAAAGGATGACGCTTTGCAGAGTTATGCTACTATTTACAAGAGAGGTCTTCTCCTTTAGTTCAGGAATTTCCTGGAGATTCAATCCAAAAACAATGGGGAGGTCTTAAAAACTGAATTTCATTTTCACTTCGGGCATTCTGAAATTTGGCCAGAATACTTCTAGAGTAACCAGACGAAAGTTCTGATAGGCTAAAGGCTGAAATTTTGAAGATACCGTGTTTTAAAGGAGTTTTCTGAGACTTTGAGTTGAAGTTTCCTGAAAAATCGGAAGCTGAGACTTCCAATATTGCCATCGGGTACATGAAAAAGTATTCTGGCCGAATTTCAGTATTTCACGACCAAAAAATGAATTCCCGCCCTGAACCTCGGTAACGGGAAGCCTGAACTTTTCTGAGCCATTCTAGAGGTCTCTTAAAGGGCCGCTAAAGTGGTCCCTAGAAATGATCGGAAACGTCCGGCCAAGGCAAGTATTGAAATGAGAAAAGGTGCGCACCAAAGTCCTTTTGAACCACTTTTTGAAAATTTGTTCCGAATCGCGTTTTGGAACAATTTTAATTATAAATACAAACAGCGTCATCGAATGCGTAAATTTGAGAAAATTCATCTATTCGTCAGTTTTTATCAGAAGAAAAATATTGTGAAATTATGAATACGTTCATATCGTGAAGTGTTTCAATATTGTGAACATTCCAAAGAGAAAAAAATCATGGAATATGGAATAGTGTTGTGTTCGTTGATCGTTTTTGCACATTTTTTATTGATTTTTTATTTTTTTGCGGAATGAGCATTTATTGGCCGAAACCTTTTCGTAAAGCACCTTGTATCTTGCACAATTAGGGTCATTTGGGGAAGATATAGCAGTTATTACGTTATTTGATCCGTCAACTGTACTTGAATCATTTGGAAAAAAAAAGAGGCGCTTTCAAAAGCTGTAATTTATTTCAAGTAGGAATAGATTTTTCCATTGTTTGTGATGAGATCACCTCATCTTCCTTCTAGGAGTTTCCCTTTGTCGGCTCGGGAATGGCAACCCGATGACGCAATCTTTGGTCCGAGTGGAAGAGGAGACGATGGCCGACGGCGGCTCGAGGCTTCCCGTTGCTGATCCGGCCAGAAGCGCTAGGTACACGGAGTTTTTGATGGGAAAATTGGAAACTTCCGGTTTTTTTGTTCAAAGGACATTTTTGAAAAGTTATTGCACAGCGGAAAAAGAGTGTGAGAAGAAAAAAAGGCTGGAAAAAAATTTTTATTGAAAATAATTTATTTTCTTTTTTTCCTGTAGAAAAATCTTTCAGTTTCAGATTTCTCAGGAGCATACATGACATAAAAAGAAATTTATTATTTATTACTGTTAGAAAAATCATGTTATCATGTCAGTTTTCAACTCTACGGGCTCAGTTCGAAAGGACCTAAAAAAAAAGGCCTCAGAGGCTCCTTTTTCCTGAAAAAAACCTTTATAGGAAAAAAAGGGCGAACCAAGGTGAAAAAGGAGATTTAGAGAAACTTTTGAGACGAATGAGCCGTAGATTCTTCTATTGGAGGCCCTTTGAACTATGACCCTGTTCTGATATTTTTGGAGCAAGAACTTGTTCAGGTCGAGCTCGGTGAGCCCCCGTCCGCCTGCCAATACGGAGTTCAATCGCAACAGCCCGACCTATGCTACGTTCTCCGTTAAATCTGGGGTTCATATTCATTCTTCATCATGTTGAAAGCGTTAATTTGGAGTTTACTTCGATTTGTATCATACTCGATAATCCAGCTTAGAATTGGTACGAAGATCTAGCTTAAGATTGCTACGCGAATTTCTCAAAATTTCGAAACTTCCCCCCTAAATTTACCTCTTCCTTTTGAAGTTCCAATTAACGAAACTTGAAAATTTTGAAGCGGTGAAAAAAACCAACAGAAAATTTTTTTGAGCTTTCTGAAAAATTTATAATGATCCAGTCTTTGAAAAGGTCTTACAAATAGTCAAAAGCTTGTTTTTCTATTTAAAAAAACCAACAGAAACCTTTCTTGAGCTTTCTGAAAAATTTATAATGATCCAGTCCTTGAAAAAGACGTAAAACCCATTAAAAGCCAATTTTCCATTTAAAAAACCAACAGAAACCTTTCTTGAGCTTTCTAAAAAAGTTATAATGATCCAGAACCCATCGCAAACCAAACTTTCTTCAATTTTTTCCATTTTTCTAAACGGTTTTTGTTCTCAAAATAACATTCTTTCTGCTCTTCGTAATGACCCGGGAAGTGAAATGCTATGAGAAAATATATTTTTATTTTGTTTTAAGGGAAGCAAAAAAGATTTCAATAAGTTAAGGGCTACTAATGAATCTAACATGAGCCTAGCTAATTTTCAAATCTTCCTTCTTCTCTCACTTCCCACTAACTACAGACGCCACGAGCTCAACTAACCCCGTCTACTAATACCCAGCCGCAGCAACAGCAAGCAAATGGAAACTCGATGATCCGACAGCCGATGACCTCGACGCCCTTGTCCCGCACGACTCGCTCCGTCTTGAGAGTCCACAACGTCAATTCGGCCGCTGGCAAAACTCCAAACTCTCTTCCGAAGAAACCGGTGCTGATTTGGCCTTTTTTGAGTTGATAATGAGCCTTTATGCGCTTCTATTGGGTATATATTAACAGCGAATTCCTGGATTCGTTCAAAGCTAACTTCTTGGGTTAAATTTGAGGGACTTTTGGCTATCAATAACTTTTTAACTTTTCAAACACTTTGAACTTGGTTTATAAGAGCTTTTGGAGCTAATTTGGGCCTATCTCTATGTTTCAAACGAAATTGGTGATGCAAGCTATAACCTCACTCACTGTAAAACGTCGAATTGAAATGGTTTTGCAGTGATTTCTAGCCTTTTCAATAATAAATTGTTGCTTTTAAAATATGAAAGTGAAAAGAATAACGTCTCCTTTTGTTTCCTGAGTATGTGAATTATTTTTTATAGACTTTCGCGTCGAGAGAGTTCTCCCTTGAGATAAAACAGTTGCTTGAAACTATCCTAGTAAGAAAAAAAAAAAGACATTGAGCGTTAGGAACGTTTTCTGAACCTTTGAATTCAGGAAAATGGCCACGTCCCGCAGAATGGCTCTTCACCAGCGATTCTGGAACCTGCTGTTTCCCCCATTCCGCCCGCATCGATGTACTCGACGCCGATGAGGCCGACGTCGGCTTCTGGGGCCGGATCGAATCGATCCACCCCGAGTATTCCGCCAGAAGTCTTGGCGGTTCGTTAGGAGTGGAAAATATGGAAATATAGAATGAAAACCTGAAAAAAAAATGTTTAAAAGGGCTGCTCTCAAGTGATAGGAAGGTCATTAAAGAAGCGTGAATCTAGTCAAATAAGTTTTTCAAGGCTTGAAAAGGTTTTTTTTTGTGGCAGTCCACGTTATTATCACTTTCCCTTTGTTCTTTTGCCGTTTTTTCATAATTTGGATTTTTTACGAGTTTCCCTACTTTCTAAGAGATCACTATGAACTAAGGAAAAAATTCCAAACTTTGAGAGAAATTAATGAATACCGCCCTAAAAAGCCATATTTCAGTCGCGAGGACTCGTCAAGCCGAATTTTGAAAGAATCCAAGATCTGGTTCAAATGCAAGAGGAAGGTTTATCTAAATTCAATTGGAATTTTCATGAAAAATGAAAATTTAGCACTGAGAAAAGCGGTTTTGGCTCAACAGGAACAGGACGTCGACCGGAAAACGTCGTGGCAGGGCGAACTTGACCCGGCCCGCCAGGTATGAATTGGAAGGAAGTTTCAGGTGTTTTTGAGTTTTGAGAACAGTCGAGGTTCGAATATGTCTTTTTCAGAATTTTAGAAAAAATAGAAAAGTAGGAAGAACCAAATTTTTATTTTTCAAGTGATTTTTCGTTTTTTCCAGTCGGCCAGCACCCACTCCTCCCTCGGCTCACTGACCAGCAGCAAATCGGTCGACGGAAGCGCTCTTCGGCTCTCCGCGGCAGCTGGAGGAGCTCCTCCAGCTCCTGCCTCGGTAAGCTTTCACTATCAATTTTTTATCATCTTTGAGTTTTCCAGAGAATCCCCGCTCCTTCGAGATCTCGCCTCCCAACACCTAGAGCCACGGCCAAAAGAGTGTAAATTTATATTTTTATAACGAAGAAAAACAAAAATTGAAAGAAAAGTCCATTTCTAACCAATTTTAGCTCTGTCGCCATTCAAACAGGTGAGTACTGTTTGAAGCTTTCTTTCCATTCGATTTTCTTCAGCACCGCTTTTTCTGACCTTTCACTGGGCTTTTCTTAAGTCTGAAAATTTGATCAGTAGTTGAAAAAAGATGTTTTTAGGGTTTTATATCGAAGAAAGTAGTTCTGAAATTTTTCTATTGCAAAATCTTGAAGCTGGATTTCCGCACAGCGCATCAATTGAACTGGCTTTCTTCTTGTGTGCCTTTGTATTATTTTTGAATCATTTTGATATCCGTCCTTGATTCTTATAAGTATTTTCCACAAGTGCATATAATTAAGAAAGTAAGTAATAAGGTGAAAATGGTCCTTTAAAAATATTTCAGTTCTATTTCTGCCTAGTAGAAGCTTCACTGTGAGGGTGAGCTCAGGCAATTTCCTCGTGACTGTGAACTTTCTTGGAGTCCTGACTTCCAAGGCGAGATGGGTAGATTGTCAAGGGTGACGCGTTGCGTACGCGACGCGTCTTCAAACGCTATATTTTATTTTTACGTTTTCCTGTCGAAAATTCGCATCGCGTACGCAACAGTAGCTTATCCAAGGCTGGTTCGAGCCATCCAGAAAAGGGTCCTGACGCGAAAAGAAAAGATATAGTGCATTTTTGTGGAGAGCGCGGACAGGCCACGCCCCTAGCGTCCCAAGCTACCCGTCAATTGAATGTCAAGCAGCTAACTCTGCTTCCGTGGATACAGTATCTTTCGCGTCAAAATTTTCAAAACGCTACGATGATCCTTTAATAGCGCTGGGTTGTTTACCTTTTTTCAAGCTGGTAGATCAAAAAAGAAAGCGCTATTAAAGGTTCATAGTCGCTACAGAAGCTGTAGCAATGGAAGAGGATTTAGCTTCTTGACTTTTGCAATCTGAACAGCCCTTCTGCCCATATCGCCTTTGAAGTCGGGAGAAATAGGCTGGAACATGAAAGAAGAGGAGTCTGTCTTGCAGATCTTCCGTTTCCGCCGCCGCGGTCCGACCGGCTGCCCCGAAGCCTCAGCCTGTCGGTCTTGCCAACGCCGTCGTCACCACCGCCGACTTTTCGGCGCCCGGCGACGAATGCTTCTAAACGCAGTCGGCTGTCCTGCTCGGCCAGTGTCTACACTCGTTCCGACTACTTTTGAATCAATGTTTTTTTTCGCTTGACTCAATTTTCTTTTCATTTGAGATCCATGCTTGTTCGGAAGATTCTAGTACTAATTTAACACTTTACTTTTTATTGTTCATGTAAATTTACCCCTTTAAAAAAAGATTAAATCACGGTAGAATTTCGCATAAAGCCCTGTACATTATTCGTCTCATAATTTACAACTTTTTCCGGTGTCTTTTTTCAAAAAATAATCTAGGCACATTTTTTTCCTACCTGCTGTGATCATATTATGCTACTTAAAATCCTGATTACTTATTCGATTGTAGAAAAAGAAGATTCACCCATCCCCTCTAACACTCCCGTTCGATTCGTTTTAACTTCAAAGCTCTGATCTCATTTGGAATGGCTCTATGCGTCGCTTGAGCCATTCCCGATGCGGCCAAAATTGCAAGGAAGTGGGAGCGAATCGACCAGAACTGTGTCCACATATCGCATCGATTTGTTTTATTACGAGTATCCATTGTAAATATATATCAATTCAATGAAAATTATATTTTATTGTTCAAACGTGAAATTTCAAGGGGCTGCCAAGAAGTTACTGTTGCTGATTCGTGATTTTCAGCCCAGTTCTTCTTCTACTCTTCAAAAACGGTTAAAGGTCGGATGATTTTTTGAATTGAATAACTAAAACGAGGGAAAAGAGTGGATTTTGCCATGAAGCGTTTCCGGTTCGAGCGCCGGAAACGTTCCCCCCGGCTGCCTTTTTTGGCTCTTTTCTTTTTGTTTTGAGCTCTTTGTATAGTTTTCCTACACATTCCATGCCTTTATTTTGAGAAAAAGCAAGTTTTAGGGCCAGAAATTGAATAAATGGTTTTCTTGAGGATTTTAAATTTTTCGTTTTTTTCCTCTTTTAAAAAAAAGCTATAGGAAGTTTGATGATAGAGGTTTTTTTATGATTTAAAACGCTAAAACTGAAGTTTATAAATAAGAGAAGATTTTTAAAATTTTCTCATTTAATTTTTGAGCTAGCTTGACGAACTTCAGTTTTTTCAAAATTCTCGTCATTTTCCAATTTATGTTCAGAAAAAAGCCGACAATTCAAGAAAAAAGCCGACAGTTCAATTTTACAAGGTTTGAGGAAGGTTTTTTCATCCTGAGAGGTGTTTTCAGCTGCTCCAAGACTTTATTAACACCTAAAAGACTGGAAAAATTTTTTTCTGAAGGTGAAAAAGCCACTCAGAACTTCCGAGAACCAATGCATCAATTTGAAGATTAGTTAATTTTTTTAAAATCTATTCTATTGCCGAAATAAAAAAATTTTTTTAATGTTTTCTTTGAAACGTAGCTAACGCGAGGATAGGAAAAAAACTTTCAATATTTCAAAAAAAATTTTTTTCTATTTTAAAACGTACAGCAGGCCTTTGAAACGTAGAAAACCCATTAAATATATTATAATGGTTTGTAAAAAGAATTGAATATTTTTCGAGCCAGTTTCCCAAAATAAGCCGTTCATGGAATTCTATAGGAAGGAAGGTTTTCCGAAAAATTCGACATATTAAAAATCAAAATTTGAAAAAAACCATTTTTTTCCGAGCTTCTGCTTTGAAATTCCAATTCAATGGATTCCATTCAGGTCTCGACATTCCATTGAGCTTTTTCCATGGAACCCAAAAAATTTTTTCGTATCATTTTTTTTCTTCCAAAGAAGGCTACACAAAAACGAACGAAGCCCCGAGGGCATATGCCTATTTTTCTCTTTTTTCCAAAAATTTCCTCCTTTTTGCACGATTTTTTGGCAAACTTTATTGGTTTGTCTAGTTTCAAGCTTTTTTTTTTCGGAATCTTGAGTTTTAAAACCCAATTTTGGCACGCTTAACTTCTAAAGATCACTCCTTTCAATGGAAAACAAGGGAAGCTTCAAATTTTGACCTAATCCCGGCCCTAAAATTATTCCTTCTATGGCTTGTTCAATGATCAAGACGTAGGGTTCCTCAAAACCCGAGAAAAATTGCTCCAAAGTTTAGAAAATACGCAGTTTCCAACCGTTTCCGAAGACCTTCATGGAAAAAATTTTCAAAAAATCATTTTTCTAAGCTTCTTAGGAGCAAAAAGACCCTGAACTCTTTGGTTTCTCAAAAAATTTGGTTGAGATTTCCAAGTTTCCAAGTACAAACCAATAATTCATAAGGGATGGATATGAATATTTAAAAATGGCGGCCGCCGTTGCCGAGGGAAAAGCTCAAAGTGGGCGTGGCCTGTGTGATAGAGAGAGAGAGCGCATAGGCTTCTTCTTCCAAAAGCGGCCTTCTGTGTCTGCGCCCTCTCGGATTGGCGTGCTCTCTCGCCTCAGAACTCACTCTCTCCTTTGGGCGTTTATCCGCCTTCCAAACTGAATGTTATATGTTATTTACGGGCCCGAAAAAATGCTTCTCTCTCTTTTTCGAGGCACCGCTTTTTTTCCGTCCATTTCTCTCTTTCTTGACCTTTTTCTGATGATGGGATCGGGATTAACGCCTTTTTAATCCGATTATCTCGATAATTTTCTTGCAATTTTGCTCCATTGATAAGCTCATTTTTATGAACAGTTTTGGAAAAAAGTATTGTCTCTTCTGAAATGTTGCTTTCTTGATGAATATGATTCGAATTAAGATGAGAAATCGTTTATTTTGAAAAAAAAAATCTTTATCATTATCATTAATTTTGCACGATAAATGATATTTTAGCAGCTCTCAAGCCGAATATTAACCGCCTAATAACTTAAAAAATCCTATGTGAAAAGCCTTTTCTTGAACTGCAGAGATACAATAATCAGGTATCTTCAATTTTTTTGAATAAATAAATAATTTTTTTTCAACAAAAAGCCTAATTTTTTGTGAAGATGACTTGTTCGAAACGGTGTCGCAGCAGAATTGCTTTTATTTATACCTTTTTAGAAAAATGTAGAGTCATAAAAGTTCCAATTAAAAATATTCCTTTTAGAAATGAATCTTTGGGTGTAGTATAAGCTTTTCAGGCTTTCTAGTGAATTTCTAATAGTTTGAACTGAAAAAAAGATATTTTTATTGCTTTGGTTCGATTCATAGAAAGTTCTATCTAAACCTTTGACCTCAAGATTTTTTCTTCTGATTAAAAATTCACGGCAAACCGGAACTTGAATTTTTCATTATGCAGCCTGACCAGATAATCGAAAATAAGAGCTTACAAGGGATAATTTTCATTTTATAAAAGCTGATTTTGAAATACAGTTTTAATTTTTCCGTTTTTTTGTATTTATTTGTAGTTTTTCATCGGACTTCTTCTGAAAAACGGCCTGTTTGATACGTTTGTTAAATCCTCCATCCTACCTTGTTATCGCTCCCGATCGTTTCTGAGATTTTTAGTGAACCCTTAAGGGTACTGGCGCCCCTGAAGTGATCACTAGAAACCTCCGATTCCGGGGATCCCTCAGAAACACTGAACTTCATTGGTCATTCCGAAAAAAAGGACGATTTTTCTCTTTTGAAGGTGTTAATTATTCCTTGGAAGAAGCCCTTTCGGCCGTGGAAGCCAATTAAAGAGAGCAAAAAGTGGGGAATGAAATGGAATGGGTATGGAGGATCGAAGACGATGTGCCATGCAGCAATTAACTCCCCCTTTTTTGTCTTCGGCTTTTCCTCTCATTTTTTCCCCTTCAATCGTCTTTTTCGATCCATCCTGGCTATACTAGGTCATATAGACAATCGGAGGTTATATTGGCTATTTATCAGCATTCTTTGGAGCTCTGCAAGTGCGCTCTAGCGAACTGCAGCTTTGATTGGCTGACTTTCTCGGACATTGGTAACGCGAAACGTGCTCCGGGCGCTTCTGGGCGATTCTAGGGATCACTTAAGAGTGCTGAGGCTACTAAAGTGGTCACTAGAGATGCGCATAAACGTCCGGAGCACGTCCTGTTCACGTTACCAAGGTATGAGTAAGAACTTCATAGGGGTCTCTATAGGGGCAATCTTCGGGGGCCCTTCGAGGGTCTTCTTTAGGGACCACTTCAGCAACCCCTATACGGACCCCTAAAGCTTGTAAAAGTGGTCCCTATAGGGGCATGCTATTTTATAATTTTTATAAACTCTAGGCGAAGAAACATTTCCATGAACTATGAATGATCGTTCCTTGAATGAAATTGAGTAATCCCTATAGGGTCTACTTGACCTTTAGAGGCCAGCGAGTCCGACCATAAATCCCCTAGAGGGATCACCTTAGTTTTGCCCCTATAGGGACCACTATCGACCCCTATAGAGGTTTTTTTCCACCCTAACCCCTGTAGGGATCATTCTGAAATTCCTAAGGACCACGCCTTTTTATCAACTTTATGTTTAGAAGTGGGAAATCCTCGATTTTCTTCTCTTTCGAGCCTATTTTCAACATGAAGCTTGATTTTTTCAACTTTTCTCAAGAAGGAGCTTTTTTCTGTGTCTAGTTTGCTCTATGGATTTAGTATTTTTTTTGAATTTTTTTCTCTATTTTTTTGGCGAATTCTATTGACGAGATTTTTTTACCGGAAACTCAAAAAACTGCGATTTTTTTAAAATCGAAACTCGTTGTGGAACCTTAAAAAATGACCCAATTCCAAGCCACGCCTACATTTCTCCGCTTTTTCCCCATTTTGAGAACCGATTTCTTCAGTTTTTTTCTTCCTCTCTCATCGGCCGCCGAGAGAAAACTCATTTTCTTTCCCCTCAAAGCTGTTCTTTTCAAAGCTCCCAGTTTTTCGTTCATGTTTTAAAGATTTTACCTATTTTAATCTCAAAATTCTGCCCATTTCTTTGAATTTTCTTTAACTATCACATTTTCTTGCAGAACCAAGATGACGGAGGGAAAATGAACGGGTGCAATTTTCGCTAGGAGAACCTTCGACGGTTGGTTTTTCGAGAACTTCCATTGGAAACGTCATTTTTTGATTTCCTGAACATTTCCAATAGTTTCGGTCCACTTAACCCATTTGATTC